GTCGTGTTTAAAGTTGGTACCAATTCGGGCGATTCACAATGCAGAGCGCCACCAATAGTTTGCCACGTAGAGTTCATTTTTCCCCCAGTGCGTTGTGGGAAATGGTCGACAAATTCTTATCGCGGGACATTTGAAATTGTTCGTTTTTCCGGTCAGTAGTTTCGTAAGCGTATGATTCGAGTATATGTTTGCCCTTTTATTTTCTTTGTATCAATATGGTGATTTTTTATAAGGCGGCAGAACGCTATGCCCCTATCAATATATAGCTCAAGTTGTCTACTGACACTCATTCAAATGGGCCATATTTTGTCGACCGTAAACTTGAAAAGTTCACTCGCCATGGCAAACTCTTGGTGGCGCACTACATTGTGAATCGCCCGAATTGCAAATCTACCAAGTTTTAATGTACCAATAATTGTAAAGGTACCAATTGTAATTCAATTCCTAGACCGTGTCAATCACTGTAAAGCTACATTGACAGGCAACCGACAGACAACCCAAACACGTTGGTAACACGTGACCATAACATTGAATTTTGTTTTTAAAAAAATGACATGATCACCTGTTTTTGTTCTCTTCTTTATTCTTGTGCCGTATCCGAAGCTGCCTGGTGCACTCGAGGAGACATCGACCTAAATGCCTGGATCCGCGTCGACCTACCTGACTCGGTAACCGTAACAGGCCTCATCACACAGGGGAAAGATTACAGTAGTACCTACACCACGTCCTTCAGCGTGCAATACGGGAATGGCACCAACTGGAGTGAGGTGGTCGGCAAGGATGGCTCTCCGATAGTGGTAATTTTGGACTAGACCTTTATAAAGACATTTTAGGATCATTCCCTTTTCAGGAATTGTGTTCATTTTCAATAATAACATGACTCAAAATCCAAAGAGGAATGTTCAAAACCTATTACCTGTTGAGATTTCAGCTCCGTTATGACACTTTTCGGGAATAGTAGAAAAAAAAATTAAGAACACGTACAACTTTTCGATGACAAGACACGATCTTGTCAATAGAACTCTTTATTTCCAGCAGTCAGTCAACAGACTGATCGTTGAAATCACCTACATTTCTTGATCCCCCCCCCCTAAATGACAGCAAGCCAGACAGAATAATTTAACGTAGTGTTACGTAATATGTAATCCAAGTAAGTTAAAAAAAAATAATAATAATAACAAATTGGTATATAAACCTAAGATATTACTTTTGGGATAGACCCAAATGCTAAATGATCGTAATGCTTTTAAATTGTACTCCATGTAGTAATGACAACAATCCACCGTTATACTGTAGCTTTGCGTTGCATTATTCTCAGCGAAGCACATTTCAAAAAATGTGCCAATGCGACGTGACTCAGCACATTTTAGTGTTAAATTACAATTATCCTTTTTTTGAGGTGTCAGAGCCAGCGATGAAATCCTTTTTTTCTTTAAATGTCGAATGTCTTAGAAGTTGGATAGGCCTTTTGCCAGAACATCGAAATTCAGGACACCCTAACAAGCCTAGCCTACTGCTTCAAAGAGGAAAGTTGCGTAAACGATTTAACAGAAATCAAAGTTTACTGTTCGAGACTCGTGACAAACACCCCAAACCAATTGGCCTTTTTCACAGTCTAACGCCTTCTTTGCTATGTTGTTATAGTACAGTTCGCGCATCTTTGTTTTTAGTTTCAGGCCAACAGCGACTGTTGCACCCCGGTGACTGTCTACTTTCCCTCGCCTTTGCAGCTGCGGTCTTTCCGCATACTGCCGGTCGACTGGGTTACGACGAGCATCTGCATTCGCTTTGAACTGCTCGGCTGCGGAGCAATCTGAAGGGGGTGCGCCCGATAGTCCGAAGGTTCGATAGTCCGAAGGTTTATGGGTTCGATAGTCCGAACCGGGTCATTAGTCCAAAAACGAAATAAGGTTCGTTAATCCGAGCATTTGATGCAATAGTCCGAAGGTTCGCGTCCGAAGGTTCGATATTCCGGAGGTTAATTTATCCGAAGGTTCGGTGGTACAAATTTAGAATAGGCTAAGGTTAATATTTTTTGTCCGAAGTTCAATAGTCCGAACAAAAAAAGGGATCAATGGTCCGAAGGTTCAAAGCACACAAGGTTCGATATGCTGTCAATTCGTACTATCGAACCTCATCGTCCATTCGGACTATCAAGCCTTTGGACTATTGAACCTTCGGACTAACGAATCTTCGGACTAACGAATCTTCGGACTAACGAACCTTCGGACTAACACATTTTTGGACAAGCGGGCTGTCACCATCTGAACGTCGGCTTTAAAATGGAGAATTGTTTGACAAATGTTTAATAATAATCTTAATTGTTTAACAATCTCAGCCTGTCGCTCCCTTCTTGAAGAGTGAAACAAGGGACTGGATGATTCAGAGTGAAAAGTGGTATACATTTTGGATTGAAGAAGGCCAACTTTGAAAAGAATCACCTCCGGCAGAACTCAGCCTTTCCGATGGAATGAATTTCACTTTGAATCGTCTTGTTTCAATAGTTTCAGTAGGATAGAGAGAGATTTCACTCATCGGAAACCAACAAGTGTGGAAGTCATCTTGCAAGTAACATAGAAGTTTTAAATGTTTGTAGCCTATAAATATGCTTATGTTTGACTAATTGATATGAATGTTCATTTAGGGCAATTCCGTCAATTCCAGCTCTTTTTGTACGTCCGACCACATGAAGTACATTTTTTTTTGGCCTGTAATTGTTTTTTTTTCATTAGATGTCACACAATAGTAATTTATCACATTCACAATTTCACACTACCAACAGAAGATCATTAGGCCTAAAAAAAGGTCTCCGGTTTCTGGTATGGAGCTTGCCCAAAAATTGGTGCGGCGACGCGGCTTTTTTTTAACCTGTTTTTTGGCTTCAAATGTCGGCTGATGACTGCAAATGGTGCCCGACTAAACTTAGTGCAAATATTATGGGAGACCAAAGAGGCCACATAAAGCTTATTCTCGATCATAACCCCATCTAAAAACACGTTAAAATTGTGCAGCAGCAGGATTCGAGTCAAACCAGTGAGTTAGGCGGTTTTGAGACATCATCTTTCATTGAAAAAAAAACTTTTTCATTTTGCCGATGCGCATGGCTACGGCGACGCGCGCGCATATCAGAAACCGGAGACTTTTTTTTTGCCTTAAACAGTGTCTGACAAGTACGTCCAAATTTAACGAATTGCCCTTCGTGCCATTAATAACGAATGCTAAAAGTGGCATCTTATTTTTCCCCCAAACTATTTTTCGTCGGTTACCAAGCTTTTATGACATTGATTTCGAGCCTATGCTTTGCTTGAACGTAGACAATTTATTGTCATGGTGACGACTCATTCATTTTTTTTTCACGGTTGTTTAATAGAGTGGCGGCACTTTCAATCAGCCAGTGCCAACAGAAAAATCAATTTAAAAATCGTTGACATAATAATGTGCCATATTCACATAGTCAGTGATTTCATATTTTTTTTAACGCATGCGTTATATAACGTTGTACGTTTATAATTTAAGACCGTTCAACAGTTGGTAACCATTAAGCTGTGTGTACATGGCTTTGTGGTGGTTTAGAAGTAGAACCCCTTTAAAAAAACGAATGATCACCCATTAGCCGCGTAAATTTTAAGGTGATTTATTTTGTCAAAAGCGTACATGCTAGACTGCTCTTATTCCCGTCATAATTTTCTGATCAGATTTTGTTTAATTTTAAGGAGGTATCAGTTGTGGAAATTTCAGGTGTTAAGACAATTATATGCGCATAATGAGATGTACATTAACAATGACAATTGCGGTACCCTCAACTTAAAAACTCATTTCACAAAATTATTGACTTGCTTTTGCTCGGTCCTTCAATTCTTTGGATATCATCAGGGTTACAATCAACGATCACTGAGCAAAAAATCGGAAACCCCTACAATCGTACACGTGTAACCGTATAGGCCAATGTAAAATGTCATAGGGCCATGCCAGCAAGCGATGATCTGGACAGTTTTTTTTTAATATCCATATCGCGGTTAAATTAGATGCACATATCGATTTTTTTTCAACCACGACGACCAAGAGCATTCTGCCCCTGGCTGGTAAGGCGACCACATCCCCCACTGGCGAGAAGTATCAATAACACTGCCCGACAAACTTTGAAAGTGGTTTCCCGTGACTATTCTGCCCAAATTCACCTTGTAAAAACAAAACCGGCCCACAGTTCAAGGCAGGTTGAGGAACAATTATTTTGTCAGGACATAGGCCTCATGGCACAATCAATATTCCATTCCTCATCACGCACTACCAACGCTGCAGAGGCAAGACAATGCGGGGGGAAGGTCTCTCTTTTTAATTAGCTATCGTCAATAATTATTACCGGGCAAGGTTATGTCGACATTCGCTCAATCAGCGGATATGAGCAGCGCTTTTTTTCTTCTGCAGGCTAGTTAAGTCATTTCCCTTGATACGCATGCGTGAAACACATCGCGTGAATGAGTTAAACGATTGTGATTTCAAATAACGTACACGATAGTTTATACTTGAATTTTGGATTTGTGTCGGAGATCGTGGCAGTCTATGGCCTGCTTCGCTAGGTCACTGGTCATGATGGTGCAGGGTTGGCGGTTCTACTCCGGGATTTAAAAAAAACAACTTTTTTCCTTTTTTCCTCTAGAAGTGAATTTTCTTTCCTAAATTGTGTTTATAATCAAGTCCTGCTGATCGATGACGTAAACTTCACCTTGTTTTGATTCGTGGCTCTGAAGGATTAACAGATAACAAAGGAAAGTCCGAGAAATGTTCCGTTGCCGACTGACGCATGCGCATTATGGTCATTAACTATTTAACTATACTTTGTTGCAGAAAAAAATAATCGCGGCCATGCAGGCAGGCATGATGGCATTAATGAATCGACTGTAGAGGGTCGTTATAAGGCTGTTCAGACGCTCGTCCTACGTCAGTACTGTTGTGCTTCTTTGACTTGTAACAGTGTATCCTGCCATTTTGCAGACCGCCATGGGACACATCCGTTGTCTATAATTTCGAAACCAGATTAACATCTTTACTTTAATATTAGGACGACCGACATGGAAATTATGCCCCGACAGGTATTTTGCCTTTTATCAGTGATCCTGATAAGTTCTCGCGCCATCCACTGCGCCCAATGCCCGCCCGGCTGGCTGAAATGGCAGCAATCGTGTTACATCTTACTGCCAGACAAGATGAATTGGTTTGAGGCATCGGAGGCTTGCAACCAGCCGGGAAGCAGCCTCTTCGTACCCAACTCGCGGAAAGAAAACGACGTCATCTGGCAGTCACTTGGGATACAGACTGGCGGTTTGTGGATTGGCTGCACGGATGCAGCCCAAGAGGGTATCTGGCTTTGCGGAGGTCAACCTATGACTTTCAGCAGTTGGAATGGTGGCAATCCGCACAACGACACCCAGCGCAACTGCGCCCGGATGACGGTATACGGTGCCGGGGGCTCTTGGGGCGACGATGTTCCTTGCGGTAGCAACAACCGCAAATATGCAGCCTGCGAGATGACGGTCTCTGCGGTACCAGCCTACCACACCATCACCGGTCCTGATGGGCGTGTCCCCCAACAATGCCTCCTCCATCACGACATCAAGAATCTGACGGTAGATGGCGTGCTTGCCTGTGGCTGGGCGTGCCTGGCCGATCCCCGATGCCGCTCCTTTAATCTCTGGCAGAGCAGCAAGAGGGAAAAGATGTGTCAACTCAATGACGTCACTCGTCATGCGGCTGACGGCAACGACTTCAAGGCAACCGATAACTGTTACTATTTTGACTTGTAATAAATGATGGAAACTTTGCTTTTGAAACTTTGAGTTGGAAAGTAGATGCCAATGCTATTTTTCAAACACCTCGTCACAATTTTGGTTGATATACTAAAGCTGTTAGTTTGTTCGGTTCGGGCACTGCACAATTTGACGTTTTATAAATAATGACTGCAACTTCAGTCATATCAGTTTCACATTGCACTTTATACATGATTGTACACCACACCGTCATGTGACTTCTCACGTGCTTCAATATCACAGGCATTGAGCATCATTAGAACTGTTCTGGTCATCTCCGTGAGCTAACATGACTACAGAGCTTGTACGGGTACGGATACAGTGGAACGCCGCTATACCAAACACCGCTATACCGAACAATCGGCTTTACCAAACATCCCTGACTTCCGGTTTTGATGTACAAAACGTTCCGACCATTGTTGTTGAAAAAAAGTCAACAGGTTAACAAAAATCTACCGGATGTATTAAATGCTATGTGGGTCACTTTTAGTTCCCGAACATCAAACGACCCATAATTACATTATGTTTGAATGTTGAAGAGCGAAAGATGGCTATTATTTCCCCAAGGAATATAAGGGAATCCACCCGTTGCTAAAGTTTTGTGACAACTCCTCGTGTAGCCGCGAGATGTGAGAAATGCCAGTTCACTGTTGATCAAAAGAGGGTACCGCGCGGTTCAAAATCACTATACCGAACGATCGTTTACAAACACTTTCTGTGGATCCCGCGATAAAATTTGTTACATCAGCGTTCTACTGTAACGACATTTTGTTAAACATTGTATGACATCAGTAAATCTACCAATAGTCCTACTAATAGACAAATTCTCATCTTAGAGCTTTGTTAATTGTTGCTAGCTTTGTGTCTGTGCTAAAATTCAGCTTATAGAGAAGAGTAAACAGCTCAAGTAGAATACACGTCAAGTAAAATCATCAGCACAATTTTTGTGGTGTTAAAATAGAAATCTTACCATTAAACGCGGGAACTCGTCATTCAAATCATCAGAATTTCCGATGCATAGAGAGAATAGAAATTTGTTCCAAACTGTTACCAGTACTTCTTCGACTTGTAAAGGAAATCAACTAAAATTATGTAAAATATCAATTCCTTTATTTCAGGACAGTCAATATAAATGATTATATGTATATCTGAATTGTCAAGTATGCAGACGAATGACTTTTTGGTCACTTTCTTTACGTACTGTAATCTTTATGGAACTATATAGGAGCTGAACATAAACTTGCACTCAGTCGAACGTCAGCAGAACAGATATTAGCAAAGTCTATCTTTTCTCCGTGGGTTTAGATTGTATTCCGAACATTCTCGCACGCGGATTTCTATCGAAAACATTCTTAACGCCAAAATCATGAAACTCGCTGGAGAACAATATTCGATGTCTTGCGCGTGGTAATGTGTACCTTTTCAGTCTTGATGTAAAAACTATTTTAAACAGTCACAGAAGTATTTAGTTAATAATAAGAACAACACAGTAATGTACTAACCTTTTAATTCCTATTATTATTTTAATTACAATTTTTAGTTTCCACAGCATATGCATCAAAACAAACAAGGGCGTTTATAAAAGAGAAGCACTGCCTAAATTGGGCGATTCTCTATTTTTAGGTCAATAGTACATAAAATGCTTAACGGTTTTTTTTTTTAGAAATAATGCCAAACCATCAAGATTTAGAAGTTGGGGACAAAATGTAACCAGGCTTTTCACAAAACTGTTCTCCTCACCAAAGATGCCGCGTGGTGGCGCCCTACTGTTCTTTGTGTCGTCTGCTCTTGGTGAGAGGAAGAGAGGTTGTCGTTTGTTGTTTTCAGCTGACGCCTATTGCTCGTTAGAGAGTTTTGAAAAGGGTGTTCGCAATAGGGGAAAATAACAATGATACAACATGAAACCAAAGAGACTTGATGTAAGCTTTTATGACATTTCGGGCCCATGCTTGCTATGATCATAGGCAATTGATTGTCATGGTGACGGTTCATTCATTTCTTTTCCAAGGTTGTAGTGGCGGCGCTTTCAATCAGCCAATGCCAACAGAAAATCAATTGGAAAATCGTTGACATGATAATGTGTCATATTCACATACATTTTATTCAGTAATGTACCGGTACGGTCATATAAAAAATTGTCTCTTTTACATTTACGAGACGTTTATAATTTAAGACCCATTATTTTGTTTAATAACGGTTTCGTGATTGTCATCTGATCCCACGGAATGAGTTTTATGAATTTTGTCTTTTTTTAATTTCCCTTTTGCATGAAAAACATTGTGCATTATTTTGTATGTGCCGGCACATTGTCACACGTTTAAGCCGTGGTTGTGCAAAAAATGAAAAATCCTCCTGATGTAAGAAAGGGGCACTCGCTCGCAAGTCTTTGGCAGCGTTTGTTGAATATTTTGTTTTTTCAACAATCCAAATGTTATGTTTTGAAATTTTAATAACTATTTTGTATTGTTGCTACGTTGGCTTTCCATAGTTTGCCAACCCGTGATTGATAACAACCACGGGTTGCCCCAAAAGGTATATTTTGAGTACATGTAGTATAATTTTGATATCGCGCGCACGATAGGACATTGTGATGAGTGTTCGATAAAATTAAAACTGGAGGTTATGTTGGTGAAATTTTTTTCACTCGAATTGATTTCATTTTGCGCAATATTTGTTGAAGAGTCTGTATGATTCCAAAATTTGCTCTGTAGACTTCCGATTTATTCCGTACGGTTTGGATACAATTAAGACATTTTTTTTTTATTCAAAGAAATTAGGCCGAATTTTAAACGAATGGGGGTGCTGTAAAACCAACAATTTCGGGTTTCGTCAGTCTGGTTTCCTGACCCGAAGATAACCGGATGTCTACTATAATGGACATCAGGTAACGTTCACGTTCAAAAATTGAACATGGGGCAACAAAGCCTTTCCTCGTGCAAGTACACAGGCTTTACATGAGGCAAAACGCCTGGCAATAAATTGAAGCCGAAATTCCGTAGCCACAGCTGCTTCATCAGATGCAATGAATGAAATTTTAGTTAGTTTTGAAAGTGCTACATTCTCTATAATTATAACTGTCTAGCAGACTGTAGCACGGCTGTACATCTTTGTACAGAATAAGATGTAGAGTAATTTTAATGGGTCCATGCAATGAATCTTTCTTAGGAGCATATTCTGTGCAACTTTCTACTCCTCTTAAATGTATGAAAACAATATCCTTTTTGGTTAATGTTATTGAAGAGTGCACTTCTAATTAAACATTCAAAATTGTCCATGCTTTTCTGGACAACTAAGGGCGCTGTTGCTGTGATGTCATTTCAGGAAGACACTGTTCAGTTTAGGGGTTTTGTGAACCCAAAGATGTGCTTATTGATAACATTTGTGAGAAAAGTTTACTCATTGGCTTAACCCTAAAGGGGCCGGGTTATTTTGACCATCTCTCAGCCGGGGGGGGGGGGCGGATTCCGCCCCCCCCCTAAGATCTCGGCCATCGAGTGACGAAAAATTTGAAACTCGGCAAATGCATAGAGCAACTCTTCCTAAACATACCCAAGAAATTTCATGACTATAGGTCAAAGGGTTTTGGAATTATGGCTAATTAATTATTCATATGTATGAATGGCAATTCTGCTCTGTGTACACGACGTATATGCGAAAATTCAGTTTTCACGGCGCGTAGCGCCGGAAAATTTTTCGCTACGCGGCAACCCGTGGTCCGATTTTTATGTTTTTGGTATCAAAAGATGCGCAAAGCTCGAGGCTAAAAAGTCATAACAGCTCGGGTCGCGATTTGTTTTTTCTAGAGGCTATCACGGAAAATGTTGAGGGGGGGGGGACGGATTCCGCCCCGGCCCCTTTAGGGTTAATACTGCCATGTATACTGACACAACAACGACCTACCGAAGAAATACAACAGCAAAATATCCAAACTTCTGGCAACTCGTGGCGCTGGAATAATATAACATTGAGGTTTCTGCCTGAAATGACACATAACATTTGCTCAGGTATATGGAAATCTGCATTAGGATAATAACAAAAAAGCCACCAAAGTACCCTTGAAAATTGGAAAAAGAAAATTGAAAATAAGGTTAGATTAGACGCAAAGGTTCATTTTCAAGGATTGCATTTAACAATTTACATTGCATGGGCCAATATAAAAATGTCAAGGTACCATGCCAGCAAGCGTGTTTCCTGTCAGGAACATTTTTAATAATACAGGGGTGGGTTGCACATGTCGACTATTTCAAGCGACGGATAATCAAGAGCATTCTGCTCCTGACAAGACCAAGGCCACGCCTGTCACTGGCGAGATGTATCAATATCACTGCCAGACAAAGTTTGAAAGTGGTTTTCTCTCTTCTTCCAAAATTCACTTTGCGTGAATATCATCGGCCACACTCATCGAGGCAGTTGTCTGGTTGGAACGATCTTTTGTCAACAAATATGGCTAATTGCACAATCAATATCCTCACGCACTACCCTCGCTGTAGAGGCATCACAGAGAGGAAGATCTCTGTCGACAGTAGAGGGCCGTTATGAGGCTGTTCAGACGCTCGTCATACGTCAGTACTGTTGTGCTTCTTTGACTTGTTACAGTGTATCCTGCCATTTTGCAGACCGCAATGGGACACATCAGTTGTCTATAATTTCGAAACCAGATTAACATCTTTACTTTTATATTAGGACGATCGACATGGACATTATGCCACGACAGGTATTTTGCCTTTTATCAGTGATCCTGATTAGTTCTCGTGCCATCCACTGCGCCCAATGCCCGCCCGGCTGGCTGAAATGGCAGCAATCTTGTTACATCTTACTGCCGGACAAGATGAATTGGTTTGAGGTATCGGAGGCTTGCAACCGGCCGGGAAGCAGCCTCTTCGTACCCAACTCGCGGGAAGAAAACGACGTCATCTGGCAGTCACTTGGGATACAGACTGGCGGTTTGTGGATTGGCTGCACGGATGCAGCCCAAGAGGGTATCTGGCTTTGCGGATGTCAACATATGACTTTCAGCAGTTGGAATGGTGGCAATCCGCACAACGACACCCAGCGCAACTGCGCCCGGATGACGGTATACGGTGCCGGGGGCTCTTGGGCCGACGATGTTCCTTGCGGCAGCAGCAACAACCGCAAACATGCAGCCTGCGAGATGACGGTCTCTGCGGTACCAGCCTATCACACCATCACCGGTCCTGATGGGCGGGTCCTCAAGCAATGCCTCCTCCATCACGACATCAAGAATCTGAAGGTAGATGGCGTGCTTGCCTGTGGCTGGGCGTGCCTGGCCGATCCCCGATGCCGCTCCTTTAATCTCTGGCAGAGCAGCAAGAGGGAAAAGATGTGTCAACTCAATGACGTCACTCGTCATGCGGCTGACGGCAACGACTTCAAGGCAACCGATAACTGTTACTATTTTGACTTGTAATAAATGATGGAAACTTTGCTTTGGAAACTTTGAGTCGGAAAGTAGATGCCAATGCTAGTTTTCAAACACCTCGTCACAATTTTGGTTGCTATACTAAAGCTGTTAGTTTGTTCGGTTCGAGCACTGTACAATTTGACGTTTTATAAATAATGACTGCAACTTCATTCATATCAGTTTCGCATTGCACTTTATACATGATTGTACACCACACCGTGATGTGACTTCTCACGTGCTTCAATATCACAGGCATTGAGCATCATTAGAACTGTTCTGGTCATCTCCGTGAGCTAACTTGACTACAGAGCTTGTGCGGGTACGGATACAGTGGAACGCCGCTATACCGAACACCGCTATACTGAACAATCGGCTTTACCAAACATCCCTGACTCCCGGTTTTTATGTACAAAACGCACCGACCATTGTTGTTGAAAAAAGTCAACAGGTTAAAAAAAAATCTACCGGATGTATTAAATGCTATGTGGGTCACTCTTTTTTCCCAAACATCAAACGACCCATAATTACATCATGTTTGAATGTTGAAGAGCGATAGATGGCTATTATTTCCCCAAGGAATATAAGGGAAACCACCCGTTGCTAAAGTTTTATGACAACTCCTCGTGTAGCCGCGGGATGTGAGAAATGCCAGTTCACTGTTGGTCAAAAGAGGGTACCGCGCGGTTCAAACTTCAAAATCACTGTACCACTTTCTGTGGATCCCGCGATATTCGTTACAGCAGCGTTTCACTGTAATGACATTTTGTTAGAACATTGTATGGCACCAGTAGATCTACCAATAGGCCTACTAATAGAAAAATTCTCATCTTCGAGCTTTGTTAATTGTTGCTAGCTTTGTGTCTGTGCTAAAATTCAGCTTATAGAGAAGATTAACAGCTCAAGTAGAATACACGTCCAGTAAAATCATCAGCACAATTTTTGTGGTGTCAAAGTAGAAATCTTACCATTAAACGCAGGAACTCGTCATACAAAGCATCAGAAGTTTCAATGCATAGAGAGAATAGAAACTTGTTCCAAACTGTTACCGGTACTTCTTCGACTTGTAAAGGGAATCAACTAAAATTATCTAAACATATCAATTCCTTTATTTCAGGACAGTCAATATAAATGGTTATATGTATATCTGAATTGTCAAGTATGCAGACGAATGACTTTTTGGTCACTTTCTCAACGTACTGTAATCTTTATGGAAATATATATGAGCTGAACATAAACTTGCACTCAGTCGAACGTCAGCAGAACAGAAATTAGCAAAGTCTATCTTTTCTCCGTGGGTTTAGATTTTATTCCGAACATTCTCGCACGCGGATTTCTATCGAAAACATTCTTAACGCCAAAATTATGAAACTCGCTGGAGAATAATATTCGATGTCTTGCGCGTGATACCTTTTCAGTCTTGATGTAAAAACTATTTTAAAGAGGTTGTGGAATGCTCGAAGACATTTCCGTCATTTTTCGGTTATATGTAGCCTAAGGTGTGATGAAATAAAAACGACTATTGTTTCTGTCATGAAATGAGTACAAAAGGTACTCGTGTATGCTACTGTGCATCGGGAGTCCTGTTTATTACGTCACGATTTACTGTGTTTTGTTTGCTGCCTGCAACGACGACTTTTACACAGTTGCACGTTGGGGTCGAAACTGGACCTGAAAAACAGCTCTCAAAAGTACCTTTTGTACTCATTTCACGACAGAAACAATAGTCGTTTTTATTTCATCACACATTAGGCTACATATACCCGAAAAATGACGAAAATGTCTTCGAGCATTCCACAACCTCTTTAATTACAGTTTTTAGTTTCCACAGCATATGCACCAAAACAAACAAGGGCGTTTAGAAAAGAGAAGCACTGCCTAAATTAGGCGTTTCTCTATTTTTGGGCCAAAAGTACATAAAATGCTTAACGGTTTTTTTTTTTAGAAATAATGCCAAACCATCAAGATTTAGAAGTTGGGGACAAATGTAACCAGGCTTTTTGCAACACTGTTCTCCTCACCAAAGATGCCGCGTGGTGGCGCCCTACTATTCTTTGTGTCGTCTGCTCTTGGTGAGAGGAAGAGTGGTTGTCGTTTGTTGTTTTCAGCTGACGCCTATTGCTCGTTAGAGAGCTTTGAAAAGGGTGTTCCGCAATGGGGGAAAATAACAATGATACAACATGAAACCAAAGAGACTTGATTTTAGCTTTTATGACATTTCGGGCCCATGCTTGCTATGATCATAGGCAATTGATTGTCATGGTGACGGTTCACTCATTTCTTTTCCAAGGTTGTAGTGGCGGCGCTTTCAATCAGCCAATGCCAACAGAAAAATCAACTGGAAAATCGTTGACATGATAATGTGTCATATTCACATACATTTATTCAGTAATGTACCGGTAAGTCATATAAAAAAATGTCTCTTTTATATTTACGAGACGTTTATAATTTAAGACCCATTATTTTGTTTAATAACGGTTTTTGTGATTGTTATCTGATTCTACGGAATGAGTTTTATGAATTTTGTCTTTTATTTAAATTCCCATTTGTATGAAAAACATTGTGCATTATTTTGTATGTGCTGGCACAATGTCACACATTTAAGCCGTGGTTGGAAACAGATCGTGCAAAAAAAAAATGAAAATCCTTCTTATGTAAGAAAGGGGCACTCGCTCGCATTAAGTCTTTGGCAGCGTTTGTTGAATATTGTGTATTTGCCCCCCAAAAGGTATATTCTTAGTACATGTAGTATAATTTTGATATCGCGCGCACGATATGACATTGTGATGAGTGTTTAATAAAATTAAAACTGGAGGTTATGTTGGTGAAAAAAATGACACTCGAATTGATTTCATTTTGCGCAAGATTTGTTGAAGAGTCTGTATGATTCCAACATTTGCTCTGTTGACTTCCGATTCATTTCGTACGGTTTGGATACAATTGAGTGATTTTTTTTATTAATTCAAAGATATTAGGCCGTATTTTAAACGAATGGGGGTGCCGTAAAACCAACAATTTCGGGTTTCGTCAGTCTGGTTTTCTGACCTGAAGATAACCGGGTGTCTACTATAATAGACATCATGAAAAAAAGTAAAACTGCTGCAAACTTCAAGCTTGCGTAGGCTGGGGTGTCGTGAATGTATGACGAAATCTGTGGGACAAGGGGTTTGAGAAAACTGTCAATGAACAGGGAGATGCGTTCCGTGGGTGAGCCATTACCGGAGATGATGGGTCTACCGGGGTTGCCAGCCTTGTGAATCTTGGGTAGCAGGTAAAATCTGGCAGTCCTACAATCACAGGGAGAAAGAAATTTGTGAGCTTTCTTCGACAACTGGTCACGTGATCGCATATCGTCAAGTACCTGTTGTATATCTTGACAGAAAGTGCCTGTGGGGTCAGAGTCAAGGCGGGTATAGTTAGTGCGATTATCCAACTGGCGGTGGGCCTCATCAATGTACTGCTGACGATCCATGATGACCACAGCTGAACCTTTATCTGCTGGCTTGATGATGATGTCGGTGCGAGAGCGCAAGGAGTTGAGAGCCAGGCGCTCCTCTCTGGGGAGATTATCATGAGTCCTGTGGGGGAAGTTGTCCGGGTTAGTGACTTGGGAATTGATAACTTGAACGTATGTCTCTATGGCTGGCACACGATTCTTGGGGGGTACCCATGAACTCTTGACTCGAAAAGGCTCTGGCTCACACGGTTCACTGTCCAGGAAAAACTCACGCAGGCGGATTCTACGGTAGTATTCCGTGAGATCTTGGCTGAGCTGAACCTGGTTCACAGAACGGGGAGCGGGACAAAAATTGAGACCCTTGGAGAGAAGTTTGTGCTCTGCGTCAGATATTGATGAGGAAGAAAGATTAACTACAGTGTTGACAGGGGGTTCTGGCGGTGGCGTGGTAGATGGGGACCTAGGACGTCTGAAACGTCTGTGTCTGCGTTGCTGTTGCTTGGCAAGCAAGCCACCAATCTTCTTGTTTCTCCTGTTGAGTAGGACAGAGTCAAGGTTAGACAAACCCCTTTCAATCTCATCATGGAAATTCCTGTACGTGGAGTCAGAACAACTGGATTTGAGTTGTGAGTCAAGGTGGGAAATATTCTGATGGAGGTCCTCACGTGTAAATTGACACTGCTGAGAGAGAATATTGATGAGTTTAATAGAGGCACCATGTAGAACTTGATTCCATCTCCTTTGAAGGTGTGGTGGGAGGTTTCCTAAGCAGGGAGTGTGAGACAGTTGCAAACCTTTGGGGATAAATCGAGAGAGGGAGTAAAAACTGTAGTTATCCTGATGGTAGGAAAAGCGTAAGGCCTTTTCCTTTGCCTTTCTGAGCTGTTGGAAAGTGCAAATGGTGTCACTCATATCTGTAGAAAGGGAGAGAATAAATGGTTAATACAATAAATCAGTGGAGGAACACGAAGACAAAAAGTACAAGTCAAATGGAGTTGCTCATGCCTTTTGAAGGGACAGAGCAAAACAAAATTGTAGGTACCTGTAGTGTGGAGAGAACAGTTTGATTAGTACATGATATAAAACGATCCAAAGAAGGAACAAAACAAAACACAATGAAACTTACATGACAGCAAGGAGGATCACCACGAAGGGATACTGCAACAGAGAAGTTGAAACATGAAAAAAAGTAAAACTGCTGCAAACTGCTTACTGACTGGATGGACCTGAAATATATAAATCTTAAAATTAATGTGGCCTGACGTTGCGAACTTAGCAAGTTCTTCTTCAGAGGCTAAAACAGAAATGACAGAGATACATACATTAACATGGGGGTGCACACAAACATGCAGGGCTGAAAGAAGAAACACAAAAGGAGGATTAGGAGGGAAAGGTGTGGAAAGATGCAGGGGAGGGTGGATGAGAGAACAAAGAAACAAAGGGAGATGGCAAACCACAAGGGGTCTGGTGTAAACAGGGGAGGGACCAGAAAGGGGAAGGATCAAAGGTCACAGGGAGTGGGAACGGACAAAAGAGTGTGAGAGTGAAGAGATGATGCGGGGGGGGGGGGACAGTATAGAGGTGGAAAGGGATGAAAGATGGCCGGAGATGTGTTAACACAAACAAGGAAGACCAGATGGATTATCTGTAACAGAGGACAATGGAGGAAGAAAAGGATTAATCATTTCCAAGTTGGATGTTGAGACCATGTGGTTGAATAGTTCGAAGACGATTCATCCACACCTTCTCTCTGCTGAGGCGAACTGACTCTTTGCGATGGCCAAGAGATTCAATGCCCTGCAAAATCATATCAGAAATGGAGTGGTTAGGCAGGTTGAAGTGATGACCAACAGGGGTGTCTAGTTTCTTGGTGTTGACCGTTGACCGATGGGCATAGAAACGCTTCTTGAGCGTATTCTTAGTCTCACCTACATACTGCACTCCACAGACCCTGCAAGAAATGAGATATATGACATTAGAGGTGTTACAAGTGATGTTACCAATGGTTCTGTGGGTAGTGACAGAAGAGTGGCCAGAAAAGGAGTCAGACTCCTGGATATGAATCTGGCAGACAACACATCTGGAACTGCACTTGAAAGTACCATGCTGGGTGGGAGGGGATGCATCTAAGGATGGGACTTCAGCTCGAACAATCAAGTCCCGTAGATTTCGAGGACGCCTGTAAGCCAATGTGGGGCCGTTGGGGATGGCGCGGGCAAGGCGATCTGAAGTATGGAGGATATGATGATTGTCATTAGTGATTTTGCGGAGGGGAGGGAGATTGGGGTGAAACGTGGTAACCAAGGGAATCATGGGTTTGGCCATGGCATCAGGGGCCTTTCCCGTGAGAGCTTGATTTCTGGGGATAGATTTAGCTCTGGCAATGGCACGATGAACTTGGCGAGAGCTGTGACCCCTGGCCACCAAGTTGTTCTTCAGTATCTGTGTATGGCGGGAGAAATCGGAATCATTAGAACAAATTCTTCTGAGTCTGAGTGCCTGGCTAAACGCTATGCCAGTTTTGCAGTGCCTGGGGTGACAGCTGGAGGAGTGGAGGTACTGGTGGGTGTCTGTGGGTTTGGAATACAGGTCAGTGGTTAGTGAGTTGCCTTGCTTGCGGACGGTGACATCCAGAAAGTGGGTTTGGTGAGCCGAGAACTCCGATGTGAATTTGATGGTTAACCTTTTTGGTTAATGATAATAGACATCAGGTAACCTTCACGTTCAAAAATTGAACATGGGGCGACAAAGTCTTCCCTCGTGCAAGTACACAGGCTTTACATGAGGCAAAACGCCTTGGCAATAAATTGAAGTTCAAATTTCGTAGCCACAGCTGCTTCATCAGATGCAATGAATGAAATTTTAGTCAGTTTTGAAAGTGCTACCTTCTCTATAATTATAACTGTCTAGCAGACTGTAGCACGGCTGTAAATCTTTGTACAGAATAAGATGTACAGTAATTTTAATGGTCCATGCAATGATTCTTTTTTAGGAGCATATTCTGTGAAACTTTCTACTCCTCTTCAATGTATGAAAACAATATCCTTTTTGGTTAATGTTATTGAAAAGAGCACTTCTAATTAAACATTCAAAATTGTCCATGTTTTTCTAGACAACTAAGGGCGCTGTTGCTAAGATGTCATTTTAGGAAGACACTGTTCTGTTTAGGGGTTTTGTGAACCAAGAGATGTGCTTTAATATTGATAACATTAATTTGTGAGAACAGTTTGCTCATTGGCTTAATACTGCCATGTTTACTGACACAACAACGACCTACCGAAGAAATACAACAGCAAAATATCCAAACTTCTGGCAACTCGTGGCGCTGAAATAATATAACATTGAGGTTTCTGCCTGAAATGACACATTACATTTGCTCAGGTATATGGAAATCTGCATTAGCATAATAACAAAAAAGCCACCAAAGTACCCTTGAAAAGTGGAAAACGAAAATTGAAAATAAGGTTAGATTAGACGCAAATGTTCATTTTCAAGGATTGCATTTAACAATTTACATTACATGGGGCAATATAAAAATGTCATGGTGCCATGCCAGCAAGCGTGGATCCTGCCAGGAACATTTTTAATTATCCATACCAGGGGTGGGTTGCACATGTCGACTATTTCAACCGAGGATAACCAATAGCATTCTGCTCCTGGCAAGACCAAGGCCACGCCTGTCACTGGCAAGATGTATCAATAACACTACCAGACAAATTTTGAAAGTGGTTTTCTCTCTTCTTCCAAAATTCACTCTGCGTAAATATCATCGGCCACACTCATCAAGGCAGTTGTCTGGTTGGAACGATCTCTTGTCAACAAATATGGCTAATTGCACAATCAATATCCTCACGCACTACCCTCGCTGTAGAGGCATCACAGAGAGGAAGAGATCTGTCGACAGTAGAGGGTTGTTATGAGGCTGTTCAGACGCTCGTCATACGTCAGTACTGTCGTGTTCCTTTGACTTGTAACAGTGTATACTGCCATGTTGCAGACCGCAATGAGACACATCGGTTGTCTGTAATTTCGATACCAGAATAGTATCGCTACTTATTAGGACGACCGACATGGAAATTATGCCACGACAGGCATTTTGCCTTTTATCAGTGATCCTGATAAGTTCTCGCGCCATCCACTGCGCCCAATGCCTGCCCGGCTGGCTGAAATGGCAGCAATCTTGTTACATCTTACTGCCGGACAAGATGGATTGGTTTGAGGCATCGGAGGCTTGTAACCGACCGGGAAGTGGCCTGGTTGTGCCCAACTCGCGGGAAGAAAATGACTTCGTCTGGAAGTCAGTGGGGCCACAGACTGACGGTATGTGGATCGGCTGTACAGATGCGGCCCAAGAGGGTATCTGGCTGTGCGGAGGTCAACCTGTGACTTTCAGCAGTTGGTATTGGGGAAATCCGCACAACGACAGCCATTGCAACTGCGCCCGGATGACGGTATACGGTGCCGGGGTCTCTTGGGCCGACGATGTTCCTTGCGGCGGCAGCAACAACCGCAAACATGCAGCCTGTGAGATGACGGTATCTGCGGTACCAGCCTACCACACCATCACCGGTCCTGATGGGCGTATCCCCCAGCAATGCCTCCTCCATCACGACATCAAGAATCTGAAGGTAGATGGCGTGCTTGCTTGTGGCTGGGCGTGCCTGGCCGATCCCCGATGCCGCTCCTTTAATCTCTGGCAGAGCATCAAGAGGGAAAAGATGTGTCAACTCAATGACGTCACTCGTCAAGCGGCCGACGGCAACGACTTCAAGGCAACCGATAACTGTTACTATTTTGACTTGTAATAAATGATGGAAACTTTGCTGTGGAAACTTTGAGTTGGAAGTAGATGTCAATGCTAGTTTTCAAACACCTCGTCACAATTTTGGTTGATATACTATTAAAAGCTGTTAGTTTGTTCGGTTCGGGCACTGCACAATTTGACGTTTTATAAATAATGACTGCAAGTACAGTCATATCAGTTTCACATTGCACTTTATACATGATTGTACACCACACCGTCATGTGACTTCTCACGTGCTTCAATATCAAAGGCATTGAGCATCATTATAACTGTTCTGGTCATCTTCGGGAGCTAACATGACTACAGAGCTTGTCCGAGTACGGATAGTGACATTGTATGGCACCAGTAGATCTACCAATAGACAAACGATCATCTTCGGGCTTTGTTAATTGTTGCTTGCTTTGTGTTTGTGCTAAAATTTAGCTTATATAGAGAAGAGTAAACAGCTTAAGTAGAATACACGTCAAGTAAAATCATCAGCACAATTTGTGTGGTGTCAAAGTAGAAATATTACCATTAAACGCGGGAACTCGTCATTCAAATCATCAGGAGTTTCAATGCATAGAGAGAATAGAAATTTGTTCCAAACTGTTACCGGTACTTCTTCGACTTGTAAGGGGAATCAACTAAAATGTGGTAAAAATATCAATTCATTTAACGGTTATATGTATATCTGAATTATCAAGTTTGCAGACGAATTGACTTTTTGGTCACTTTTTCAACGTACTGTAATCCTCGAGGTACTATACAGGGTGAGTAAAAAAAACCCCGAAACCCAAATATCGGGACCATTTTTTTTAGTGAAGTTCTACATGTAGCACTTTCAATATCTAGGTTATGAAAGCCCAATTCATAAGCTTGTTTTTAGTACAAAAATCATTCACATCACGTATGTACTCTTTAAGTTACGGAGATTTAAACACAACCACCGTTTTAAAGTTCTGTCCAAGGATCACATAAAAGGTGTGCGTTCTTTGAGAAAACCGAAATCAATTCACACAAATTCTTATGTGATTTGTTTTCGTTTTGCTGAAAGGACACTGAACTTTTTTGTGATCCGTGGACAGGACCTTAAAGCGGCGGTTGTGTTTAAAATTCCGTAACTTGAAAAGTACAGGAGTGATTTGAATGATTCTTGTACTAAAAGAAAAAAATATGAATTTGGCTTTCATATCCTAGATTTAAAAGTGCTACATGTAGAACTTGACTAAATCAATGGTCCCGACATTTGGGTTTCGTTTTATTTACTCACCCTCTATGGGAGCTGAACATAAAATTGCTTACAGTTGAACGTCAGCAGAACAGATATTAGCAAAGGCCATCTTTTCTCCTTGGGTTTAGATTGTATTTCGAACATTCTCGCACGCAGATTTCTATCAAAAACATTCTTAAAGCCCAAATCATGAAACTCGCTGGAGAATAATTTTCGATGTCTTGCGCGTGGTAATGTGTATCTTTGGAGTCTTGATGTAAAAACTAACAGTCAAAGAAGTAATTAGTTAATAATTAGAACATCACAGTGAGGGAGTTAACGAACAGTAGAAAATATTGAAATAAATGTATGTACCTTTAATTCCAATCATTATTATTATTACAATTGTTAGTTTACACAGCATATGCACCAAAACAAACAAGGGCGATTAGAAAAGAGAAGCACTACATAAATTGGATGATTCTCTATTTGTAGGCCGATAGTACATAAAATGCTTCAGGGGATTTTTAAAAACTAATTGCAATCCATCCAGATTAACAAGTCGGGGACAAATTAAAACGTTTTTTTTTGCAAAACTTTTTCTGGTATAAAGCCGCAAGCGAAAAAAAGATATATCGTAGAATAAAATGTGATCATAAGTTAAACCAAATGCACATAATTTGGCTTAAAAAAAAACTACTCTTTTTGTTTGCATGCTATAACTTGCAGTGTACGGGGCATTATTGTGTAGTCCGGAAGAGCAAAATTAGTTATGTTTGTGTACAAGTATAATATTGAAATAAACGAGGAACGAAATCGGAACAAGAAGTGTGCTGCACAAATTTCTGATGAAGACAAAGTTGAATTTGCTATCACAATGTGGCGATAAGTTTCAAAGTTATGTTTCAAAGAAATGCCGGCATCTTAGAAGAATTGATTTCACTGGTGCTTGGTACCTATAGCCTTAATATTTACGTTTTTTGTCAATATTCCATTCTATTCCGGTACGGTTGTGATAAAGTCAATCATAATCAATCACAGTTAACATCCTAAGTCCAGTCTTAAGTTAATTCACAGGCTGTTCAATGAACCTTGGCAAAAGTGGGTTGACAGAGTAAACCCTAGGCCCTTTAACTTCTGGAAAGTCGAGAAAACACCCTCTCACTTGCTTCTTACAGAACCAATATTCACAGAAAGAGACTGATATTCACAAGGTGTTACGGTGCAAACCCCCCTTCTTGTAAAAAAAATTCTTTTCTTTGTCCTTGTGGGGGAGTGTGGTGTAGCGGTTAGGGTTCGTGACTAATGATCAGAGGGTCAGGGGTTCGAATCCAGCTGCTGGTCAAAATTATGTTGTGTCCTTGGGCAAGCCACTTCACCGTCACTTGCCTTTCTCCACCCTGGAGTATGAATGGGTACCGGCATTCGCTGGTGAGTAACCTGTGATGGACTAGTATCCCGTCCAGGGGGAATTATACATGTATTCTTAGTCGTTTCATGCCTCTAAAACCAGAGATAAACGTCGGCCTGATGGGCCACATTGGCGCATGACAGACTCTGCTACTTTACGTTGTCTTTGCTCATCCCGAGCTACTCATAATCGCCTTATTCATGATTTGTCTTGTGATCGACTTGATTACAGCTCTTATGATTCGATAGACCCCTTGTTTGATGCACCATTACTGAGGGCAGTTTTTCTTTATTTTAAATTCAATGCCAATGAGAGTACAGTAAGTTTTCTCATGCGCATCACAAAGGAGGAAAGGCATGTCCTCAATGTACTGGTATTAAGCAAGGGCAGACGTAAGGGGTTATATAGCTTCAATGTACTGGCTATTTATTTGGCCCCTTGTTAATATTTGCGGCCCATTTCGAGACTCAGCCGGGTATGTGAGAGGTGTTGGCCAGTACCGGTGATACACAGCTGACGGACGGCGTGGCTCCCAGCAGGTAGTTGAGAAGATACGCGGTGGCCGAGCCCGTGGTCAAACCAACATTGTAGGACAGCGTCATAATATTACCTGCAAAGTCAATACCAAGATGAGAGTAAATTTAGTTGTGTCAAGTCTTCTGAGTTTTCAAGCCTGGACTACTATAAGTTGATTCTACTATTTATTTCAGACTTCTGCGGAATTTTACGCCCGATGTACCAACGTCATCAGGCCTAATTCAGGTGTGGTTTTATTAGAGGCGGAGCTACGAAATTATAGATTTATAGCCTCTCAGGTTCATCTCGCTCAAATCCGTTTTTGCATTGACGGACTTTTTTTTGGGGGGGGGGGAGCAGAACTGTATTTTTTGCATGGAAAATATCCCTCAAAGCTCAAACTATATCGACGAAATTTGAATATTACCAATAATTCAAGCCCTCTATCAACCTGAATCCTAACAGTGAAAGGACTGCCATAGTTTGGGGTATATCAAAGTTAGGGCTGGGCAATGTAACAAAATAACCGTGTAATACAGTGTACAAATAATTTATGACGGCCCTAAAGGTTTAAACGTAGTGTAAAAGTAACAGTGGTGTTTAACACAAATGTTACTATTCCTCAGTCTACTTTTAAATTTTAAAGGTGTAGTTTTGCCCATTATTTCAAACATTACCTGCTAACTCTTTCTTGCTCTCGTTGACTTTGGCCGGAGCCATGATCATAGGGACGCTGCCGAAGTACCCGTTAGTGATCCCAAGTAACCCAGAGAACAGCATAGCCCAGGCCTCGTGGGTCAGGACCGGCTGGGTACGCGGCGCCACACAGAGTACCATGAGCGGGATGATGACCAGGCGAAGCGCCTCGGCACCGACGAGTTTACGGGGTGACCACTCGTACGGGATGGCACCGATTATCTGTCCCCCGTAAAAAAGTGGACATTGATAAGTTGTTGAGAAAACACTCGATCCTAGTATAAATAATCATCAGAGTTTTTAGTAACAAGAACATAACATAACAAAAAGAAGCACATTTTCATCAGTCTTTTGTTTATAAAATCTTCACCTTTAAACTAGTTTGTGAATCAATTTTACTCATGATAAAATCCATTAGCCTTGTGAAAAGATGTAATGTAATACAAGAAGACACTCTTGAGGGCACTATTTAGGGGTACCAAAAGGGTCCGATTTTTATTTTATTCCATCAAAGCTTCTTTAGTCATCGTATAAAAAAATGGTATTTAAATATTTGAATAAAATACTTCAAACAGAAACCACGCATTTTCATCCAGCTGATATGCAGAAACGGTTAAAAATTCAAGTGCTAATTTTGCAAAGATCAGCTGAGATTCGGTAAATTTAAGCAGTATACACTGCATAACATTCATTGATGCAATTTCAAGATTGTACATGTGTTATTTTTGGATAACTGCAATATTCATTATGTAAACTGACTTTAATATCCTTGTATTCGCGTTTGTTCCCAAACAACTTTGATATAGCACCGTAATTTGCAAAAAAACATGGCACGTTTACCTTGCCACAAAAGTCAGTTGCGTTGAATATAGCCATCAGAATGACGGGCATCCAGCCGCGTAGACTGCAACTGACAACCTCGGACTCGATCCCAGGGAATAGGCACAGAGTGACGAAGTAAGCCAGGCCGATGGACAGCATGTACGGCCATAACGTGCGGGCTATGTCTCGTCTCATCGCCAATCCTCCTGTGATAGGGATACGAAAAATAGGCAGATAGAGAAGGATTGGAATTATAGCGGAGAGGAGATGTACGAAATGAAGCGGGATGCTGGGCGAAGCCAGGTGCGCCGGGTAGGGATGTTGTGTCGCTCAGTGGCGGAGCGAAAGCACGGGTCGAGTGCTGAGACCTAAGTGGACAGGGGAATGTTGGTTTGGGATAGCCGTTGGTTAGTATAGGCAGGTAAGACAAAAATAAATGGTATGGGCATGACACAGCTGAAGTCCTATGAACCTAAACCCGCCTGTTTCTGCAAGTACAATATCATACTCCGGGGGAAAATTCCCCCGAATTCGGTTAGGAATGATTAAATCTTCAGAATATGGGAATGTGAGTCTGAAAATATTGAATGTGCATACATGCAACATTAATTCCCCGTCAAATTGAAACCTTATGTCTCCAAAATAATTCATAAGAATTCTTTTAAAAATAAATGAAACGAAAACGAAAATTGAACACTAACAAACGTTATAAAATTTAAGAGTGCATTCCCCTTCTTGTTTTCCTGAAGACAATGAAACATTCCATTTCGTGATTTCTTTCTTACTTTTCAAAGCGCGCGTTTTACATAGAAACCTGTCGTACGCTTTCACCTCGGGAAACTCAATCGCAAAGCTGTTCTCCTCACCAAAGATGCCGCGTGGTGGCGCCCTACCGTTCCTCTGTGTCGTCTGCTCTTGGTGAGCGGGAGAGTGGTTTTCGTTGGTGTTTTCAGCCGATGTCTCCTGCTCGTTAGAAAGCTGTGGGAAAAATAACAATGTTTTATACGTAGTGCATGAAACCAATTCAGCTTGTGAGCGCCATGTCATTGCATGCAACTTGTAGTATGGCAGTATGGTTATTAGTTCAGATGTGTTTAAATGTCAATTTAACTACCCCCTTTTGGGCGAGTATACAAGCTTTAAGCACAAAAATACCTGGTAACCGGAAAATTCCGCGGAATTTGGTTGGCAGCAATTATTTTGCACTCTAAAATCTCCTGGACCAGCACATTGTTCAGGAATCTGAATCCAAAATTGCTCAGTACTTTTCCGTGTAAAAAAAAAAACATTTTGGGTCAAAATAACCCAGAAGAAAAATGTCATTTTGACTCCAAAGGGGTCACTTTTGACTTAGTACTGGAAAGGACTGAGCAAATTAGATTTAGATTCCGGAATAATCTGACCAAGAAAATTTTAGAGTGTGGCTTGTTTGTATTGCTGAATGCAATGCTCTCAGTCTCTCATTTGCATTTCGTCCCCAGTATGGCAAAATTTTAATCAAAAAATAATGTCCCGGGGCATGATGGGAAATGGTGGGATAGGGCGGGACTTAGGAGTGCGGGGGGGGGGGGGCTTAGCGGGGCTGAGTGGGGCTGGGCGGGACAGGGCTGGACAGGTTAGGATGGGGACACGAAAAGGCAGTGGGGCGGGGCGTAGCGGAACAGGGAGAGGCCGATGCGGGCAGGAAAGACTTTAGGGACAGAGAACGGGATACTATCTGGGTGTTGCATACCTGATCATACTGATTCAGCCATCTACCCTGGCCCTCCACGCCCTCCTCCCGGGGCGAGCAGGCCGTCACGTGATACCGGACGAAGTCCGTCCGTCTGGCCAGGTGATGGGTCAGTAGGCAGACCAGCACCATGGCGGCCGACAGCACGAAGAAGGTCAGCGTGTTGATCTTCTCGTCGTGGACCAGGAGTTTGGTGACGATGCGGTTGATGGAGGTCAGGAGACCTGCTGCACCTGTTAACGAGAAACCATTAAGACAGAGTTCATTCAAACCATTAAGACAGAGTTACGGTAGTCACTTCCTTACAAGCCAATGTCAAGTTTAAATAAGTCATTCAGTGTAAAGTCCGCAAGACAGGCTCCAGATATATATTTTTTTAAAGGTGTTGAAGTTCAGTGATAAGGGAGAAGGTTAACTGAGATACAACGACATTATACAATGAAACAAGATTTGCAATGAAGTATTACGTTACTTAAGCAAATATTTCTCAGTAATAGACGGAGGGGGGGGGGAGGGGTTAGTCTCCTAAACCATCCCTATAAAATGGGGGGGGGGTCTCTTAAACCATCCCTACAAAATCTGCCTCTCCAGTGACAATGCGTTTCAAATTTTACGTTTTCAAATAAACCGCAATGGGCAACTGAGTAGGAGCAAAGAAATTTACTGGACCGGGGTATGAACCTGCGACCTCCGGATTGCCGTTCGGGTGCTCCACCAACTGAGCTACCCAGCCCCCAATGTTGGCGGGTCCTATTTGTCAATATTACGGACAAAATAGATATAAGGCTCCGAAAAAAAGACAAATCATCATTTTGCATTGGTAATTTCATCAGGCACATTATGGGCAATGTGGATTTCACAACAAAATGTTATACGATGTATGATGTGGGTTAGGTGTAATAACCACACAAACTGGTGATAACCAGCTAGTTTTCATGCAACCGAGCTGCATATGTATCCCGTACCTTCTCCATTTTCAATCGCCCTATTGTCTTTGTACAAGGGACGTATATGACAGAAGCCATAAACCCGCACCAGCACGGCAATCCTGAGGTGGCAGGTTCGAAGCCCGTTCTCGTCAATTTCTCTCTGTTAAACTTTAAAATTTAACTTTTCGTAGCCAAATTCCCATTAGAGATGATTAAGAAATCTTAAGACGACAGCAAAGAAAACATAATATAACACTGTCCACCATAAATCAAACTCGGTCCGTGGAAATGACACCGAGAAGCTCAACAAAGACACGGCGGACGTACTTTCCCCTGTCATGACCGCCTGCGTGAATCTCCTTGGTAACATCCCCGCGTAACCATAGAAACTGGACTGTTGAACTGAAAACAAAAAAATGAAATTGTGTGAAAGATTAACCAGTTAGTAAAAAACGTTGTGGCAGATACAAAATGCTGAAAGGAATAGATCGTCAGAAATCAGTCGGAAATCGCTTCCAGACCAGTTAATATTATTAATTACATTTATAGATGATATCCTAGCAGCTATACTTTATGCAATCAATTATTTCGAGGTTGCCTCTTGAGGATTGTGAAAGTAGCCAGTTTATTCATGAGATGGAATTCGCTTCGGGTGATGTAAATTCAATGGTGGGTTTTGGGCTCAACCCAATGTTGAAAGTCTCCAGTCGCTGAACTTGCCGATACACAGTCAGCACGCTTTGAACTGAACGTCTTGTAAGAAACCTTAACCTAAACAACGTATTGCGTCGCTCACTTGAAACGTTATGTGTACATAATGGCTCCATAACGTCACTGTGTGATTTTACGAAGCGGAAAAAATGTATGTACGTGAAGATCACAAAGCAATCACTCAGGCTCCATTTTTCTTTGAAATGAAAAATTAATGCATCGTCCGTCACACGACGTGTCTATATTTCGAAAGTACATCACGGCAGCGTTGATTTTTCTGCGCGTGACTCAACTTAATACGCTACTTTTTTTCTCTGGAAAATCGAGCACTTTATTTTCATTCCGTCAAAGATACCCTTTGAGAAGTCAAGCAATTACGAACTTGACGTCCCGGGCAGAAAGACGGTGTCAAAGTCTGCAACGGTCCTGGCTGGACTTGTTGATCTAACCCTACGTCAACGTACGTGTAGGCCCCGCCACTGCAGAGTATAAAAACAAAATAAACGCCACGTTGATGGGCACTTGAAATATTGCGTCTCATTTGTATTGCCCACTGTTTCAACTGAAAACCACGCGCGCTTTTATGAGGTATTTGGCCGCTGTTACTGCTTGATAAATACAGGATGATGGAGACACAAATTCAACAGCTTGTTGAATGTGACATTTTCATGACAGGACATTATTCAACAAGGTCTGACATGAAATGTGCTCAGGACGATGTTCCCTGACTTTCCTTTTTTCAGCCGCTCTATACACGATTCGCTGCCCACTGTTTTTCGTTTAGTGTTATAAGGGTTGCTACCGTGAGGTATTCCTCAATGTACCTCGCACTGCCTCACTCAGTTCGTTTAACTCATCATCCACGACAATTTGGATGAAGATTTTTATAATCAAACGTCAAGCGTTATGTCAACATGTTCCATCTTTTGCTTCATTATCGCTTTAATTGTAAACCATAACGTAGTTAAACATTGTCAGGTCTATTTAGAGGGACTTTCAGCCGCGTCTACATTTTAGTTCCAGAATTTTCAGGTTTATCATATAAAGTTGATTAATGAAGGAAACACAATTAATAGGTCTAAACTCTCAATCACTGATCGAGTTTTGCCATTAACGCAAGCTTTATTATGATAACCTAAAAGCCAATACGTGTTCGTCGAAAACAACATTGAATCGGGTATATATTCAATACGTGACTGCTATGTAATCGGGCTCTAATATGCAAACACTCTGCTTAACGCGGGATGCAGGCTGAGTGCCCGCGAAATTAATGTTTGATCCGGGGCGTAGGGTAACGTTGAATGAAGAACGAATGAAACGCAGGGCCCGTGTGTTTGCGAACCATACGGGACAATGCATGTTTCTCAATCAGCCCGAATCAACCATCCATGTTCTTAAATGGGCATTTTGCTCATGAATACATTCACACTGAGAAGAGAAGACGCTAAATGTGGTTTTCTGATGAAAGTGGGTTAAAAGGGAAATGTCATTTTGAAGATCGAGTTAAAAAAAAGCACTCAAATCTTCCAGTCACATTCGAAGCGTGCATGTCTAGTATCACCGCGCCTGGTGAAAAATAGGAGTACGTGGTCGTAGGGCTTTAACTCATCCTCATTTTCGGGTTTTGTATATAGATCTAAATTGGGAGCCCCCTCAATAGTAACCTCTTTATATATCCCTTTCCATTTTCGATGGAAATAAAACCTTGGGGGTTCGTAGTGCCAATAAGAATCTCTCATTTAGCCTCTTAAAGAGGGGTCACGCAGCATATTTTGGGCTGTCAACGTAAACGAAAATACGTTCTTTGTGGCTTCACTCCCGTCGTACGATTTGGGCAAGTATTTTTTATCATTGCGAATGGAAATAAACATTCATTGCAGAAAATCTGTTCCAGAATTTCGATGTTTTTCTGTTCGTTTTGTTGGAGCCAAGTTTGGTGTATCCCTCGATCAGAGCACGTCCCAAAAGGTATATAAACTACCCCAAATCGGTCTCTCGTCTCCTTAAAGGTTTCCAACTTCGATGGCAATCTCTGGGTAATTTGATTTCTTGCCGGGGATTCGTTTCAGCTGGATTCACGACGGAGGACCCAATTATTTGTGGTTCGTGCGTGGCCGTGCCGATTCGTTTGCCCCGTATTTGGATGCCATTTCATCGGCCAATCAAGCGTTATTAATCCCACACGGAGAGATTCTTCGCTGCAAAAAACGTGCCCCAGGGAGACAGCTCGATAGAGAAGACCTTTTTGCACTTCAAAGGAAGAGGTTTTTGTCCTAAACAACCGGGAAGCGCCGAGATTAAACAGATTGCATCAGTAGAGAGTACCATGGGCGGATCTTGAGGTAAGGTGGGTTCGTGGAGGGCAAAATGTTATCAAAAGCCGATTCTTGTCCTCGGGCAAACGAAGAAAATAAAACAGGGACATGATATCACCAAAATATATTGACTTAGCGCTGCGGCGCGGCACGCAGTGTGTATTTTCATTAAGGCGGTTCGGTCCTCAAATGTCATGTAAAGACCAGTGACCTTTAGGTTTGATTACCTAGGGCAAGCCAAAACAACCAGTGTCTTCTAAAAGTCAAGTATCCAAAACCTGCTTTTGGATGAAAGCACAGGCCAAAGCAGACCGGTATGTTTGCATGATGTCCTCGGGGTAACTTAAGCTAGGCCTTTAGGCCCAGTGCAGGATACTGGATTCAGTACTTGTACATATGGATGTCAGTACTGTTTTCTAGGGACCAGCCTAGAGTCCTCTTTGTGTCTCACTATTAACTGACTCACTGTTAGTGTTACTTGGCATGGTTGTTGGCTGGTATTGAAAAGGCCTGTACACCAGATGCATCAAAATGATTTCCAGATAATATCCATTTTGAATCAGTTAAATAGAAATGTGTGAGTTCAAGGATTAGCTTGACTGGGCTTGCCTTGCCTTAATTGTTATACCGTACACAATGTTGAAATACCACATACAAGAGGGTTTTTTTTTTTTTTTTTTTTAATTTTTTTTAGAGAAGTATGGTTCTAGAAGTGGTTCTTTAACTCGACGTTCCAGTCGGTATAACAATCATGCTATTTCCTTTATTTTCAGAAATGGATGGATTTGGGGGTTCGTATGTTATATCAAATATTGGTACACTGACCTGTTTAAAGTTTTGTGTTCGTGGATGCTGGAAAACCTTTAAAAAAAACCAATCGTATTCTTGTAGTCTGGCTCCCTGACCCCACTGCAGATGAAACGGAACAGTTTATAGACGTCGGGAAATTGTAAGGTCAGGGAACCAGTCTAGCTGGCTTGCACCGTTCGCAGATGTGTAACTGATTAAAAACAAGATGTGGACTAACTACATTTCTTGAAAATATCAGCACACCAGGTGCCATGATTTTACAGGATGCGTTAGACTGTCATCCACTAACAGTCCAGTAAGGTATTTCATGATAATTTGGTAGTTTTGTTTTTCGATGTTTGCAAAGGCCTATTGTCTTTAAATGTGGAGAGGTACCGGCATAGTCCTCAATACGCTGATTTATTAGCCAATACATTTTTAAATGTAGGAGGTATAACAGGATATCACTTTCGTTTCTCGTATATTCCTCACCACTTGGCGAATTAGACACGAGCTCAGCATATCTACGCCAGGTAAGTTTTAGAAAGCTGCTCCTTTCGAAACCCCGACGCTAGCATTTCACCAGGCGACACAGGAAATAGACTCCTCGCAAACAAATCGATACCGGGCCTGAGCGCCAGAACACCCCGGGGTAACATTGCCTGTTCCTCCCGCGTCCTATTCCCGAGAATCTGTTTGGGTTTTGGCGAATTTAATATCGCAACATGTGCAGGCCCGCGGCAGTATCAATTTGTTAAGTCCATCCTTTCCCTCCCCGTGAAAAAGAAATGGCAAAGAAAAAAAATGTCCAACTCGCATTGTACGATATATTGGAAACGACAGCTTAACCTTTCCGTGGCGGTGATCATAACAGAGGGAGGAAATCGAGTGGGGAATTTTAATTAGCTCTCATGCAGGTGGTGCTGCAGAGACTCGTCGGGGAAAATGCATTGATATGTAAATTCAATGTGAAAGGACTGTTAAGTATCGCTTAATTAATATATCGCCAGTATTTGTGATGGCAGTCGGCAGATAAAATAGTGCCTTGTAATCTCACTGTGTCGGCTCTACATCAGAACTGATGTATGTCAATAGAGTAATGCGTAAGCAGCCATTTTGACATCAATGCTTGTCACAGGCGAACTACTGCGAAAAAGACTATAGCTAAAAAAACCTGCTACTTTGTTATGATATAGTGACTTGCGAGAGACCAATTAACACTTTTGTCAATTTTGAATAACAATACTTGGTACAATGTCTCATAATTCATAATGTTACCAGATTTGGTACGTTATCACTGAAATAGAAGGTCTGAAACGCTTTTGTTCCGGACAAAATACCTGAAATGTGAACAAAAAGGCGACCATTGTTATGCTTCAGACATTTTTGTCCGGAACAGAAGCGTTTTAAACATTTCGGGTTCATAGTGATGTTTAAGCTCTCCAGCCGAAACACATTCCTAATCACGTGCTGCAGGCAGGTAATCGTACCGTATACGGAGGAGACGTCAAATACGCATACATTGTTCCCAATGGACAAGAATGGGTGGCAATGGCTCAAAGACACAGACCATTGCAGAGCTGAAGGTCCTTGCCGCACGGCTTACCCTAAATCGATCAACTAATGTAGCAAATCTGTGTTAAGTCCACGGAGTTTCAAATTGAATGCGCGAGTGTGCATAAAAACAAAATCAGAACGACACTGGACACTATCAGATTTGATTCTTAAATGGCTCATTACATGTGGCATTGCATACCGGTACATCCCAGGGAAACCATGGCAACGGCAGCAAGGATGACGAAGTAACTAGTGCCCGGTGCAAACACCTCCAGTCCAACTTCGAAAATCGCGACCAGAGTGAGCGCAAGGAATGCTACGATGTACCCAAATGTCACCTGTCAAAAAAATAAAAATAAAACTGGTCCCTTTAATATGATATAATGTTATTACGTCGATGTAAAAGGTAAATGTAACCTGATCGATTTTGGTTCATCGTTTGCCAGATATATGCTTTACAAATGTTGACTTGTGCCTTTAGAATTAGCTCGCTGAACATTAGACAGGTTCCCGCTCCCATAATATGGGGACCGGTAGCTTGTTCCCATTTAAAGCCATTGATTGGATCACCTCTGCGCGTGCGCTGCATGATGTTTTATTTTTGACAATGATGTGTACGGCTTTGCGCATGGATGACAGTTGAACTCATGGCTATCAAAAAACTGACTCTTACCATAACCAGTATAGGGAAAATCACCAGTGTTTCCACGAAGGCAACTTTCAAGCATTTCAACTGCATAGGTTTCAAATACCGAAAAGTAGTGCCCCTCTCTTTATTGGTAGTGCCAGAGACACTTTCGAATTTAGTGACAGTCGAAGCTCATTACCACACACACTGCACATTAGTGGTAGCCTTGTTGCCATTTTGCAATAGGCTGGTTCCGCGCTATTATTATCGTTGTGATTTTGTATTCAGGGGCGGGAATCAGACCTAGGCTAGTCCTGCATATAATTTGCATACATTAGTGGGAAATCCTCCTAATGTATTCTTAATCTATTACCCGTTACCAGTCCCTATACATGTGAAGTCCGAAGGACAATGGAGGGACCGGGAACCAGTCTAGCTGAACATAGGAGGCATCCAAACTCTTGGTGGCAGCAGACAGATTATGTAAATCTGTCGTGTACGTGATGATTAAAAAACAAGTGCAGTCTGTGACTGCCATTGTAAGCATTAGGTGGTAGGCAATTGGATTTTAAATGGCAAATTTGATTGACTGATGACGAATCTGTAAATTCCATAACCGTATTTGTTAAAAGTGGGAATAGTTGGCTACCGTACGGGTCAAAGGAGCTGCAGTTAATTGCATACTTAAGATATGAATGGGAAGATACAAATCAGAGATGGTAAACCTTTGAGTGTATCTTATCTTCCATTGTAATATTAACTCTTACAATGCCACAATAATCACATTCACATTTTTGATATTCCTGAAAAAGGATGAAAACCAACGTACCCGGACATGCAAGGAGAAACTCTCCACCAAAGCGTTGTTCAGAAACACCGTCACGAAAGCCACCAGGATGTAGGTCAGGCTCATGTCGAACACGATGGTGCTGCCGGGGTACTTGTCCAGGAAATAATCCACGGCGGTGATGAAGCTGTTGTAAGGCAGCAGGAACCCGATGCCTGCCAGAAGCAGGGAGACGTAGATAGCGTGGCACCGGTCTTGGGGCTGGACCAGGCGGATGGAGGAAGGAGCGGCCATGGGGTCGCAGCTCCCGCCGCTGCTTTCCTCCGAGGAGACATCGATGGGGCGGGTATCAGGCAGCGCGTTGACCCGGACATCGCGCGGGCCAGTGCCCGGGTGTGAATCGGCCTCGCCCGGTGCGATCAGCTCGGCCGTGTCGTGGTTGCAGATCAAGACATCGTCAAATTGTGACATCTTGAGTTCACTATTAATTCCAAGTTTTGTTATCGATCTGCTTTAATTAATGTCCAAACGGAGCACTTGATATAACTTACCAAGGACCTTCCAAATCCACTAACGTAAGTTTTGGAGACTTCGACAGGAATGAAGGAGATTTAGCCCAGACACGTACAAGTTGTTTACATGAGGCCTGAGTCTTGATGTGCCGTGAAAAAGTAGTACAAAGAATGTGCCGCTCGGTTCCTGTACAATTTATATGGATCTTTGAAGATTCAACGCACCAAAGATTATAACTTGTTTAGATTAATCACAGTCAACCAGTATCCAGCGACATACATGTATGTTGGCTGTACAGTCAATCAAGTTGACCAACACTGCAGGATCATGGAGTGCGTCTTGAAGTCTGTAATGACACGAAAAGATGTTCGCCATTAATGGAAGATAATGCTCAGCAGAATCAGGTTACGCAAATACAGACACGATATTATGGTCTATATTATAAACACGAGGCAAGACAAGAACGATCATGACCTGATGTTTGCACAGTATTCAATTGGGCACAGTCTGACTGGCGGACCCAAGACACCTGGTTATAGATTGGACTAGCCAATAGTCAATCTCGTACCCAGCTGACTACAGCAAGGGTCAGCATGGGTGGAGGTTTGACTGCTTTCTACTCACAGTAAAAGGGTTTTTAGAGTGGCAGACAGACTGTAAGACACAGGTAGACTGAGATGCAAACAGAAAGACAAACAACCCAAGAAACAGACAGACACAGCTATGAGGTGAAATAAAACCAGAACGAAACAGCAAAACAAGTTAAGGAAGCTTGCTCTCTAATAATTGAGTCATGACAAATGAAATGGAATGAAAAGTGATATGATACCTTCGTCACACTTTACTGTCTTGAATAGCTTGTGACTGTACTTGAGACTGATTTTAAGATTTTTTTCTCTTCATTTTTTCCCGTTTTCCCTTCGCCGGCTTAACAACAGAATGAAGCTTGTGCTGTTAAAGAGCTCGGTGGAAAAATCACCAGCTGATTTACTTTGGGGGATTCAACTGATGACCTAAACGAGTGCCGGCATCTTAGCCACTTGATATAGATACTAGGGTCATTGCCGATTGGAAATGAAATGGCATCGGGTACCGCAATCAATAGATACCTGATCAAATAACTACTGACTGGTGATTGACTTGTACTGACTTGTGATAACTTGTGATTGATATAACGTGCCAATATGATAGGTTTTCCCGGCCAATTTCCTGAAATGTTCATTCACTTCTGAAAATTAGTCATTCATTTTCGTCTGAATTTGAATGCACGTCTTTAATCCCACTTCAATTCAACGAAAGTCCAATCGTTTTCATTGTCCATGCATTCGGTTTTGAGAAACAGATGGCCAATTAGGTTACCATGTGCATTCATTTACGTAAGCTTACACCTTTTCTAAATTGATTTCAGGTACAGCTAATGTGATTGGCGGTTTATGAAAAAGAAACCACTAATTGCATCTGGTGCCGATCGCATCATACTAAAAGCGAAATGATATGGTAAATGTTTGAAATCGCCCTCTAAAAGCGAAAAGAAGTCTTGTAAACGGATCTGAATGGACATAAACAAAAGGTGCTGCTCAATCACTTAACTGATTGAACTGAAATGAAATCGAATGCTCTGATAGCGAAAATGAAACGCGTGTTCAGAGCGATTCTCAAGTTCAGACGAAAATGAATGACCGATTTTCAGAAGCGAATGATCATTTTAGGAAATTGGCCGGGAAAACCTATATTACGCATGCACACCAACGTAAAAATCTCTAGACCTTTTCCGTGAATCAAGAATAAAATTCTCTCCATATAATTTTAGTGTCGGACGGGACTTATCCCCGATCGAGACGGTAAGAACAGTCTGGCAATTATGTAAATCAGGTGCATAATTACCCAATAAAAGACGCTGGCTCAAAGGTACGTGTGCTCTGACAACGACTTGACAAGATACGCAAACACAATCAGACGGGATGATCACATTCAGGTGCCCATTGAAGGACAGCGATGTATTTCCCCTAATGTTATATTGTCTTGTCTGCTGAGAAAAAAAATCACGAATGTCCCATTGTCATTCAAAAAAGACTTCAATGACTAATGCATATTCGTGTATTGCATTTAGCTTGCGCGAAGAGGTTGCGAATCTGCACGCAGAAATGTGATTGAACTGATGAATTTATGACAGCATTCACTGAACACATCTATAAGAAATTGTCTGTGTATTGGGAGAAATGCAAAAGAAACTATACCGTTAGGCCTTTTGACTTACGGATTTTTTTTAGCTGGGGCTTTCGGTATATCAATTAATATAATCTACATTTTTTTTTAGAACGACAGCAAGACAGTCGTGATTAAAAAAATAATAATTCGCATTCAAAATATAATACAATCAGAACAGTACCTTGCAGCGAAATGAGACATCAAATTGCATTAAAAAACTTACCTTTCGTGAATAATCTTTAAGATCGTCACCACGTCTGCATACTACATTGCATAACTGTGTACCAAACATATTACAGTCCATAGACTTTCAGTTTCACACGTAGTGAGAAAAGAAGCGCCCCAAAGACATAAGCGAAGGCCGGCTGGCGATGCGGTATCATCTTATCATCTAAAGCCTTATTATCAACGGGCGGTGGGCAACAGCCTCGATCGTTAGATTTCAATTCACCGTAGAGAAACTGCATACGTCCTAATCAGGTAGATGCTACACTCAATACTATACACCTTTGAACAAGGGCAAGGGCTTGTTGGCACACTAACATCTTCTCAATGCCCGTGTATGCCGATCATATTGCTTTATTTCAGTCAATCAATGCGTAGTAGGAATTAATCACAGTGGACATTATGAAGAGGCAGCGGGACGCGTCCAGGCAACCAGCGGGCGACACACGGACGAGCAAAGTGCCAATCACGGTAAAAAGCACGACTCGTCTCGATAGTAGCCTCTCTTGATGCATTCAACGGATCGTCTGTGATTTGGTAATATCCTGGATTTCTCATCATTAGCCTGATGCTTAACAATTACCAGATTGACCAGCCGCGCCGAGTGTCTCTCTCTGGATCCGCACTCGCGCCAAATGTCCTCCGCTGTCTTGTAATGAGTTGACTGCGATATTGGTGACGTCATTCTACCAGCTGCTGGCTCGTGCGGATATAAAGAGGATCATGAAACGATGAAAGGAAAGCTTGTCTCCGCGCATCTTCAACGACTGTTGCATGTAAGATAAGATTACAGCTTACTCCAAGTGCATACGTCGTTGGCAACTCTAGCATCGCATAGGATTGACAGTGGAAGGGAAAAGGTCGTTGGTAACAATAATCCTTCAGGGATTCGCGGTGAAGGAAGTTCGAATCGATCGAGGCGTCAGGGCAATTTCCACTACGGTTACGATGTACGATTGAATTCAGCAGCAGAGAGAGAAAAATAAATATGAATCATCAGGCAGTTGCTTCATTAGTTTCTCCAGGCCTATACAATCGTTCAAATTCCTAATGATGTCCAGGTGTGTGAGTGATGGTTAGTGACCATTTACGATATAAAATATACCTGGATCTCTTGTTTTCCTCTTTAAAACTGACCTACTTCGATTGAATTACATATCGCAAGTCACTTCATAATTCATGAAACGACAATTTTAATCACCTTACAAAACTCGTCAAATCGATAAAAAATCAAGATAATGGCGAACCTGATTGTTTCCTGGTGCATCTATTTTCTAGTAGCTGAAATTCTACACGACGTTCAAGTATAAGCACTGCATTCGGCGAATGTATTAAATGCCAATGAAAATGTGACACTTGACCTCTGTGACCCTGTGACCCAATTTTAGTCAAACACAATGGAAATTTACTAAAGACAAAAGCCTTGGTCACTGCTAAAAAGTGAAAAGACATCCAAACTACATGTAATCGAAGTTGCTTAAGTAAATGACTACCAAGACCAACGCTTGGGACACATAAGATTTTTAAAATGTCAGAATACATGTAGACTGTTGAGTGTTCGTTTGCTTCAACCTTGTTTATAAACGGTCAAAACCGCAAAGGGCGGATCCAGAACACAGTTTTGGGTCCAAATAATTACTGCGTGGGGTTCGGGTCCCGCTGAAGGATCCCCAAAAGTGTTTGGATGCTCTGTAGTGCGATTTAAGGCAATTTCTGACCACTTTAACAATTTTTTTGGGAGGAAAAGATGGTGGTGTACGCAGGGCCTGCCTTTATTGCGACGTCACTTAAAAAAATGGGACTCTCTTAATTTTTTTGGGGGAGGGGGGCATGCCCCCCCCGGATCCGCCCTTGCAAACCGCAATGTTATTTTTCTTCAAAACCTTTCAACCTAATCATGTGGATGTCATTGGAGAAATGAGATCACGCAGCCCATTTCGTCTGCATTGATTGTGGCTATAGGGTTTCTATATCGGCGCGCCAGACGTGTTTCAGATAGAAAGAAAAAACAGAGTAAATTTGATTGGTAGTTTGAGAAGGGTTTTCCGAGCGTGTTGAAGCAAAGAAAACGCCAGTTTTTCTGTGTACTTCTTGGAAATTGTATATCTTGGTGGATACTGTTTCCCTTGATAAAAAGGGTTTTTTAAACTTTTTTTTTACATAGGCTAAGGGTGTCCCTTTTTATTTCTATGGTTCTCATATTTTTTGTTTGCCTCTGAAGTAGGCCTAGGGTCGGTCGATCGAAAAACATTAATCTTGAGTAAAGAAATTGTGCAGTTGCAAGTGTATAGATGGCTAAATTAAATGATGCCAAGTACTTATCTCTTATGTTTCTGCAATGAGTTTATCATGAGTTGATGTATCATTGAATAAAATAATAAAACCATATTTGGCAAGATGTAGGCCTAGTTGACTTACATTATTAAGCATTATTATTACATTATTAAGGCACGTGTGGTCTAGCGGTGGAGCATATATGATTCATGATCGTGAGATTGTGGGTTCCAGCCCCGCCGTGGCCATGCGTGTTGTGCCCTTAAGTAAGGCGCTTTACCTCAATTACTCCTCTCAACCCAGGTGTTAAATGGGTAACGGCATTATTCAATGCTGGAAAGGCAACAGACTCGCTGTGGAGGAGGTGTGGCAATCCCCACACAGCAGCATTTCATGGACTAGAGTCTGGCCCAATCGCTTCGAAAGAGAGACGGGCACTGGACCGAGCAGCTCACTAACGTGTAATGCTTTGGCTGATGGCGGCCATGACATACCAGTAAATGTGTATGTATTACAGACACCTAATATGATGAGAGGCAACATGCATCCTCTCATCTTCTGGGATCCCACTGGACGCCGTACTTCGCGAAAAAAAATCTTGTATTCATTTTCAATAGCTTTTCAAACACAGAGCCTGAATGCCTAAATTTTGTATTCGTTTTCTTTTTTAATTTTTAATTTTTTTTGTTTATGGGTTCCAGACAGGGTCGGCGGTAAAAATTTTTTTCTGGGGTCGGGAGAATAAAATAGGGTCGGTTGGAAATGAAAACCAAAGAAATAAAAAGGGACACCCTAATAATCAGTTCTATGTGCCATATACATGTATTGGTGGGAGGGACGGACGGATAAAAGCACTATTCACAGAAAGTAGGTCGCCCCCAAGATTCATTAAAAATGATTTAATCTTTCTTTTGTGTCCAGTTTGTAGAGGCGAGGTCAACAACTCACAGAGTGACACCGAAAATAATTTATGAATTCTTTGTATTGTTTTTTATTCATTTTTATTGCTATAAGGAACATAATTATTAAAACATAGAAACATTGAAATGAAAGGTGAGGACGAGGTCGTCTAGGCATCGTGTATCGGTCCATTAACACCTTTGTTTCGTTTTTAAATTAACTTTTTTTTTGTCTATTTGTTTTGTCACTGCATAAAAAATAACTGTCGGGAATAATCCATTGTCGACACTGAAAACAACTTCTCGGTTGTATTTTTTTTGTTAAAAAATGTTTACACCTGAGAGTTTTGTACAAATGCATAATTAAAATCAGCGTTGGTTCAAAATCTTAAAGATCTATGTACATTTATTGCACACTGGCAAGGGGAATTGCAGATAACCCTTTGTACTGCAATTGTACAAGTTGTAGAAACACCTCCATTTCAATTCTGCAGGTTGAAATGTTTTATATGAAGTTTTTGTTGGAATTAAAAGTAAACTGAAGGAGAAAAACAAATAATCAAACATACATTGATTATTTTCCCATAAGAATTAAACGAATGCATATTTGTCAATACAGGTTTGTATATTTTTGGATGTAAATCTAAATTCAAGAGTACAAGAAAGCAAGAAAGATGGTTACTTTCCTCACAAATTAAACGGGTGTATATTGTCAATACCAATTCCCCGCCAAACAGGGTGGGAATATTCATAAAAAGTCAAAATAGTTCAAGCAACAATTTTTCATATGAAATAAAAAGCTTTACCTTCATCTCATTTTTGTTTTATAAAGAACCATTTGATTTTTTTTTGCATATTGAAAGAGGTTTTTGACATTTTCGTAAAATTTAATTACGTCATCCCATGTGAAAGATTTCACTTACTTAGGAAATTTCAGACATAGTTTTTGGTACTTTCATTCGATTATTCAGTGTTTAGAAAAGTGAGTCATGGCTTCAAAGACTTTGGTGAATTAATGTTATTTTTGAAGGCCAACGCCATAGCTTATATACATGTACTGGTCGGCAAAAAAATACGACTGTCCAAAAGAAAGGTCCGTTTATACGGCAAAGGACTTTTCTCAAACGTCGGCTTCGTCTGTGGTTTGGCTTCATTTCTCAAGCTCCGTGATTAATAAGAGTCAGACTAAAACAGACTTCGGTCACGTCACAATCGTAGCTACGAGAGCATCGAATGTTAATTGGCCAAAGCTTGGAGTCTTCCTCTTACTATAGGAAATAAAAAGCTTTGGTAAGAAATTGCTGCGATTAACCATAAACGAAGCCGACGTTTTCATAAAAAAATCGTACACAAAATAATTGAAATAATTCATTGCACAGTCATTATGGCAGTTTTGAATATTATTTAAAAAAGGATCTTTTCAAGGTTTTTAGGTTTTTGAAGATTAGATCAAAAACGATAAGACGATTTGTTTTCTTCAGAAAGTCAAATCATTTTCTAACGGAAAAATCCATTGTAGAAAGAGTCCATCCCACGATAACCACATGTTTTTTTCAAGTAACTATAAAAAGCTGGATTAAAAACATATAAATTGTAGCACTGTACACAAGCCATTATTATCCACAATGCGTGACATCAAAAAGTAAAAGATGAGCATCGATTAAAATTCAGGCTGCAAGTGATTGATAAAAAAAATTCGGTTTCAAAAAAGGCCAAACCTAAATTGGCTGATATTTTGATACAAATACATGTATAAATGTATAGAGAAAATATAAAACTTAAGAGCTTGCGTGGTTTGCTACAGAGAAAATAGTTAATAATCATGCTATCGTTTCGTGCCAGATACGTTGGCGTGTAGTAAACGTAATTGTGCACCTTGTGCTTTAAAAAGCCATGGTCACACGACTTTTTTTATCATGGTTCGTGAAGTTCAGATTAAAATGTACCCAAAGATGGGCCATGGGGTTGACATGGTAACCAAATACAGGATTTTCGAAAGCTTGATGCCCCTGCCAACCTTTCAAGCTATCATAAACGGCTAAACAAATTTACTAGGATTGCTGCTAAAAAAATGTAGACTGGTGGACTGAAATAAATTATAGAGAGAAAGGACGTTACGTTGGATCAAAATATCGAGTTGAAAAGTTGGGAAAGGAGCCATTTTTTCTTTGGATGACGAAAATATTCCACCATCAATTACGTGTATAAACATCAATATTTATCTTGACCACAGTGCTATATCACATTATTTGATATAGATCTATGATCTAGACAGAAGGTACAGGCTTAACTTGGCCGGTGTGGTGTGAACATTGAACTCCATGGTGTGTGGACTTTCGATCATTTTGGGCGTTCTCAGTCTCATAATGATCAATATGATAAAAGGTTAGAATGATAAGGGACGGTTTAGGTCAGAATTGGTAACACAATTCAAGTGAATAAAATGGTTAAAATTACATTGTATAAGCAACAAATACATGTCTGCATCTACCCTTCGTAACTGAATTTTTTTGATGAAAAGGTCAAAAATCCCAATGTTAGACAGGTCCAAAATTCACACCATACCGGCCATCAGACTAGAATCACACATAAGCTACGTTCCACTTCTTCTCCACCGGGGAGAACCTGAATCCAGTGTGGTCTTGGCACCAGACGTTCAATTCTTTCAAGAGCGTCCTCAGCGTCGGTCTCTCATCCGGGTTAGCCACCGTGCACGTGTCGGCCAGCGGGATGAGTTCAAACATGCCTGGTATCTGGCGGGCGATGTCTTGCATCAGGACTCCCAAGCTGTAGATATCCGACCTGACGCCGTAAGGTTCCAGACCCTCCACAATCTCAGCTGGGATGTGTCTGCAGTCGCGATAGTACGCCGCCTTCTCCGAGAGAGTCAGATCCAGGCAGTACCTGTCGGGGCCGGTCAACCTCTTGGCATTTCCCAGGTCGATGATTCGTCCCTGCCACCTGGCCTCCGTTGGATCTGATTGGCTCCTGTCTTTCCACAGCAGCACGTTGTTGGACTGAATGTCGCAATGCGCCCAGCCTGATTGGTGGAGAGCAGATATCCCCGTGATGACGTCATGGATGATCAGGACCCAGTGCTCGACGGAGATCGGGGGTTTCCCTCGGAGCGCTTTGAAAATACTTAGCGTGACCATGGACTTAGGGTTGCCGACAAACTCCTGGGCAAAGGTCTGCTTGGTGATGACCCCCACGAGCTTCGGGAAGATGGAGCAATTTTCCACGGCCTGTAGGGCTCTGATCTCTTTAATCATGGCAGGATGGGGACCGGAACAAGTCCCCAACATGAGCCGCTTGACTGCGACGAGTTTCGACCCTCTTTCCGGTCTTCGGAGTCGCATCAGGCGGACCACCCCGCTCTGTCCTCGGCCGAGAATCGTCGGGCGTCCTGGTTCCTTACAGGCCGGGCGTAAGTTCTTTTCGTCAATTGTTGGTATCCCAGTAAGTATATCCTCGTCGTTCAGCTTTGGTGACGTTTTACTATGCGGCTTGCTTTGTGACGAATTCCTGGATCAATTGAAATTAGGAAAGTTGCAACTGAGTGCCCGTCTGTAACATTTGTCTAAAGGCATAGGCCTACAAACCAGCAGTTTGCTTTGAAACACTCTCCTTGTAAAAGTCTTGGGTTGACGTTGGTGTTCCCGACTGGAGGCAGAGTATCCGGAGTCCTTAATTTTGAAACTGAGGTTGGGCAAAATGGTAAGCTCTTCATCAACTAAGAGAAAGTGAACTGAGAAATTGAAACACCTGATAAACCCTTCGAAAATACAATGTAGCAGCTATTTTGGAGGTGCAGTGCATTTGTTCCACAGGGTTGCGCATGGTGAGTAGACGTTTACTGAATTTGTTATTAGAGAAACATCAAAGATGGCTACTCTATGCACACGGTCTATACCAGAGATAACCTCAACATACTTACTGCAGCAGTTCAAAAGCGGTCTTGCGTATGTCTTCCTCAGTCACAACAGTTTGTTTGTGAGCAACGGTTTTCAAATTCTGCGTAGATGGTAAAAATAATAATAAAATATTACATGTTCATATGTATTGATAAAAAAAATAATCACCTAAGTAGATTACAGAATTATCAATTTAGTTTGCAAAGTTTGCAAATTTGTACCAACTTATTCAAATGGTTACTACTATCCGAATTGGAAAGATTCCCGTATTTGGCCATCACTAATATTTCCCTTCATTGACCCATCAGCCATCAGAAAGTGATATGTCCTAAAAATTGAAATTTAGCAGGGAAAATATTGAAGTATTTACTGAGAAAACACTTAGAAAAAATATTCAGACCAGTCTCATAGGATTTGTGCACAGGGTGACAAGTGATGGCCAGATATGGGAATCTTTCCCTATCCCGATTCCTACTGAAAACTTTTTATCAAAATGGTATCCGTGCATAAGTCGCTGAGATGTCCATGTTATTAACAGAAACTAGATATTTACATCTAACATTATGACTTACTTTGTAGTCTTGTTCTTGTAATGAATTCCCTCTTCCTGTAGGCAGTACTTGTCCCATGCTGCTTCCAGCACTCGTATCAGTATCTTCACTACCATCTCGACTTCCAACCCAAAACATACGAGGCGTGCCGGGTGCGACAGTTGCTTGTCTCGTACACGGGCAGCATCCTACCTTTTCCCCGGGAGGTCGACTTGATGTCGCGGTGGTCTGACCGAGTTCTCGGTCTTCATCGTCGGCCTTCTGCGGCGGTTCGGAGGCCCGAGACTTTCCCAACGTTTGGCAGCTATTCTTGCCGGTGCAACAGGTGAAAAAGCTCGCCAGGCGGGTAAGCAGCATCGGAGGTGACCTGGTGTCGAGTGGGATAACAATCAAGTAGGATTTTCATGGCTGAACGGATCGGCTCCATCGTCATGGTACAGCGAACTTGAATACAGGTGTTTGAAAGCCGAGTTGTCGTGAAGTCTGCGGTCACATGTTCCCCGGGATCGCATTGTAAAAGCCGCGTGAAGTTACGTAATAAATACTGTGTGGCATACGCAAGGTCTTCGACTTGAGCACAATATGCTCTGAAATCCACGAATTAATATGTGAACAATCGGACGAAGAATTCATTAAATTCGATCAACCACTGGCTGTTTTCTTGAGTGTCGATACTGAGCTAAGAACTCTTATACTAATTCATGTTTCGCATGACGAACTCACTTTTCAGGCAGCGTGTTGTCCAAAGTTTCATCAAACGCAGCCAAGTCACCCACTCCTGTGGTCCTGTGCATGCCTAATCCTCGTGAAGGCGTGCCAGAATGGTCACCAACGGGGGCAACCCGGTTCGATCTTAGTCCCCGGTACCACTTCTTCGTTGATGATCTGTGGATTTTTTTGGTAAAAGTTCAATGAAACATTGCTTTAATAACACAATGCACTTGCTCAAGTTGAAATGTTGACAAACTATTAAAATAAATGCGAGAACTGAAGGAAATATAAATATTTCATGGACATGTTTCTAAAATTCAACTTACTTGCTCGACTTTACAGTCGTTGCTATGTTTTCGGATCGAGAGGTCCACGGACACACGGACCATCTCGTCTTTGTCCCACGAACATCTCCACAACGGCTGTTGGATGTTGATGGTTCCCCGACGGCTGTTGCCGTTCCCTGGGGCGGGGATGCCGCTGGCGTGGGTACAAGGGGGTCTGGGGGTCTGGTCTGGAGGGGGGCAACTCGGCTGCGTCGGAACATCCGACCCAAGGTGCCAAACCAACTGGAAGGACCAGTGGTAACTCCAGACCTAAAGAATGACAGAGAAAGTGAGCACAAAACATTATGTTTATATCTGGCAACAATGTTGATTGGAAAGCTGTCCGCATTATTTTGGCTGGGGTTTTAAAGCTGGGGCCATTCCGTTTTATGTCAAATGGAATTTAAAAAACCTTCTTTAAGAAATGTTGGCACTCCTCACAAATTGATTGATTTTATCCCACCAATTTCTGAGGGCTGAGATAATCTGTGGGTAATCTGGAAAACTCAGCACCAAACTTGAAAAATAGCAAACGCTATGACCAACCGTATAAAACAGTTATGACTTTTTTACGATTCGTTCAACTAATGTTTTTCTTTGGAAGTGCGGTGGGTGGGGGGGGGGGGGGGCGGAGAGGGGTCTGCTCACCTGCTCACCGGGCCATGGCTGGGTTGATTCCAAGCCGATGGGCTCGGGGCCGTACGGTGGCCTCCACCGTGACCAACACTAGGTGCTGGGCCGTCAACTGATGACTCTGCTGGGTCGCTCTTAGGGACCGCAGTCGGCGAATGCACGTCGGGGATTCGCATCCTGTTGCCGTCACAGAAATAGTGATTAGAAACGATATGATGACTTAGTCTGCTGAAGAAACTTGAGCTATGATGACCGCAATAAGTGTGTCATGGCCGAGCGGTTAAGAGCACCGGACTCAAGCTCTGCTGGTGTTGCTGATCAGCAGAGTGTGGGTTCGAGTCCCAGCCTGTCTCGACACTTGTGCTCTTAAGCAAGGCACTTAACCATTATTGCTTCGTCCTTCGGACGGGACATAAAGCCGTAGGTCCCGCGTGTTGTGTAATGCACGTTAAAAAACCCAGTAACACTTATCGCTAAGAGAAGGGGTTTGCCCCGGTACTGGCGGTGCGTTTATCTTCAACCATAACGAAGGCAGCACTTGTAAGGAGGAAGGAACGGCCAGATCAATATTTCCCCTTCTTTTCGGCGCGTAGAACCAAATATTCCTTTTTTTCAATAAATTGCTAATTGTCTTGGATATAACCCGATTTCTGATCCATCAAATGAGCCATCGAACACCCCAAAATCACCAATGATGAATAACACCTTAAAGAAGATTTTAACATTGAAGTAGAAATGTTTTTCCAAGTCCATTCGTATTATAACATAGGCCTATTAATCAGGGGCGTAAATCTTTGCCGGTGAGTGGGGCGATGGGGGATGACCAAAATCCAAGCTTGCCCGGCCGAGGAATGGGGGGGGGGGCGACGGGACTGGACGGAGGCGCTGTTTATGGGCGCAGTCCATATTCCTAGTGATTCTGTTCAAGTATTGGTGTCACTTTTCTTGTTTCTGTTAAAGTGTTGTCTTATTTCTGGCGGCGTACGAAATCATAAATTGTTTCTACAGAGAACCACAGGTGCGGCGCAGTAAATATGAATTTCAAATTACAATTTTCATAAAAGCCCATGTTAGGATGTTCCATAGTTCACGAAATCATATAGACCTACAAAGCACATGACATCAGAATACTTTCAATGGGGTCGCTGTTCAAATCGGACGATTAATTAATAACACTACATTTCTGATTCTGATTTGAAAACAAAATATGACATCATGCCAACCATTAAACTAGTACAACACAGCAGATTGGCCAAAAGATAATTATTCTTGCTGGTACAAATACTGTTAGTTTTTTTGGTTTAGTCCCAAAAATATGTTTTTGCCATTAAAGATATAAGAAAACAATTTTTTTTTAATGACCTATACTCATTATACGACACTTTAAAATCAAAGTGAATTGTGCGTTCACTATTGACTGTCCTGTTTACTTTTATTTAGCGACCCAGCTAGTCCATGCAATAAGACTGTGAAGTCATGGTAACCGAGGATCAATGATAAATATTGCTCATTACTTGTGCTTCTCATGTTGACACTAGGATTTGAAATTCCCTGCAATTACATAACATTCCAATTAGTCGACATAATAGCTTAGCACTCATTATGGATTAGGTATAGGTTAAAGCTATCGTAAAAGATGAGCATAATTTACGTCTGTACAGTTGGCAAAACAAAACAAACTTGAATAGCACAGACCCTATGGCCTACCTACCCACCCAAACCGGACTATAGAAGGAAAATATATTTGAAGTCTTCATACGAAAACGGAGGCCTATTTGTCCAATTGATTTCCGTAAATTAAAAATGTGTTTAGATACATGTACATGTACTTTCACTAGAAGCAAACATCGTGCATGGTGTCTGTTATATAACCGTTATAGACAACACAAGCCTCGAACTAATGAGAGAGAACAAGCCACAAAAATTAGTAATGAGATACTTGTAGCAAGTCTAATAATGCTCCACGGATTGAGAATAATCGAATGCCCTTCAACCCCACACAAAACAACTCGTACCTTTTGTGTGCATATTCCCTTGGTCCCGCTTGAGCGAAAGAATCAACACAAGTTACACCACCATTACAAAAGCCTATTAAAATATAAAAATATAATAGGTTCCAGTCGGCGACATCGCCACTCGGCGACATCGCCAGTCATAATAGGTTCCAGTCAGTGACACCGGCGTTCAGTTGCAGAGGACATTTTGGAGAGGCAGAACGTTTTTTAAATCCAGGCGTCGCAAGGTACGTGCGCTCTTATGTATGTAAGTTTCTATCGATATTGTCTCAGCTCCTGGCCGTGTGCTACCCCAGCCTTGGTTTGTTTCATTTTAAGTGCAAGCAAATAATTCGATATTTGTGTAAAAGCAATAGTGACACTGCATGTGAACGTGTATGAGAGGTAGGGATAACATTGATGTGAATCATGAAACAACGATTTTTCGTTTGCAATATGTTGAATTAAAAATCGAATTCTCGATTTTGTTGCTGTTGTTGTTGTTGTTTTAATACTTATTTTTGCGGGGGTGTTCTTGGCTGAAGTTAGTTAATTGTGCTTGTTTTTTCGTCACTTGACTCAGTGTGCGGGCTTGCAATTTGTATTTGCCTCATCGGAATCCGCCCCCCTCAACTTTTTCCGCGATGGCCTTAAAACATTTTTTTGCGACCTGAGTTGTGATGACTTTTTAGCCTCGAGCCTTGCGCATCTTTTGATACCAAAAACGTAAAAATTGTCCGGCGCTACGCGCTGTGAAAACTGAATTTCCCCATATCCGTCGTGTACACACAAAACCCTTTGACCTATAGTCATGAAATTTCTTGGGTATGTTTATGATGAGTTGTTCTATGCATGCACCGAATTTAAAATTTTGACGTCACTCGATGGCCGAAATCTTAGGGGGGGGGGGATCCGCCCCCCGGCTGAGAGATGGTCAAAATAACCCGGACCTTTTAGGGTTAATCGATTCAAGTTTACTGAGCCGACACGAAGTCCTTGCCGTCATTTCCTAACCCCTCCTAGTCCCGTACGTGTGCGTATTTTTTACAGCATACATCGCCTATTTAACGAATCTCATCACGCACCCTGACATGAGTATTTATCACGCTGTATAGGCCTACGTTCGATGGCTCATTTGAAAAGATCAAAACTCAGGCTATCCAAGAAAATTAGCAATTTATTGGGAAAAAAAGACACTTTGTTTCTCGTGGTGTTTTCCCTTTAATTAAACTTATCACAACCAACAAAAATATTTAATGAAAATGGACATGGGTTGAAACCACAGATCTTGCGATCCATAGTTCAGTCGACTCGACCACTGTAACAGCTCGACGAAAGCCGTTCTTTGAAATGCTTTAATGTACATGCATGACTGAGCGATATCAATGGTGTGACGTCATTGTTATTTTTTATGAATAAACATCGTGAATAACCATGATCCATTGACGATGTCTGCTGTAAATAAAAATAACGCGACCCCGTCCCATCACTGCATTACGTGATATTGGATATTATTCGTTATCTTGAATTCAGATATTTACTGATATTTTTTAATCTGTTGACTGGTATTGTTTATCGTAGTGATTTATTTTTTTCCAATTATTTCTCATTTTATTAAACCAGGGTATCCCCATCAGTTATCTGAGAACTGTTCTCCCTAGGGTCCTGGTTCAAGTAACGCGTGATGTTTGTGCCATGCTTATCATTTACCGGTATTTAATCAATTATACAAGTGCTTAAATAACATTAATTGATAAAATGACAATTTATGCTTAATTCCAACTCATCCACAGATGACGTTATCAGCCATGCTTCCTATCACAACCTGCCTTCTGGCCGTGCTTGCCATGTCGAGCGCCCTCACCGACGAGCAGATAGCTCGCTTCATGACGTCAGACAGGGTGGAGGGCAACACAGGGGAGACAGGAATGGTGACCATTGCTACGGCAAATGGCATGCATACCATCACCAGTAACGGGGTACCAGACCATGCTACTCCGGATTACCCAAATTCGGGTAACCCGAATGATATCACGGTACAGACGCACGAATGGACGATTCCAGTCAACCCTACGGTAGCCGAGTCTACCACCGATCTGCCACTAGGCCCAATCGGTGTAGCAATCAATGGAATTCCGTTCTTCAACCCCTACACAGCTACAGGTGAGTACCATGTTTCAAAATAAAAACGGCGGCATTTTATTACTGTTCATTAAAATATGTAACACTAAAAGGCGAAGCAAAGAAAAACTTTCCAAGAATAATAGTGTTTCCTGACAACTGTTGCATTTTTGTAGGAGAGGATGCCGTTCTTACAGAGACCTTCGACAGCTGTGATGGCCACCCAACAAACCGAGGCACCTATCACTACCACAAACAGCCGTCGTCCTGCGTCTTCAGCGTCGTTGATGGGGAACCCTCACCGTTGATAGGCGTGGCCCTGGATGGGTTTCCCATCTACGGCCCAAATGATGAGAATGGCAACACGCTGACGTCATCGGACCTTGATGCGTGCCACGGCCGGTTCGTGAACGGGCAATATCAGTATCACACCACGAGTGATTTCCCGTACATTATGGGATGTTTCAAAGGCGAGTACACGCGCACTATGCCCCCAAACAGGCCTCCTGGGGGTGGGCCCCCAAATGGCAACGAGCCCCCGGCCCCGAGTGATAACAGTCCCTCAGACAACGGCCAAGCAAATCTGAAAAGCAGTTTACTGCTCATGCTCAGTTTGTTGGCTCTCATGGTCGCGATATTCTAAATTTTCCCCCAATTTTTGGTGGTTTCACTAATGCTTTTAAACCACAAGATAACAAGTATTTCAAACTCTAGTTTTACCTTTTGACGGATGCAAGGATTACGGGCATTCTGTTTTTGATTAATTAATTCAGTATGAATTCATTAGTTCATTCTGGTTACAAAAAAAAATACTTTTAAACATTTGCTTGGCATTGATGTTCATTTACATGTAATTCATGTGTGTTTTTTTAGTTTATGTTAATGCAACAAATGATTTTTTTTATGAACGATGTAGACATCATGCATAGAAAGATTGTTGCACTGAAATCTAGCGCTCGACAAATTTGCAAGTTCCAAATTTTTCCATTTTTTTTAAAGAGTTAAAGCTTAAAGTAAAATTAGGGACCGATAGGGGGCCTACACGTGTTCAGTATTTTGGTCAAGATTTTTATGAGCTTACTTTTGTTAGACCGAGGTGGTACAATTTGCGGTGCAAATTACATGTATGTGAAGTGACACGTACCGGTATCAAAATGTTAGTATAGTGCGTAGGATAAATTGAAAACGTCTACCCGGAAAACTATAGCTGTTTGAGAAATATTCGGTCAGCAGTCGAATCTTAGCTGCACGTTCAATTTGGTCGGTTAGGCAAAACGCGCTATTAATAATCATAATTATGTTATTATTTGTGTCAGCAGAATTATGAGGGGGGTTTTCGTTTTCTTTATCTTTCCTGTTACATACTTTATTAGTATGGGACAGACACTATTTGAAGTTGCCGGACCGGACGTTTTGCAAAGAAATGACGGTGCAAATTATGTCACTGTTTGAAGTTGCCGGGTCGGACGTTTTGCAAAGAAATGACGGTATATTAATGTGCGGATGGATTTTTATGACGTAATTTCAGAATGTATATATATATAGATATTGCCGGAAATAAATGTAGGCAACATACGCCAATTGATGTACACCTGTCGCCGTTTGTGTCTCGTATCTTGCAGTTTCATGGTTCGGTCTGGTATCAGTCTCTGAGTTTTTCGCACGTTTCGTTAACTTTTACAGTTTGGACTAAGTTTTTCATCGATGCATGTTTCCTCGATGCAGACGTCTATTTCAGAGATGTGTTAATAAATTTCGACATGTTCCGATACGATCTGTTGCAGACATCTGTTGTTGTGAAAGTCCAACATGTGCTCATTCTATGGGCTAAACTGACCATTTCTTGGTGCTCGATGCTTGATGTGTGGATCGACTCCTAAAACTGTTGTTGCTTTTCAAATGAGAAGTCGAGGCGACTCAAGTTGTGCCGTTGTGCAGGTGCAGTGTAGATACAAGTGCAAGTAAAAACATTCTCAATTCTTATAAGAGTTGCTGGTGGGTGGTGGTGGGACGCATGTCTCTCACCACCGGAAGGGCCATTGCCTGAAAGGCTGCAACTGATGGTGCATCCCTTAATGTCAATGTGTTGGCCTAATCGCTAACTCTAACAATTAGAAGCGCATAACATTCTGACATTTTACGCAATTTTTGTATTAATTAATTAATTTATTTACAAAGACTTATGAGGCGTCGGACTTATGACGTGTCGGACTTATGAGGCGTCGCACTTATGGACAGAAATAAAAGTAAGTTGTAGCACCTACGAGGCGTCGGAGCTAGCCTATGAGCAGTCGACTTATGAGGCGTCGGACTTATGAGGTGTCGGGGCTTATGAGGGGACCCCTTCATCAGAATAAGGATCAGTTGGCTTTAACTTAACCCTAAAAGGGCCGGGGCGGAATCCGACCCCCACAACTTTTTCCTTGAATTTTTGTTTTTTTGCGACTCGAGCTGTTCTGACTTTTTAGCTTCCTATCCTGCGCAACCTTTGATACCAAAAGCATAAAATCTTCCGGTGAAAACTGACTTTCCCCATTATACGTAGTTTACACAAAGAATTACCATTCGTGCATATGAATATTTAATTCCAAAACTCTTTTGACCTATAGTCATGAAATTTCTTGGGTATGTTCATGATAAGTTGTTCTATGCATGTACCGAGTTTCATCATTTTTCGTCACTCGATGGCCGAGACATTCCCCGGCTGTGAGATGGTAAAAATAACCCGGCCCTTTTAGGGTAACATCAAGGTTGGCCCTACACATAAAAATAATGTGTGAAAGAAAACGATTTTCCAAGAACAGATCCATGAGATCTATAATCAAAGTCATTCAAACGTACGTCAACAAACCATTACAGTTTGTTCTAATTCTTCGAGGGAAAAATGAAGTAGGGATGAATATTATGCTTACACAAATCAATAGGCTCATGTATAAAATAATGTGAAGTACTCAAAAAGAAAGTACAAGAACGTATTCACTAATAACCATCGCTCCTTCAACTTACATTTACTATTTCAAAGTTAAGAAGGTGCAATACTTACATCAGTAAGGCGGTTCTCTTGCCAGCAACTTTAGAGATATTCTTTGGATCGTCCTCGAACATCTCTTCTCCAAGTTGACTGATTTTAGCTTCAGAATAATCTCGCAACATGAGCGCAAAATATCGCTGATGTGAACTCGATAAGCACAAAAAGGTTTCTGGCGATGTTTATGTTTGGTGGCGACCAATTCACCCAGCGACACAAGTAAAAACGGTGCGCGTTGTAACGCTTTGTTACGTCACAGGAGATACGCGCGCGGACAGCTGAAGGCGCATGAAGTGTGATGGGCGTATCAAATGACGTCACTGGATTATTGCACTTGTAAGTGTGACGTCACATTGGAACTATTGAAAATGGAAGTAGTGCAAAGCTGCATGTTTAGCCAATGGGCGCTGGTAATCAGTGGTGTACGCGCGTGTGACGAATATTAGTTTGGCCGAAATGTTAATTCAATACGAGTAGCCATACGTCAATTTTTTTCTCTCAATGATTCTTGGTTGAAGGGGGACGTTGTGATGGGTTCGAGCACGAAATTACTGTTCATGACCGTGTGTAACCGGCCCGGATACACACAGGGGCACAATTAATGATACCCCAAAGTCGGTTTTCAGAAATCTAAGAACCAAGTGAAACGCTATAGAAACAAAGGGGTACAGAAAGGTATACTGGCACCAAAGAGCTACCCGGTGTGCGTGTAGGTGACCGGGTTTGGGTGTTTTGTATTGGCCCCTGAAGAAGAGGGGGGATGCGACCTTTGGTGCTTAAAAGAGTTTTTCAACGTAAGATCAAGGCGTTGAAGAGTAAAGATCGTTGAAAAGTAGAATATCAACGTTTGCACAATTAACTATATGTCGAAATTGTTTTCTTCCCCCCGTGTAATTATCGCGAAATGACCCTGAAATTAGAATTCGGGATACAAAATGTTGGTCCTCCAAAATCAAGCGGTTGTAGCGGTTAGTTGTCGTTCCGATCATACGTTTCTTTTCAAAACGTTCTTCAAACGCGAGTGCGTTGGTTGTCGTTCCTCTCACACGTTTATTTCCAAAACGTTCTTCAAACACGTCCCGGTGCGCTAGGATGGCCACGTGTATAATACGAAGATAGCGTTGGACCTGATTATCTCATTTTCTTTGACAATCTGGCTCAAAAAGTCGATGATTGAAAGACGTACAGGTATTATAGCCAATGCCTGAATTGCTGCCGCACATGTAAACAAACGCGGTTTTCAACGTTTTATCAACAAATGTAACAAATAATGTGAATTTTCTACGACCCAGGCCTTTCAAATATGCCAGGTAAACAAACTGAAGCAAAACATTTTTGCGATCACCGGGCGAAACTGCACTTTACAGGTGCATTTTGACGAAAAATCCGTCCTTTTCTAACACAAACACACAAATAATTGATACCATATCTAAAAACAAAGATAGTTGTTATTTACACTTTGTTTATTTCTGCAAGTAGGTGTACCGATATTTGCAAATACCATTACGGCAACAAAAGCATTCTTTATTAAAGAATGGAAGGCTGGTGGTTTTGGTATAAAAATACAATAATGAAAATGGGGTTTTAGAAATTCACCTGTAAGATAAAAATGAATGGAAGTAACACCTGAGTGGAATTCTATTTTTTTAATGGAAGATTTGGACCGAGATTTTCAGGATAGATTCCTAATGAAATCATGTTCACACACCACACACCTTCACTGTTAAACCTGAATTTCATCCAAAGTTTATAATTAACTTTGGGGTAGAAAAGAAACAAATGTACAATCTTGGGACACTGTTGTGGGGGGGGGGGGGGCACTGCAGTCCTTACCAGGAATTCAAAATTCCTAGATTTTCTTTATTTATTAGAGTATTTTTGATTGCATAATGGTAAAATCCAAAAAAAGGGACTAAGCCTTAATTCCTTGACCGAATTTCACAGCCAAAATGGCGTAGAAAAGAAGCAAATGCAAATCTTGGGACATTGGGGAAAACATCGTAGCTTTTTTTCAAGGAATTTAAAATTCCTTGATTTTTTTTATTTATTAGATTATTTTTTGTTTGCATAATGGTAAGATCCAATCAAAGACATAATCCTTGGTCCTAGCCTAAATTTCATAGCCGAAATCATTGCTAAGCATATACACATGCTGAGCGCCTTTCACAAGTAATATACAGCCCAAATACCTTTCATACACAATATACATGTCTAGACAATAGAAACCGGTGACCTGCATTTGCGTTTAAGCAAAAACGTTTTGTGCTTAGCCAGTTTGTTGTGCTTATAGCAACTCTAGACAATTCATCCCTTTCTTGTGGCAAGAAGCCTGCTTGGTTTGGAATATCTGATATATCCAGTACTAGAACACCATATCGGATTGATTAATGGCAACAAAAACAGTCTGTGTAGACCAATCAAACTGCCTGTTGATTGCCTTTCACTCTTCGATGGTTCAAATCAACTGATTGGTTAAAGGCCTCAGAGTATAACTCTCAGTGACCAATAATGAGATATGTTACTTGCTGTCGCACACAGACGGTTTACACCAGCTATCCTGAAAGTCAATTGGCTGTTAGCATCACTGCCTGTCTCCCACTGACCAATCAGATTGCCTGTAAGCTGGAACTTATCCTTTTGACCATGGTAGACATGATATGACTGGTGCATTGTTCAGCTTATGATAACCTCCTCTTGAACAGCCCGTGCCAGGTTTCTTGCCAGGCCCAGTTTCAGGAGCTCAAGTTTTTCGGTCTCAAGCTCTTGTTGTCCCTACGAAAAGAGAAAATTTAATTACTATTAAGAACTTGCCTTGAAATTGCCTTGCAAGAGCATTAACACGAAAGACTAGAAATACAGGGTGAGTAAAAAAAAAAACGCATCCCAAATGGCAGGACCAATTTTGAAAGAAGTTCTGCCTGTAGCACTTTCAACATCTAGGATATAAAAGCCCAGTCATGGAGCTTTCTTTTAGTGCAAGAACCATTCAGATCACTTATATACTTTTGAAGTTATGGAATTTGAAACACAAACACTGTTTTAAAGTTCTGTCCACAGATCACAATAAAACCAGTGTTCTTCCAGCAAAACGAAAACAATTCTCATAGGGATGCATGTGAATTGTTTTCGTTTTACTGAAAGAACACGTACCTTTTGTGTGATCCGTGGACACAACTTTAAAACGGTTTTGTGTTCAAAATGCCGTAACTTGAAAAGTACATGAGTGATTTGAATGATTCTTGTAATAAAAAGAAAGCTCATTGATTGGGCTTTCTTATCCTAGATTTTGAAAGTGCTACATGCAAAACTTCATTCAAAACTTGGTCCTGCCATTTGGGATGCGATTCGCCCTGTATATGACACCATGATGTACATGTACGCACCTTGGTTTTGCGTTTGGCAGCGTCCGACCTCAGGTAGTCCTTGGAGGAATACCACTGGGTCAGCTCATTCAGACAGTGCAGCAACTCGTAGGTCTGCTGGCTTCTGAAGATCAGCTCTTCTAATTCCAGCAGGGGGAGGACGTCCGTCAGCAGAATGAGCCAGAAGCTGGATAGAGAAGAGCCACAGAAATGATAAACCTTGTTTATTTTACAGAAGAACGTATAATTACACTCTCACACGCTTTCCATCTGTATGAATTTTCTGGTTTAATGCTTGAGAGCAGTGTGTTGGAGTTACCCGATCTCACCTCTTTGGAGCCAATTTGGCAGTCAGCAACGACAACAAGAGACCAGCAGCCTCCTGGAATTCCCCTCTCTCATATAGCTTATGGAACTCACGGTACTTTCCTGGTTAAAAACAAATATTAAAATGTTTGACCAATATCGTATTGCATAAGGAATGTTTAAGTGTTTGTTGGTCAATCCCTGAATTGACATAATTATAAATATCCCTTGAGGAACAGGGATTGTTTCTAATACTTTGCATTTACCATTGTGGACGTTGAACATGCTTCAGCAAACTGTTTCTGAGTCAAGCTTGTGTAATTTTAAGTGCAGAGTGTTGTTACTTTTGTGAGAAAAAAACCCAGTTAGATCTACAGTAAACTCCGGCTAAACCGACATCGTAAAACTTGTCAAATCACTCAAGTCGGCCGTCTGACTTAAGTGAGCATCGATTATCAATACCAGTACCCCTTCTAGTCTGTACGCATGCGCTCTGTCCATTATAGGGGTCCTCTTATTGAATGACTAGTACTATACTGCAGTCAATGCGTGCGTGGTATACCGGACCATGCACGCACTTAATTCGTTACTGTGCACGCGCATGTATTACTATTTTGTACAGGTGGTCTCCACTATCAATACCCCAAACGTGATGATACAATTAGAGGATTAATTTGCTGGATTCAACTCAAGCATCAAGGAGATAAACCAGGGTAAATCGAAGCGAACTAGTGCAATGAATCATGTGCGCAAAAGGCCATTCGGCAAAATGACAACTTACAGATGTCTGCATTCGCGCCCCCGCGTAAGTCGTCACAAATTCTCGGGTCCCGAGAGTGCCGACTTAGCCGGAGTTTACTGTACCACGTAAACCTTACAAGGGATTTAACTATACCGCACATTTGTAAGACTTTACTGATATTTTACAAAAATAAATGGTAACAGAATGTAAATATTTAAACGTGAAGTGCTCTGTTTGAAGCCCTATATAAGCACCACATGGTGAACCTTTATGCACCTCGCCCCTCAAACAACCCCAACATATATAAGCTTTTGGAAAATTGTGTAAGATAGAAGTAAGATTTTGTAAGATACATAGGAAGATAGAAGCCAAGTGAAATCTTGAGAAGTCAAACTCTGATAACTCAAAACAACTGTTAAGTCAAACAAAGAATCCATTGCCCTCAGTAGTATAACCATGATATACAACCCTGCTTAACTCAAAACTCATATTAAGTAAAATGTTGAACCTGTTCCCTTGAGGTTTGACTTATCAAGATTTCACTGTACTTTAAATGGGGCTTATTGGCCCTTGAATGCTTTAAGAACAAAGAATTTGCCATTAGTTTCCCACACAATAAAGGAGTATGATGCTGAGGATTTAGGTTTAATATTATTACCTAGGAAGGTGAGTCGATCACTAAGCAGCATGGCAGCGCCGAGGTTGTCAATCAGATCCAGGTTAGAGAAGCCACCTCCCAGGCTGTACTCAGACAGGAACCGATCGGAGAGGACCGTGGCAAAGGCGGCATCCTTGGACCGGATGCACCAGGACAGGGCCGAGCCTAGCCTGCCTTGCTGGAGGGAACGCATCCCAAGGACCTTGCAGATGCTCCTGACTGAGGATGTGAGGGGGTAGGAACAGAGGACTTTTAAGGACTTTTTGGGTAGTGTTATTTTCATGAGTAAGTTTCTATAAACAAAAGTTCAGTGGTTCTTTTCATTCTCAGAGAAGACAGGTGCTCATTCACAATGGACTCGGTGCACTATTACCCCCTCAATGGAAAGATAAGGAAGGTTGGGGGAGACCACTTGGAGAGAATTTGAACGCATTGCTGAAGACGCCTGACGTTCACGCGAAGACACCATGATTGTAATGCATTCAGAATAACAATAAATTGTGCATACTCGGCGCTATATGAGCGCGAACCAGTTAGGGCTTGTTCATGCATTCAAACCGTGGACGAAAAATGCTAGAGAACAAAAGAGAACAATATCGTCCACGATTCCCAACATACGTCCGCGATTGGGGTCGTGTACAAAACATATGGAGGTCTTCCTCAAAAGTTCAAACAAAAGAGGGACAATAGGACGTCCACAATTGACGGTGTGAACATGACTACATGCACATGCAGTGTGTCCTGTCCATGGGGCTCTCAGAAGTGGTAAAAAGGCGCCCTCTCTGTTTGCGCATGGCCCGGATAATACAGTAAAATTCCTTACTATGCTATTTTTAGAAGGAATTTGATGCTTTGCTAGACTGTATATAAAACCTTTCAAAGAGTTCAGCACTTACAATCCATTAAATGTATTACAACCAAAAAATAGACAGTCTACACAATTCACAGTTTTGTAATCTATAAACCTCATTTTTGAAAGTGTCCAGGTGTGTTATTTTGCCGTGGGCAGGTGTCGTCATTTACCTTGTTCTGTCATTTCTCTTTCCTCACATACCCTCAGCACCTTCATGGCTTTCCTCTCGGACTGCAGCGGGATTCTCTCAATGAAGAGCTCCAGGTAATGCCTGTCAGGAAAGACAAGGCGTAGCTATTAGACACTTTTCAAGAACTTTGGACATCTGTATCTGTATCTGTTTGTTATAGTCAGTAAAGCATCCCAGGGGAAACATCACACCAACTTAGAGAGAAGACAATGAGATGAAATTACAGTTTTAGAGGTGGGAGGAAAACCCCAGAAGAATATTCTGGGGAAAAACCCACGGAATCAGGTAGGGACTGAAAACCCAATCCACATCTTGACCCAGGCGGGATTCGAACCCGGGTCACAGTGGAATGATAAAATTAAAACTGAGTGATGTTTAGACTCTGTGCACACGTATTATCTCAACTGTGATAAAGACAGAGAGAGATAAGGAAAACGTTACTAGAATTGTCAAGTAAGCTTTTCGTTAATCCAACTCACCTTCCAAACTGTGGACAGTGGTCTAAGTAACCAGCGACAACCTGCCATAAGCTGTGGAGGTAATGGAAATGGTACAAGTATTCAGCTGTATTCCAAACTCAAATTTAACTAGAAAGAGAGCGCAAACCTCTGCCAAGGCAGAACAATTTCCCGCCATATTGTCAGTACACCGAAAAGTAATACTTGCACATCCACTGGACTTCCATATTTTATTGCACATTTAAATGTCAACAGGATTGCTCATATTTTGAATTTATCAAAAAATAGCAATGTTGGCCGCTTTCCGCTAATCCGTCCTGGTATGTTGTTTAAGCTGTCATACGCCGTGTTATGAGGCCTGTGGGCCGTGCAGCAGCTACCGGATAAGGCCGCTGTGCAGTCATGCGTGTAAGCCAGTAAAGTGAGGCATGATCCCGGCGTCAAGGGGTTAACGTGGAGTTAAAAGCCAAATTGTGGAATCTGGCCCTATCTCTCAATGGTGAAGAATCCTTAAAAAAAAAAATCTGCATCCAGACCAAGATCCGGATCACTTCCAAAATCTAATTGATTTGTACTTGCACCAAGGACCAACCCTACAAACAAACCAAGGCTGATGAAAACATTGGCTCCTTGGCAGCGGTAATAAATACCAAATCTATATGAAAATGTAAGATAAGGACTCCGTTTAGGTAAAAAGTTTAGCTTTATTCCCAACACCCCATGAAGCATTTAAGGAAATCACGCATGTTTTCATTTTCAAGAATCAAGAATGTATGTTGGATGCAGAAAATCAATCCTCAAAATGCGTCTAGCTAAGAAACATATGTCATATGTTATTTGATATGAGAAATAAATAAGCCTTCTCAGAGGACTTCGCATAATTCACAGTAAATGAAAATGCACTGCTGAGTAAAGTCTTCATACAAACACAATACAGAAGTTACTACATGGAAATTACATAAGTGAGAGTTGATACCCCGGAAAGTGATGCATTCACAGTTTGCACATGAACCTGAAACCTCATATTTGGGTCTCGTAAAAAAAGGTGACTTTTCTTGAAATTTTGACCCTGGAGAGGGTTTGCACACATTTGTGATGCGATCAGGCTACATGTGTAATTTGTCGGGAACTTTTATTTGGAGATACAGGCCAAAATAGGACCACTTCATCACATCACTTCGTCACATCTCTTGGTGTTCTGACTTCCATAATTTTTGAACTCAAGATGGTACCAGCATGCGGTTTTCACAGCAGTAATGCTGAGATTGCGCTCTTTTTAAATCTGTAAAAAAAAAAGTGACCAGGGTCGACTCATTTAGCTTGATCACATCACATTTATGCATAAAGACTGACCTGTCATGAGACATGAGGGTGGAGGCATACTCAAGAAGAAGGAACTCTCTCAAGTTGGAGCCAAAACTAAAGAACAAAAAAAAAAAAAACCAGGAGTTAAGATTAGCTAATACTTGAGTTCAACTTGGTACGGAAACACTTTCAGACGGAAACACTTTCAGACAGAAACTGTTGGGCACCAGGTTAGCTGGTTCGATACAGAATAAGCTGCCTTGATTGGACAGAATGAAAACAATGCACACTCGACGTTGAGCCAATTATAAGCTCGTTGTCTCCAACAGGTGTAATTACCAGCCAAAATATTGGTTTGCCATAATCAATGAAACAATCAAACGTGGAGTATTTTTCTAAGGCAGACACTTAACCCTCCTTTGCAAACATACATTCTGTGCCAAGTTGTCCTTGCAGTCAAAATCAATCAAGTGACTGTTTTCAACCCATAAGAATTCCCAGCCCACATAAAGCAGGATTGACTGGCTGGGACTGCTTAACTTGATACAGCTATGCTTTGACTCCGGGCGAGTGATAAAATAGCTGTGACAACAACTTGCCTGCTTTGTTTGGTGACCCAGTTTGACTACACAAAGTATTTGCTTGACATTATATTCTGACTGCTGGTGACTAGCCTTTGTTAAAAGGGGAAGTGGAAGTGAATGTTGACTGTCAGTGACTGCTTAAATAGCAGGAGGATAATGTCCTCTTACTTGAGTTGATGGGAGTCCAGCTTGCCACAGTGATGCAACAAGTCAGCCAGATGGGCCACGAACCACCAATTACTCATGGTGGCGCTGTGCATTAAGGTAAAAAATGAAACTAAATTTAAGATTTCAAATACACAGAAGAAACATGATTAACCATGCATGTACTCAAAGCTTTCATTCCCTTACTCAAACTGACCAAGCTTGCATTTGCCTGTGCAAATGAAGAATTGATCTTTTGTGGGCACTTAGACTTTTGAAAGAGGTCTACATGACAAAAAATACAGAAACAATCTGTGGAGAACCAATCACTCACATCTGATCTGAAGTTTTAGGGAAATATAATGAGGGGAATATTTTAGGAAATCACGAAAACATTTTTAGAAATGTTTTGTCACAGTAAATTTGACAAAATTTCAAGAAAATTGTGAGTACTTTGTCATTAAAAAAACAAACATTTATCACATACTTTGGGATGGCAATTGTCGCACAGGCACCTTAACCCTAACCTTCCCAAATCCTCCAAAATGCTCTTTGCAAAATGGAGGATTTTGCAGGATTGAGGCTAAATGGCAAAAGTGTGTTGCTGATTTCGGAGGATGCAATGTGTCAAGATCTTGGGCCGGACCTTGTGTTGTTTATACTCAGCCATGCATAAATTTAGGCCGACATTATACTTGAAATCCTCCGCACTACTCCGGGATTTCACTGGCTCTGCCTCAATATATGCCAGTTATTGCCGAAGGATTTTGCAGGATTGAGGCAGTGGTCACCCCTCCAAGGACCACATTCAAGAAATAATAGAGGAGTTTTGCAGGATTGAGACTGTATGCTATGTTTACATGGAGGCAGTTGGAGGACTTTGCAGGATTGAGGTTACATCCTGGCACAAATACCCCGGGTGTTAAGGTTAATGTCTTATACCATCTTGCCCTAGAAGGAAATACAGGGTGAGTAAAAAAAAAAAAAAACCCAAATGTCGGGTCGAAACTTTTTTTGTGATCCATGAACAGAACCTTAAAACGGTGGTTGTGTTTAAACTTCTGTAACTTGAAAAGTACATGAGTGATTTGAATGATTCTTGTACTAAAAGAAAGCTTATGAATTGGGCTTTCATATCCTAGATTTTGAAAGTGGTACATGCAGAACTGCAATAAAACAATAGTCCCGACATTTGGGTTTCGTTTTTTTTGACACACCCTGTATAAAAAAGCAGACAAACAGGTGACAAACTGATGTGTACTGGTAATGAAAGTGTGTTTTCTACCTGCTTGCTTTGATGACTTGATGGACGTCAAACTCAAAGGCTGCCATCAAGATGTTGTCTAATGCACTCATCCTAGAGGAACCACCAAACTCATCAATACACGCCTAGTGACAAAATAACAACTCATCAGACTCACTATAACAGCCAGTGTTATTTCAGTTGAGAAAAAAAAACACACTCTCAATCTAAGGAAAAATTTTAGAAAGCCAGGAAATCTAAAAAAAAATATTATATAATTATTCCATATCATAGAGACAAAAAACATGATTATATGACTTCATTCTTTGGCATGTGTTTGGATCTAGCCATGCACTTTGGACAATTAATTGGAAACTATGCGTTTGAAATCTGTAAGATTGTGGCTCGGATATGAAAGCTGTACGTGGAATAATAGACTCTTGCTTGCTACAAATTGCTTTCAAATACAAGACCATGAACTGTTTTTACACGGTCTTAATATCCCTTTTTTTTCCAAAAATACCATAATTTTTGCCAAAAGTTGTTATCATGGTCACAGCCTAACAAACAGAGGTCTGGTTTAGAGGCAGTTTTGGCCAAGCATTTGATTTTGCGAATAATGGGCTGTTTAAAGGTACAATGTAGAGTACATCATTTGCAGCTATCCAAAAAGTGACTGATGAAAATTATTGTCGAAAAGCATACTTGGTTGAAAACTCCCTGTGAAATCATTCTTTCTGGCATGCTGTCATTTTGAAGAAAACAACGGAAGAAGGCCCTTTCCAACGATGCGTCTAAAGAAGCATTTTTGGAAATTTCCGTTAGTAGTTCGTTTTTAATGCGACGAAGCTGTGAATGAGTGCGCGCAAGCATTGACACGACGCACAAGCGCATGCAGTTGCTATTGTTCTTCGGTTCAGTATTTTTTTCAATAACAACGTGTCCCGGATGCTGATTTTGGGTGCAATTCAAAACATGACTTGGCAAATTTTGAATTGAAAACGAGATCCTAGAATATTGCTTTCTCCGAATATACAGCACTGAAGTTCATCAGGTTAGTTGTTAAGCACCATTCTTGAGATTTTGAGCACTTTTGTTGCTTCAAGCAAAAAAAATGCACGGATGACAAATAATGTACTCTACCTTTAAGCCATCACACCTATAGATGTACAACCCTGCAAAATTAGGACTTTGAACAGCGCAAAGGCTGGGTCTGAAGTACATATGCGCCTATGGCAGCGTTTAAATCCTCACAGACGTGTCTTGCTGCTAGTCACAACAAAATACTCTGGAACTAGTCTGCAGATAGCATGGTAGCAGACTGATAGTTAATAGACTACCTTGGCGTGGTACTGCAGGTCTAGTGCCCTGACTGTCGGGTTGGAGTACAGCAGCTTGGTGACCAGCATCTGATACCAGCTGCCCAGCATGTCGCTGAGCTCTGAAAAGACTGACTGGTCCCCCGACAGGATCTAAACAAGGACCAACCAAAGAGACAATCATGGAAAATATTACGTCGCAAAATTGTCACCATGTCTGCACGTCAAAATGGGATATTGATTTGCCTCGATGGTCAGTTCAAACCAATAGCTATGGACATTCCAGAACTTGCTGGCATACTTAAATGTCAGGTAGTCACAGACTTAGAACAATGACAACCTGCATATAAATTATCTCTCCTACTCCAGTATCCAGCACCAGCGAAAGAGGTTGTAGTCCTAGGCCTCACAAGTCAATGATAATTCTTATATTATCTTAAAAATCAATCAAATTTGAAGTACATCAATGAAGTATATCTGAAAAGAGCATCATCTTCCACTCATCTACAAGAAAGAATTACTGAAATTGATCCATTGCATCAGGAGTTATGAACGTTTTAAGAACCAATTTGTATAGCTGTCCATGGAATGCCATTAGAAGTTATTGAGCTGGGTGAGTATCACAGATTACAAGTCCACGTTTCATTGTACTCTATAGGCATTCATCGGTTCGTGGAACGGTAAATGATCAGTGGTGGACAGCCGAGTTTTGTGATCTTTTTCATTGAAATAGACATAACTTGGGAATAGAGTATGTAAATTACGTGAAATGTTCACAGTTAAAATTCAAATTGAGCAAGCCAAATAATCAAAAACATTTTTTAAATTGGGTAACTTTCTTTTGACTCACCCTGCACAATGAGGGCGCTTTTCTGACCTTACCCATCAGGGGTAAAATATTCAAGTTTGAAATTTCATGCAAGTGAGTGACTTTCTTAAGGATTCCGATGAGTTCAGAGAGCATACCCTGCATATCGTGTGCAGATGATGATATGAGATGAACGCACTGTCCTCCAGACACTGCGCGCACTGGTCCTGCCAATGGCGCCACCGTAGGTCAAACTCGGCCAGGGACTGCCGGCTCAAGGCGCTGAAGACGGGCATGTCTCGCATCAGCTTGTCCATGCGAGCAAAGGTCTGCAGAGACAACGAGCGACATAAGAATAAAGGAATGGGTTCTTAGCCAACGACATTTGAGCCATTGTGCACATCATGATTGGTTGATTTTCCACAGCTGATGAATGTACCCAGGTACATAATGGCAATGATAACTGAATCTCCAATAATTCATTCAAAAGTTTGATGATAACGAACACTGTAAAAATAAATTTAAATGGCGTTTAAAGACTTGATTTTGGTTGAGCACAAAGAATGTGGTGTTACGTTAGTCCAAATGTTGATTTTTTTAGGACTAAGAAAATATCCTGGCAAAAATGGACCAATCCAGTAAGCCCCGCCCACTGCACACTGGGCAAATTAACACGTGCCCCTCTCGAATGCCAAACTGCATTTTCCTGCCGCACGTGCACGCATGTCGGACATAAATCACGGCTGTGATTGGTCAGAATACCATGGGGCGGTGCTTACTGGATCGGTCCATTACCAGAGGAGTCACGGGCAGCCCTAACTTTTTAATGTTTTTTTTTAATAGAATTTATAAGATTACACCTGCCACTATAGCAAAGCTCATTAGGGTTTGATGCCCCTGAAAGGTATATTAATCCTAACTCCTTGAGCACTTTTACTAGAAAGTATCCTGAATCCACCAAAATCCACCTATTGTCAACATTTTGGTGTTGGTGACTGCTCAGTATGGAGGTATCCTGAATCCATCAAAATCCTGCAGTACTGCTAAATTTTGATGGATTCAGGTACGTTAGGATTTAAGTACAAGGATTTGTGCCATCAGGCTTCCTGTGAAGTGGTGGATGTTGAAGAATTTGATGAAGAATTTGAAACAATCGTAGTATTTCTGGTTTGTGTAGTGGCCCCAGAGAAACAAAGGTCAATTCGGTCTTCTTAGCCACGAATGATGGGAAATATAAAACAACTTGTGGTTGGGTCAATTTGGCTGTAATACAATGACTACTTAGGTATAGGGAAGTGATAGAGCATGTGACGTTACATTGAGAGTGTCTTGTTCTTGCTGTGCGTGCGTGGAGAGAAGATGTCTAGCTTCGGCCAATCTGCCTTGCATCACATAGATGTAGATCTGTCGTCAAGATATTAAAAAAGAAGGAGACATGTTTGCTAAATCTGACAATTAGACAAAATATTTTAAACCCCCCCCCCCCAAAAAAATGATTTTTTTTTTACTCAGGCAGGCCTGGCGCTCTAGATTTGAAGTGGTGAACACTGTTATTTGTCTGTAAAGACGAAATGTATTCGCATGCATTCATAATTATTAAAGTTTACTTGCATTTGAAAATATACGAGTGAGTCTGTTTGAAAAAAATTGGCCACAGAAATTGGCCCAAGATATTTAGGAGAAAGAAAATATTTCAATTTTAGTTGATTCATGAACTTCCATGTCATTTAAAAGCCGGTAAATAGTGAGCGGAGAGAACGTGAAACCAAACTTGTGATGTCACCTCAAGTTTTCACTGCAAATTTACAAAAGTTGAACACCTTTCACCTCTGGTGAGTTTCCCAGCGAATGTTTCATGATGTGAAACTCACTTTAAATTCGCATTCGCTGGAAGTATGAATCGTCTTACAGACAAGCATTGGATTTGGCCGATTCTTAAAAACACTTGGTAGTAAAAGCCATCTTTGTCAATGGGTAAGTCCACGAAAGGGTTCCCTTTTTGTCCCATACGTAACGCCAAGTTTTCTTTAATTACACAATCATTGCAAAAACAAATAACAAAATAAAATTCTTGTGGGTATTCTCCTTGCAGATGCCCAACAGTACAATAAAAAAACACTGAAATCCATGAATATCTTAGAGGGTTCACCTTTTGTTACGTATGGGACATAGCGTGCGCAAATTCTTGGACTTGCCCCAATGAGGGATCTTTCAGGCAAATTTTGATCATATTTTGTAAGGTGCTATCTGCATACTCACAGCTTTCCAGTACACCTCATTGAACTGGAAGTCCTCTGACTGCAACACTTCCCTGGCTAAGCGATCGCCTTCTGTGAAGTGAAGCTTCAGCCAGTCTTGTAGCTGCTGCAAGACCACGCCACCTGGTCATATTACCAAGAAAAACAACAATGACCACCAAATACCAAGTTGCCACTGGGGACTAAAAACAAAATTCACTTGTTGACCAAACAGGGATACAAACCCAAATCAAAGATATGAAAGTCAAGTACATAACCAGTGCTCCAACCCGACTCCCTTGTTAAACTACATTTTGGTAACTTGGTCTTACCAGGCAGCGTTTCCACAAATAGGATCTCACAGAGGCTCCAGATGAGACCCATGGTCTGCAGCAACTCGCTCTGAGCTGTGTAGCTCTCACATTCCTCACGAGACACATTGGGATCTGCAATGAGAACATGGTAAATAATCAGTCCGCAAGTCAGGATTCGAACCCCAGACACTCATTACAAAGACAGTGTCCAATCACACAGCAATGCTGTATTTGAGCTCACCGCAAGTCCTCACAAGTGCATTATAAGTCACTCTATAAGTCATTACTATAAGAAAAAAGCATGCCTTTTTCAACTGTTCATCCACTGTTATTTATGATAGACTTAACTACAACACTATTTAGCCTAACCTCCTTCAACTCTCCAAAGTCCTCCGGGCTGTTTTGGAGTATTTTGGAGGATTGATGCTGACTGCAACATAGGATTGTTGAGGATTGAGGGCACATGGACATTCAGTATCGGTTGATTTTGGAGGATTGAGGATGAATGGTGTTTGAAGAAGAGGAGGATTTGGGAGGTTTGAGGATGAATGTATCTTGAGAGGCAGGGCTATTGGAGGATTATGAAGGATAGAGGCAGTGGGTATCCATCATTTGAACATTACTGCACAATTTTTGAGGATTTTATAGGATTGAGGATGGTTCCTAGCAAAAAGGGCTTAGGGGTAAGGGTTAAACAGTGTCAGCTATGGCGAAATGTCCAGAATATTGTCATGCCAAGTTCACAATACAGTCGACTCTCGTTAGTACAAACTCTGTTAATACAAAATTCTGGTTATAATAAACATAAAGCCTTGGTCCCGACTGTGCATTTATGTGCACAATGAATGGGACTGATGTTCCTCTTAATATAAAATTCTGATATAACAAACAATTTGGCTAGGTCCAAACAAGTTTGTTATAACGAGAATTGACTGTATCTCTTATTGAAAAGTAATGCATCAAGTAAATTTAATGTTGCTTTTCATCCACGTAATTTCATAAACACTGTAAAGTCTGTGTTGTCTGAAAGTTTGTGAGAAAAGTGTTGCAAGCTTGCTTGGGTGGGACTCGAACCCACGACCAAAATTCCATTATACTAGTGCACTATGCTGTAAAATGTATTAACCCTAACCAAACTCAACCCATCAAAGTCCAAACAGCAGGTGTGGTTGAAATCTGAATGGGTACAGTACCCCTAAACAGATGGTCTTTTACATTGGGTTTGGCATACCTCCAGAAACAAAGTCCAACAGTGTGTGTGTACGATTGTTGAAATTTGCCTAGATGGGTATGGTTCCTAGTAAATTATGCTAGGGAGTTAGGGTTAAAAGTGATCGCCTTACCGGCTGCTGCTTTGCGCAAGTCCTGCACGCATTCACCCATGAAGGCTCGGTAATGTCGACTGTACTTGACGAGTCTGTGGAAAACAACATGAGGTTTGAGAACTCTTATGTCCTCATATCCACACAAAGACAACACCAATACAGCACTTGCACAATAATAACAAACAAATTCCTTGATAACTTTAAAACGTCCTAAGCTGAAGGTATAAGTAGCACATGTGACCCACTCCACGAAAAAAAGTATTAAGTCGCACTGTGCATTATCATGTAATGGCCCACTCAACGTTGAGAGGGTGAACATTTTTTTTCAAAATGTGATGTTCATGTTTTGTCATGAATGACATCATTAATACCTAAAGTTTCATGGTTCATTCACAGAAATGTTGATTTTGATGAATAAAGTGGGGAAAAAATGACAGGAAGTAAATAATATGCAAATACGTCATATCTCCAGATCGGAAGGGGCTATGGAGCTCTTTTACATACAAAATGAAAGCTTACGTTGTGGGCTTTCAACCATGTAACTCAATTTCACTTTTTTTTGACATAATACTCTTTTTGTGGAGTGGGTCACATATCTACTTTAACTCCAAAATAAATTGTGACCTTGATAGAACTAGCAAAACCTAAGCTATAATGATGAAAAAAAAAAAAAAAAAAAAAAAAAACCCAAACAAACAAACAAAACTTACTGCGGTTTTCTCACAGAATCTGATGACTCTGGACCGTGCTTCTGTAGTGCTACAAACACATCTATGATCAAACAAAAAGTTAATTATTATCAAGCACAGAAGTACAATATACTTTTTCATTTGTTTATCACAGTCGGCAGGAATTTAATTTTTGAGCCAACCAACTTATTTCTTTAAAAAGTTCTTTACGACAGAATTTAACCATTTGAGGTAAATCCACATGAAGCAAAGAACACAGAAATTGTAAACTAAGTTGCACCTATGCCCCAACCAAAATGTGTTTTATCCTGCCATCCTTAGGCTCTTTTGTATTTTTGAATAATGGTTTGCAATGTAATAATGCACATGGTCTTTGGATCAAGTTTTGTTCATACACCCAGTGCCTAAAAAGCACAATTTCTCTTATTAGTAACAGAACGTACATACAGGGTCATGCAAAAAGAAGAAAACCCACTTTTGACAGAATTTTAACTGAAAATACTAAACTTATTTGAACTGTTTTTTTTTTAATGTAGTGAAGTATAGCTCTTCAACCATACAATGTACGTGGTGAAAAACCTTTTTTTTAAATTGCAAGCAAGAATAGTGTTATTATGCTAATTTCAATACAAGTCACCAAAACCACTGTTGTCCATGTGTAAGTCTAGTGTAATGTTTTTGTCTTCAAATCAAGCTCCGGAGCTCAGTCAAGCAGATGGAATAAAGCCGTCCGTGGACAAACAGGTTTGGCACAACAAATTTTAAACTACCATATATCAGAGAAAAAATCTGCATTTGCAATCATTTTTTTGTCACTTATGTTTAAAGATCAATATTTTAATACCATTAAATCGAATTTTTGAAATACGCTCAACAAGTAGGTGAACATTGCTGTCAAAAGTGGGTTTCCTTCTTTTTGCACCACCCTGTAGATAAATCAGATGCATCAGATGATATTAGGAGATACATGTACTTGCAGAGCATACAAAAAGTCAGCTGTGTAAAGAATTTGGGTCAATTCAAATGACCATGACCCTGTTAATATTTGAACATACCATGTGATTGGGTGACCAGTTTTCTTGCTATGGGTTTGTGCATGTCTGTTTGCCATTGAACCCAATGCAATCTGGGAGGGCTCTGCAAGATGGGTGCTTCATAACCTAGAAAGAAAATAAAAGAGAATATTCAATTCTGCAAGTATGAATTCCTTGGTCCAAGGTTGAATCGGAAATGGTTCTATTGATTTTAAAACCCAGAAATTAGCAAACTTGAAGGATTTAAGAAACTGGAAGTCAATGTTGATTAGATGTGATGTTCTAATGTTCAAACGTCCAATGTTATCTGATTGTTTATTAATTACAATGATTTTTTTTGTTTTCCGGAAAGCACAATTTCCATATATTCAAAATTCTTCAACCAATATTTTTTGAGAATCAGAACATAATATGTACATACAGGAACCACACAGAAATTGGTGCAGTATGCCAAGTGCAACTTCGATTTTGTTTAAGTGACCAACACAATACATTTCAAAGGATGTTTGGGACCACTGAAAAAAAAAACCTCGTTCTAAATGCCCATGAGATGATTTCATATTAAAATACCAAAACATTTAACACAACTAAAACCATGCCTTGGAATTGTATGCAAGCAATGATACTTGCAATTGCCACCGACCTTTGCCTTGTGTGTGTTCATATATCCTCTTGCCAATGCCAGCGTGCAGGAGTAGTTTGTGGCCCAGACCCCAGACCGAAGAGAGGCAGTTGGTGGCGGCGTCTGCGTCAGGAATGACCTGCGATACACAATGGTAAGTTAACTTAAAATTATGAACCCAAAGAAAAATCCAAAGCAAAGGGTTTATATCTACTTCAATTAACCCTAACCCCTTGGGTAGATTTACTAGAAAGTATCCTGAATCTGCCAAAATCCATCAATTTCGCCACGCAAAAGAATTTGGTGGCCAGTGAGACCATCAGAATCCACCACTTAGCTGGGAGTAAATCTGTTGAGATCCTGAATCCATCAAAGTCCCCCAACTGCTCAATATGTAGGTATCCTGAATCCATCAAAATCCTGCAGTTCGGCTAGGCTTACAATCCTGAATCCATCAAAATCCCCCAGTTTGTGCAATATGGAGGTATCCTGAATCCGCCGAAATCCCCTGAAATAGGGGGGTGGATTTTGATGGATTCAGGTACATTAGGATTAAAGTAACATTTATCGAATCAGAAGGTAACACCTCAATTCTATTTAACAGAATAATTCAAGATATTTAACCTGGGTTGTAAATGAGTCAATTACAAGTCATCCCCCCCAAAAAAAGTCTGAGGAAATTAATAATCACAAGTCACATCACAACAGTACAGATGCAAGAGCCAAAACTCCTGTCGTTGAATATTGTCAGGTCGGGGAGCCAGACGGTTGACTGCTGAACAAACAGTAGATCATGTGAAATTAAATTTTGAAGTTTGAGTAGTGAACATATTAGCTAGTAGTCATTGGAAAGAGAGCTACATGTAAATGAAATATAATGATGCTTAAAGCAGCTCAGTCAGATGAATATTAATGAATTTATTATTTTTTAGGAATTAACTATTCGTGTCTATGTCCTAGGCTATATATTTTAAGGAAAATCAAAGAAAAGACTTTGACCCAAACTGAATTCTTTTAGGACTGATCTTTTCATAACTTGTTTAAACAAAACAAATGTTGCGGACCTAACAAAAAATAACGTGAGAATTTTTGCTACTATTAAGCAAAGATTTAAGAACCCAATATAGGTCCGAAAAAAGCCATAACAATCCACCGTTTTTGTAACAAATACAGTAAGCATATTTTAAAAACATCCAATATTACATAAAATGTCATTTTGATGAAGATTTCCACCTGATGGTGCATATTTTAAAAGCATATTGTGCGAAGATATTCCACTAAAACTTGACTCCCTGACCCTGGCAATTTTGAAAATTATTTTCACTCGTCATGCTCGGGCAGTCGCGGCCACCACTTTTTCGCGGAACGTACAAATTAATCCACTGCATCTATTAATATATTTCGATTTTGTATACAACCAAATTGAAGCATAACAACTACATTTGGGAAAAGTTCCGTACTCGGACGTCAATTTATCTGCTGCCAAACATATTAATTGTCACCTCACCTTGTCATTTGAACCAAGAGAAATCCAGGAAGCTGTGTAAAGGTGAAAAAAATTTACTCAAAATGTGTTTTTAGAGCACATTTTGGATGCATACGTCGTGCAGAACTAACTTGAAGCAGCCGGTCAAAACTGTGGTTGAAAGACAGCGGTACGTTATACACATGACATCAACAACCATGACGTCACATGAGCCTGCCAATGATAGTGCAATACGTCATTATGAATATTTATTTTCTCTTGAATATTTAGTTTATTTCAATGGAGACTTCAAATACGTCCAAAGATTGATTATTGCAACAGCGATCGTGCGTGGCCTAGCGGTTAAGAGTCTCGTGTATCAAGCAAGCGTCAGAGGTTCGAATCCCGATGAAGTAACTGACTGATTAATAAATAGAAATTAAGGAAAGGAGAGGGTGAGAGTAGAGGAGGGAAAGTGGAGGAATAACCATAAAAGATGTAACTTTTGGCGCTAGAAAATTAATTGAAAAAAGTGGCGATCGAGTACGGAACTTTTTCCCTACATTCTTTGTAACAAATGAAAAAAAGGGAAAACTGCATGTTGGAGAACATGTCGGAAATACACCACTTTCTGCAGCATCGAATGCAGACGATAATATGCACAGCGATCGAGTAAAAATTAAAATGTCCCAACAATTTCCCCCGTAAAAAAATCCCGTCATATACAAAAATGTACTTATATGTAACGCTACGCCATATCATATGAAACAATGCATCAAAACATTTTAAAAGAACTATAAATTAACGCTTTATTCTACAAACCAAAAGTGGAATTTCGCGCTCGTAGGCCGCCATCTTCTTTTAATGCGGGTTGTATAGCGCCCTCTAGGGGTCTAGGACTCGTTTTAATAACGCATCAACTACACGTGTAGTTGATACTTTTTAAATTTAGAACGTATAGGTGACTACATTTTCTGCATTTTCCCCTTTTTTTCCTTGTAGCGCCCCCAATCGACATTGCAATAAAAATGTGAGGTCGTGGGTGGGTGAGAATTTTAAGTGAGAAAATGGGTGACAAACAGGGCGAGGAAGATGGAAAGCAACAGGAAAAGAGACTTTTCACCATACCCAGTGCAAAAGATATCGCCAGGTTAGAGCATGGAAAATCAAAGGTAGGCCCTCAACCTATTTTTTTGGTCAAAATGTAGCTGACACGGTCACACGGTACGGCTAGCTAGCACCCGTTTTGATAACACGACACACACAAAATGTGATTTGGACTTGGAGTTGGAGGGTGTGACTGGGGGGGGGGGGGGGGGTCCGGGCGCAAGCATATTAGAGATTTGGTAGCCTCTAAACCTATAAAAAGTATGCCAATCTGAAGCTGAGATTCTAATTGTGTGATTGAATGTTTAAAACAACAATTTGAACAACATCTTGATCATGTTGATATAAAATTTATCATTTCAGTTTCTGGTTCTCATCAAAACTGCATTTTTTTTTGGTCTTTGCGAGGTCACACCCATATGCACCGTGGCAATACTCAGCTAAAATAATATCTTCATCAATCACAGCTCTGAAGTTCCTTCTTTCTCATCATCATTTCTAATAAGCATTCTTATTGGCTGATTTTCTAATTTTTGTGAGCCCGGAAAGAGACCCTTTTTAAGCCTAGTTAATACCATTGTTTACATTGTATTTAAAAAGCATTATTTCTTATGATTTTTCAACAAGACATGAAAAATAAAACAATTTGAAGATGATATATAGTAAAGAAACAAAAAGAACAATAAAAAATGGAAGTCAAGCCTCTGTCCTTTAATTTACACAAACAAATTTATTCATCACAATTTCTATACTACGGATATCGACCAGTATTGCAGTAACTCGAATTGCATTAGTCACGGCTTTGTCTGGAGACTTGTGTTTTAAATATTGACAACCTCGGTCATTGTATTTCATCTTTCATTTTGTTTTTTTCTGTTGTTTCATACAGGTGAAGTCGTACTTCAAAAGCCAGTTTGGAAAGAAACCCACCACTGCGCAGTCCAAGGACCAAGCAACCTCCAGCAATCGAACCAATGCAAGTTCCAGCTCCGCATCAACACTAAGAAATCAGCCAAATTCCAAAGTAGCATCCACTTCATCGGACAGTAGAATCCCTAATGTTACCAGCACAGCAACAGTTGAAAGAACCAGTAGAACTGTTGGTGATGCTGGCACTAATGGAAGGACTAGTGGCCTGTCTACTGCAAGTGACCTTAAGGTCGGCGCCTCATCTGCATATCCTGGTACAGAACCGAGTACCTGCGGTATGCCCGACGGGGCCGGGGTTGGAACGAAAAGGAAAATAGGATCGGCATTCGCTGATAAGTTTTCTGCATTGAGGGAAGGAGCGGACTATGAGGAGCCGCAGCTGAAGAGGTTAGTACCAGGGGGAAATTCCATGTACCGGCTAAATGCAGAAACTTGCTAAGAACAGGTAATAATTGCTTAGCAAAGACTGGTTACCAGCCAAAATGACATGTGATTGATATTGCTTGTAACTGGTTCTCTGCTGATTCCTGCTTCCTGCTGATTCCTGCAATATTACTAGACTGGGACCTTGAATGCATAAAAACATGCAAAACAAAATCAGACAAACTTTACTCGCTCTTTATTTGGAAAGATTCCCATATCTGGCCATCACTAATTTTTCCCTTCAGTGACAGCCATCAGAAAGTGATAATACGTCGTAAAAAGTCAAATTTAACAGGGAAAATATTGAAGTATTTACTGAGAAAACACTTAGAAACTTTCAGAGCCGTCTGAAACGGTTTGTACACATGGTGAAAGTGATGGCCAGATATGGGAATCTTTCCCTTTATTTTTAGCCAACAAAAGTTCTCCACAATTTTCATGGGGCAAAGACAAGGTCCTCATTATTTCAGGACTTTCGGCAGATTCTTGGGAACTATGCCAAATTTGTCATTATGGTCAAGATTTCTGACTAAACAAGCTAGTGTGTCACATCTGTAGTGACCTCACTTTTGACCTCAATGAATGAACTGTACTGAAGAGGATTGATGTAATCATATGTTTACTGCCTTGAATCCAGTCTAACCGTTCAACTAATAAAAATTTGTCTTAATTGCTTTTTTTTTCTTCCAAAAAAAAAATGCAGAGCAGCAGTCTCGACTGCAGTAGTTGCAGCACCCATCGCGACAAGCGCTAAGGCACCGTCGGGAGCAAATACCATCGTCGTCAACACAAGACAGGTAGGTGTCATCAGGTGCACCAAGAAGTGACAAATACAATTCTGGTTTGAAATGCCACAGAGTGAGAGATCATCAGTAGACATTTTACACGCGGTACATCACTTTGTGGTGCAGCAACTATCCTAGACTGGGACCTTAAGTGCTCAAAACGATGCAAAAGAAGATCAGGCCCACTTTACTCACTCTTCAGCCAGCAAATTTCTCCAAAACTTTAGTTGGGCAAAGAAAAGGGCCTCAGTATTTCACCAACCAAGTTTGAAGACTCAATTCAATTTTTAAAGGAGACATTTCTACAATATTTGGCAGTGGCTTGCACATGAGAGGGAAGTCAAGTGATTTCAAAATGAGGCTAAAGACTAGACTTGTACATGTCCATCTATGGTCCAACTGTTTGACAAGACTGACTTCTTCATTCAATGTCATTAGTCTGGTGCCTGACTATGGAGAAATGTGTAGAAATAGTGACCTAGTACCCGACATCCTAGATATTTTTGTGGCACAGTCACTTGACAGTTGATTGATGCAGCACTGAAGTGTTGTTGGACTGGTTGTTTCAGATGTCAGTCTATTTTCTTGTATTGCATGTTTTCAGTACCTTAAGTTTTGGGACTCTCATAGTCATACACAGTATTGAGAGTCCCAAATTTTCGGACTACATTTATTTATGATACCATGCGTCATGGTGCAAGTGACAATGTGGACAGAACTACAAGAAACTTCTTGTAAGGAAGTTTTTAGCTTTTATGTTCGTCGACTTGATTTGGGAAGTATTGCGTGTGATATTTTGCTATTTTGCACCTATCCATCGAAGAGTGGTGACGATGACTTCACTATCACTAATTCTCAATCAGGTTTGATTTCTTTGTCATTGTTTTCCAGAAAGGGAATCCCATTCTTAAGCACATCCGAAATATCCCTTGGGAGTTTGGGGACATCGTCCCTGACTATGTCATGGGAAGGACTGCCTGTGCATTGTATTTAAGGTAAGAATAGTTGACTTAATCCTAACATTCCCCATCCAGTCAAACTCCAACACCAGGGTTTGTTGGAATCTGTTGGAATGAGTACTGCACAATACTGGTTATGCTTTACATGGGGTATCAGGCATACCACCATAATCAGAGTCCAACAGTTTGGGTGTTGAGTTTACCATATGGTGTTGGAATTTGCAGGAGTGAGGAAGGTTCCTAGTCAATCTTTCTAGGGTGTTAGGGTTAATGTAGCCTTTGGCATATACATGTATAGTGCAATTTCAGTGATGTAGCTTCACGCACTGAATGTCTTTTCAGCTCAACAATGTGGGACTCATGGAAAGTGTGTTTTTAGAGTCCCAAAATTTACATTCTCTTGCCATCAAATTACTGTATGGTCCAGAGTTTCAAAACATTAGACATGTGCCAGTCTAGTCTTATCCTTCAGTCTCGCTGCACGTTTCTGCACATTGGTTGGATTAATTTTGTTTGTTCAAGTTTTCACTAAAAAAAAACATGGGCTGAAATTACACTTATTCGATTTTGTGCATTGTGGATGCTTCTTGGGACTTGCAAATCATTACATGGATACTGATTATTAATTTCGATTCAATTTATATTTTTTTCTCTCGGAAGCTTGAGATATCACCACCTGAATCCCAACTACATCCATGACAGACTGAAGGACCTCGGTCACCAGTACGAACTCAGGGTGCTGCTTGTACAGGTCGATGTGGTGAGTTGCTAGACGTGGTGTGTTGTAGTCCATCACAAGGCCTGTCGTAGCTGCTGAATTACTAGTCAAAAAGCCCAGTCACAAATTAAAGTTGTTTTTTTTTCAAATTTGTCTGTGGTCTGTCAATTCTAGAAAGATCCTCACCACTCTGTGAAGGAGCTGGCTCGTATGGCCTTACTGGCGGATTGCACTCTCATACTTGCATGGAGGTAACTTCACTCAGTTGTCACTTTATTTGTAATACAAAATTAACATTTTTACCTGGTTTTTTAAAATTATTTTATGCATGTATGGAAGTTGTGGAACAATAACAGTGTCATGTTCTGCATTTTAAAATTCTTGCATGGGCCCCACAAAATTTGAATAAAGAATGGCCAATTACAGAAAAAAACAGATTCGAAAATAGTCTGATAATTCTTGTTTCATGTACGTTCTTGACTGTAGTGCGGAGGAGGCAGGCCGATACTTAGAAACCTACAAGTCATATGAGAACAAGTCTGCAGACGCACTGAAGGAAAAGATAGAAACGGATTATCTATCAAAGGTAAGGTCGGAATAAAGTTACACTGGTGCTTAACTCAACCCTTGCTCCCTGAGTTGTCAGGCATGTTTTTGCTAAGCAAGTTTGACTACTAAGCAGAAATCAGCAGGGAACCAGTCACAGCAACATACAATCACCAGATATTTTGGCTGGTAACCAGAATGTACTAAGCAAATCTTTTGTGTACTCAGCAGATATACATGAGTAGCAGTTATGAGTCCCCCTCTCATGAGCTTTCACAGTGTTTGTAATCTTATTGCACTAAAAAGGGATGAAACCTATTCCATTAACTATAACTCTCACAGATCCTTTCAAAGTTTACCGGAAGATCTTTCCGAGATTTTGCAAAATTGAGGAAGGTGCAGCCCAGTCACTGTTACTTCACTCATCTATCTGTACTGCCTCACAGTCCCCTGGTTGTTACTCCTTATACCACCCCAGGGCTCTCTGGTATCATGAATTCATCACGGATTAAACACAGTGTAGTACAATGTAATACGTATGCTAATGGGAATGGGTCCATGATAACCCCTTGAAAGTTGAAGTACTATGAATGTGCCTTTGGTTTCATGATAAGTGGAGGAGTTTTGAGGATTCAGGAAGGTTTCTGGCAACTACGTGGGATGTTAAAAGTTTCTATAACTTGTCCATTTTCCTCTACAATTATTACCAAGGTGACAGATGTTCTGAGCACAGTCAGATCAGTTAACAAAACGGATGTTGTCACTCTGGTCTCAACATTTGGGGTGAGTATTTATGTGCAGATACACAATAGGCAAACTACACTATCAGCAGCCATATATTATTGGTTGGCAGAGTGTGTACAGTAGAGAAGGATTTGTGTGAGAAATATGTGTAAAGAGATAAAGTTAGTTTTGAATGATGAATTTATTTTCTGCGGCTACTGCAACCTATCACTATTTATAAGATGGAATTGTTACGCAATCAAGCACGCATTGCGCAGTGTTGAAAATGTTCCAAACACGCGCTTTGTTGCTCGAAATGTGTTCGAAATACGACGCAGCCGATGCGCAATGTGCAAGTTGATGCTCAAAATGCCAATGCACATGGCTGGTCTGTAGGAAATGACGTCATTTGAGAGAGACATATTGGGTTTTGCCCTCACCAACATAAACATGGTTCATTCACTCAGTGTTGTCTGAGATCTTTCCAAGAAAGTTTCACAAGCTTTCTTATGTGGGACTCGAACCCACCACCTCCTGCTAAGTTAGTTTTATTTACATTTTTTCCTCAGACATTTGACAAGATCCTTGCAGCATCGAAAGAGGACCTGTACCTGTGCCCTGGATTTGGACCGCAGAAAGTAAGGAAGGTTCTTGGAGGAAGTTTGATTTATTTTGGAATAAAGATTTGATGTGGTTGGTCTTTGATTAATTTGTTTTATTTAATAAGTCTTCAAGACAGCTCTGGCCCTGTGAAGATCCTGCAAAAGTGTTGTAGTCAAGTGCCTCATAAGTCAAGTCACTACGTACATGTATTCAGATAAACTGTGATAAAGACAATCTTTAGTTATTGTTCATCCGGTGTTAATTGTGACTTGTAAAATGGTCGCATTGCGGCAGCAACAAATTATTTACAAATGTAAAGGGTCCACGAAGAGACTTTTTCTTAGGAACACATTTTGTGTAACTTCTTACTCCTCTTAAATGTGTGAAACTATTTGACATCCCTTTTTGGTTAATTGTATTGAAAAGTGCACTTATTTGGACAATTAAAACTGTCCATGCTTTTCCAGACAACGAGGGTGCTGTTGCTGTGATGTCATTTCAGGAAGACACTGTTCAGTTTATAGGTTTTCTGTTCAAATTATGAATCCCAAAATTAGCTCAATGAAAACATTTGTAAGAAAAGTTTGCTCATTGATGACACATTTGACACAACGATTCACCAAAGAAAGGAAAATCTACAGCAGCAAAGTATTCAAACTTTTGGCACTTAATTGTACAAAAATAGGTGGAACATTGGGGTTTCTCTGAAGTGACATCACAATTTTGCTCGTCAATACGAAATTCGCATTAGCATCAAAATAAAAAAGGGCAGCAAAATACCCTTGAAAATTGCAAAATGAAAATTGCGTTTAATGGGACACAAGGTGCATTTTCAAGGATTGCATTAAAAAAAAATATGCATTACACAGGCCCTTTGGCTAACAATTAATTGCTTTCTGTTTCTAGGCACAGAGGTTGTACGATGTCCTTCACGAGCCCTTTTTGAAGACGACCAGGATTGAACGGAAGACTGCCACCAAAGATACTGCAGCCGCTACAACAAAAGCTGAAGTGCCAGCAACATCAGAACCAGATTGATAAAACAGTAAAATTGTTCAAAATAAACAATTTCAATACATTGTTATACTTTTTATTGGGAATTTGGTTTTCCTGTATTGGTAGAAAATAGCTTCAACTCCACTAGAGGGAAACCCAACTAAGCAGTACGCAAGCTTTGTAAAAACACCACGCTTGATTGGAAATGTTCAATCTCAATGCAACCATTCCAGTGAGAATACTTCGTGACATGTATGTAACTGATTTTGGCCATTTAATTGTCCATTTGGATAAAACTGCAAATAAACTGTGGCTGAGGATATTTTTTCTCTCTTTTAATCCTTTCTGTATTCCTTACGTCTGAATAATAATGGAATGTTTTTGTTTGAGCACCTGACAGCTGAACAACATGTGCTTTGAGTCTGTAAGCTTCTATTTGGAGGGGGAGGGGTCATTCTCAATGTAGTTAATCATAAATTGATTTCCTCTAAATATTTTGACTGTCTGAAAACTCAAATAATAGAATTTTTTTATTCGTATCTTGTTCATTTAATCAGAAATTTAAAGATCAGAATGTCCGTCAACACTTGCAGGATCCATTTTAGACATTTCAGGTAGATTTGATAAATGTATAAACAGACTGAGATTATTTGAAGTATCATCCAGAGTGAAGCTGGAAAATAAAATATTTTATGAAAAGCATTCACATTGAATGACATCTTGGTGACTTAATTGTTCAAAAAAATAAACTGTCTATGTCTTAAGAAATTGAAACTTTCTCTAATGATGCCTTCAAACCTTCAGTCTCGCTTGTTAACATCCCAGTCTTGACATCCGAGTTGCTCCCATGATCAGTTCTATCAAGGACATTCTCATTTGGGCTTTCGGTTCTTACTTCTCCATCTAAGCTTTCCGTTTCAACTTTGTTCAAGTCACAAGCACCAGAGCTTTTCTTCTCATCATGTGCACTGGTTACCATATCTTGAGTTCTGCAGGTGTTCTTTGCATCGGAACTTTCTCCAACTGGGAGCGAGCTTTCAGCGGAACAGTCTCTCTGAGGCACTTTGTGTGTCTTCTCAGTTGCATCATCTGATGCTTCTGCTTGATTCTTTTCTTCCGAATCTTCACTGTCATCTTCATCATCTTCTCCACCATCTTCATCATCTATTGCATCCTGGCTGTCAGTTGCAACACCTGAAGCCTCTCCTCTAAGCATCTCATCTTTCACATCATTATCCTCATCATTGTCATTGACATCATCTTTGCTTTCCTGAACATCTTCTTCATCCCCGCTTTCATTTTCATCATCCTCATCATCACTGTCGTCATCATCTAAGTCGGGCATGTCGTACTGCGGCTGCCGGTTCAGGTTGCATGTTTCCTGCTCCATGTCGATATTCATCAGATCTAGAGGAGAGAGTCAGAAGGGAATAGAAAAATCTAAAAGTCAATGGAGTTTCAAATTTATCTTTTGTTGTATAGATGTAAATGATTTCTGTTGCCTGCATAATGGTGCTGGCCCCACTGTCTTTGTAAGAGAACTTTTGTAAGAGAACTTTTGTTATGAAGAGAGTTGCAACAGCCCTAACATTATGATGTCGTATTTTTTTTATGGGGATGAGGGTACGTCATCCCCAGCTAGCTCCAGAAGAAAGCACACATATAAACAGACAGTGACACCATTACCTCTCGCGATATTACTGATTACATTGTAATTAAAGACAAACAAATTTCACCCAAACTATACTAGGGGGATCAGGTTGGCGTAGCGGGACTTTCCTTGCCTTTCACTGCTGTGACCCGAGTTCGAATCCCGCCTGGGCCAACGTGTGGATTGGGTTTTCAGTCCCTGCCTGATTCCGTGGGTTTTTCCTAGAATATCATTCTCGGGATTTCCTCCCACCACTAAAAATGTAATTTCCTTCCTCATATTCTGCCAAGGAACCCCACTGAAAATAAGTCGAAAGAGTTTCGTGGGCTGTTCCGGCCAATTGCCGAATAAATAAATCTTGAAGACCACTGCAGGCTTTTGCAGCATCTTGATAGATTCGGGTCTGCAGCCAAGCCATGCAAGGCACCATTACTTCAAACAAGACTTGCTGCTGCAATGTTATGTGATGAACAAAGAATGTTCCATTAGGTTACCCTATACATGTTTAGTTAAATTTGTTTCCCCTGGGACTTATGGCTAATGGTGCTAGTGCCCTATCAGTCTCCCCACAGTTTGACTGGGTTTAGACATTGCATCAGTTGCATCACTTGAGAAGGGAGAAGACATTAAGAGCGCCCTCTGTTGGCAAGCACTTCCCAGGCTGAAGCCGAATTAGTCATCCTAATGAGACATGTCCTGATTTGAACTAGAAAAAAGTGCACGGCAGGGAGTTTGTCTGAAGCAATGATGAGTTACATCTGCATGCAGCTGTAAACGCATGCACTTGTTCCTGACGTTTGTTGGAGTTGTGCCAATGCGTTGCGTGTGGGCTGCGTGGTAACGTTTTAAAAATAGATACGCTGCGAGCTGTTGGAACCAATAAAGTGAACAAGGATGATGCACTCTGCTTACTGACTAGATTGACCTGAATAAAAAACAAATTAGAGGGCCTATGCTGTTCTGATTACGGCAGGACCTTTGCCCAAGGGTCTATTGGAACTATGGTGAATTCGTTTTAACTTTTTCAAGATATCGCATAATTTTGATGACAGGAATGTAATTTGTGACAAGTATACAGTCTTCACAGATATCAAATTTTCCATTCACAATTTACACCATTTATGGAACAATCTAAAGACAATTTTTTTCAGAGTAAACCTCTATTCTATGCGTGTATAAATAGCAACAACTACATGTACATTAATTATAGTAGCAAAAGGCTACAATGTAGTTCATGCTTTAAGGGAATGTAAAGCAAGTTCGATGAATACACTTTTGGCAAATTTGGTGAATACTTGCTAAGATGTCACAAATTCACGTGTCAGGCATACAACTGGGAATTTAGAAAAAACGAGGAAATTCCAAACCACACAGGACTTTGTACAGTATTTTTCAATTTGTAATGGCATTCATGAGAAGTAAAAAACGAGGAAATCAGTGGATCCGAGGAAAAGTTGCATTCCTGATGTGTGCTTTTGCTTTCGCGCCCGCATTTGCTTTTGCATTCACACACTGCAGGGATGTGGTCCAGTCCAGTCACAAGTCCAGTCGCGAGTCCATTCACAAGTCCAGTCGCAAGTCCAGTCGCAAGTCCAGTCGCAAGTCCAGTCGCAAGTCCAGTCGCAAGTCCAGTCGCAAGTCCAGTCTCCAGCTCAGTCACAAGCTCAGTCACAAGCTCAGTCACAAGACACAGTGGATGAACAATAACAAAAGAAATGCCTTTGTAAAAGCTCATTTGAATAGCTTGGGAGTTGAATTAAGACTGACGTGATGGATTTGCAAGGACTTGCAGGGACTTGTGATGAACTTATGATAGCACAGAGCATGAACTGGCCTTTATACAGGGTTATTCAAACATTTTTCTGTTAGATTTTGACATGGAGTCACCCAAGCCTGGTACAACATGAAGGTCAGTTATTTTAAGAATTCTTCTATCATCAGATAAAAAAGAAGAAGCAACTGCCACATTGGCGTCAATCTTGGAATGATGCAAACGCTGTCTGACAGAATTGCATACGGACCATTTCCTGAATGAATCACAAATTTACATCATGTGTAATGCCTGCAAGGCTATTTTTAAGCTGTGGCAACCATGCATGGTCGAAGGTAATTAAAGGAGACCTAGTTTGAGAATCTCCGCAACTTCCGTAAACCACAAACATAGAATGGCAACCAGCTGGTGGAATGGCAATTGTCCAAGCGAAGTTTTTTTACAATGGGATCTTCAATTAAAGGGGTTTTTTTTCTAGCTGAGATGGCTCATAAATTTTAAGGTCAGTTGGTAAAATTTTCTGTTGGCTATTTTTGCAGTTTTTACAAATACACAGGGTGACAAATTAAACAAAAAGCCCATGAAATTCAAACAGTAGCATATGTGCAAAATAATGCATAACATGTTGAATGATTAAGTAGAAGTCTTCACAGAGGTTTGTTGTCCATTTGTACTTCAGCTGATGCTGACAATTTCATGCATTCACATAACAAAATGATTTCCCGAAAAAAGAAAGAAATTTATGTGTTTAGTTGTTAAGTTAAAATTAAAAGTCATCCAAATAAATGTTCGTTCTTCTATTAAATTTCAAATGTCTACTCCGTACAAACGTAATTTCTGGGCATGTCCAAATTGTTTCCAATGTCGTTGAAATTTTACAAATAAGGACAGCTTAGACTACTTAAGTTTTCACAAGATTGTGTGTGCCCCTTTAAGGCCCAATCTTTACTAATCAATATTTCCGGTGATAGGGCCCCACTGTGGCCAGTGCGTTCCATACCGAGGGTGTTTATACATGTATATGGGGCATTTGTTAAAGGTACCGCCTGACTTGAAGGTGAACAGCAGTAAGACATGTGTGCCTGCTGGCCTGAGTGCACTGGTCATCTTCAAACCACAAGCCTGTTTTAAGTCTCTGAACTCCCAAGAGTTTCATCCCACTTTTTGAACATCATGGAGTGATTTAACCGGATGGCGCTTCAAGCTTTTTACGATGTGCAGGTAAGAAAAATCATTTTTAAACAAATTTGTTTGTCAAATGAAGGTCCAAATTTATAATAATAATCAGTCTCTTTTTTTAAAATGATCATGGATTATTTTGTCTGAGCTTAATTCACTATTTCTCATTGCCTTTTTCTTTTTGGTGGGAATGCTCCTGAGCAAATATTACCAAAAAATCCCACTTAAAATGTTCTGGTTTGTCTTTTGCTCTAGATTGTTCAAATCAAGAGAACATGCTCCAGCCCTCATTAAAAAATAAACAAATAAATCATTTATGTACCTTGTACATGTTTTTTAGAAGCACTACACCACTTTGCACTCTCTTTCCCCCAAAATTGTTCTCATTTACATGTAGATGTATATTCTGATTGTCAAGAATGCATTACATTAATAATGAAGTTTTATATTTGAATCCTGCTCTTAATGCAACATTTGAAAATTGTTTCATCTGTTACTTGTCATGGACCAAATTTTTGCGTGTGCCATGTTTTGAGCTTGTAATTTCCCATGTATCTTATGTTACAAATATGAGAAATTGAATTTGAATATTTTTTGGGCTGCCACACCCAAAAAATAATGACAAACCACTTAATTGCGTTAACCCTGACTCCCTACTGAGTTTTACTAAATTGGGGATGGATTTTGATGGAGTTGGGAAGGTTAGGGTTATACCCTAACCCCTAGGTATTTTTCCTAAGAACCATCCTCAATCCTCCAAAATCCTCCAAACTTTTGCACTTATGTTCAAATGAAGGATACCCAGCGCCTCAATCCTTCAAAATGGTCAGACAGTCCTGCCTCAAAAATGCATTCATCCACAGTCCTCCAAAATCCTCCTCTTCTTAAAACACCATTCATCCTTAATCCTCCAAATCTTCATGTTTCTCAAACACCATTCATCCTCAAACCTCCAAAATCCTCATGTTTCTCAAACACCATTCATCCTCAATTCTCCAAAAGCCTAATTTTTTCAAACACCATTCATCCTCAATCCTCCAAAATCCTCCGAAACTACCATGAGGATTTTGGAGGATTGAGGAATGTTCACTTTATTAATTACAAAGTACCCAACAACAATAAAGCTCACTCTAATAAGGTACAGAACATGGAGAGGGCTAGGGTGTACCAGCACCTCTACATGGTACGTAATCACCTGTGGTTGCTCTGAGTGCATCTTCCTGTTCTAGTTTCACCATCCATGCCTTCTGTGCTTCCACCACCTCAGTGCCGTTCTTGCAGGCCGCGTAGCTCTCTAAGACATCTTTGTTCAGCTGGTAGAAACCTGGTCCCCACTTGAACCTCTTCAACAGCTGCAGGCCATACTCAGGGAGACCTGAAAGCGAAAGCATAATTGAGTCATTCTGTCTAAAAAAAATTACATAAAAGGCATCAAAGAGAATTAAATGAAGGCCACATAATATGTTACACAAAAGTGACAGCGTTAGGACATCAGCAGTTTCCGTCTCGAAACAGCTGTTTTAGTTTTGTCCCAATCATTACCCTAATAAATTGGTCACGTTTCCAATTTGTTAACAGCATAAATCAAATCTCCAGTAAGTAAGATTGATCGGCTGAGCTCATCACCTATTTTTAGTCACAAAGTGCAATTTACTGACTGTGCACTGAGACGACATTTTTCTGAACAAAACAAAGCAAATAAAGCAACCTGCCTCACCGACTATGTAGAAAGTTGCAGCGAAAGCCTCCACACAGGAGAGTTTGCAGGGCCTGCCGTAGTTGATGGGATTTGCGGCCACCAAGTAGGGGAGGAGTCGTGGCTGACCACCCCTCATCTTGTCAAACGGTGTCTGCTCTAGCATGGCCCAGGAGCAGTCAATCACTGCAATGCCTTTGGCCTCAACAATATGCCTATTTTACAAAGAAGATAAAGTCATACATTACACAAATATCAAGAAAGCTAACAAAAAAGGGAGCTGGAGTATTTTTAAAGAAGAATCTTAAAGGTATTACATGTATACCACATTTGCTTTTGCTGTAATTTTCAGAAACGGATGGTTTTGGGGGTCAGTATATATAGCATATAATTATTGTTACACTGACCTGTTTAAAGTTTCGTGTTCATTCACGCTGGAAAACCAAGAAAACAAATACTGTTCTTGTAGTCTGGTTCTCTGACCCTACTTCAGATCATATGGAGCATAGACATCAGGGAACTGTCAGGTCAGGGAACCAGACTAGCTTGCTTGCATCCATTCACGGATGTGTAACCGACTGCGCCCAAAATGTGGACTTAAAGTTTGGTAATAAATTTGGGGCAGTATTTGAAAAAAAGTAAGTTTTGTTCTAATGATGGTCAGTCGACCATCGCTTGGAAATTGATACAAAAATTAAATTTTTCTTAAAAATGACAGCATACCAGGTGCCATGATTTCACAGGATGCTTGAGACTTTTATTCCCTTACAATTTTGAAACTGTTTTTTTTATAAAGAATATTTGTTGAGTGTACTCTCATACACAGTATTGAGAGTTCAAAATGTCCCGACTAGTATCTGTAGCTTCACAGCTTCACAAGTACCGGTACCTCCTTCTGTGCTGTTTGGTTACGAAATTCAATTGATAAGAGAAAGATTTATGTCGGCACCTGTCCTGTGGTGAGATACAGTGGGTTCCCATGGGGGACAGGATGATCCCGTTAAAGCGCTGGGCCAGCCGCAGGGTCCTGATCAGCCCCTTCCTTGCCAGCTTGCGGCCAGTGCACTTCTTGGGATCGCAGTGCTGTAGATCCCACATGGCCAGCGGGCAGGGGATCTTCCATGGATCCTCCTCTTCCTCCTCCATCTCCTGTGGGCGGGAGGGGCCTTGTGATGATTCTGAGGTATTAAGAGAAGTTTTACAGTCTTGTCAAGGATTCTAGAAGAGATTTCCCAGGCAAGCCTTTCTAAAAAAAAACCACCTATTTGCCTGTAAAACAAGTTTGGAATGCCTCAAAAAAAGCAAACCCTCAGTTGTTGATCTGTACATGTAATCATGGAAGAAAAATGACTTTTGAACAAAACTCAATTTACAATTCATTCCTTTGTTTTGGTATTTTAGCAAAGTTTGATAGACGTATGAAAACTCTAGCTGTTGATCAGGGACTGATCGTTTTAAGTTACGATGTTTAACCGTGAACCAGTCCCACATATTTTTCTGCTCTGGTGCCGACACTTCCTCTGCACATGTGCACCATAACAAGTACATGTATGCATTATTTAGGCCCCCTTTAAGATAATAACGTACTGTACCAGTCCAACCCGAGCAAACGTGTAGCCTGATGGATAAGGCATTGGACTGACAGCCCTGTGACCTGAGTTCGAGACACTGCCGATCACGCCATTTTCAATTAATAAAAAAAAATTCCCCACAGTAAGACTATTAGAACTTCCTTTATTATTTTAAATCAAATTCTACATTTAATTGCAGAATATTTCATCTCAATTGATTCGTGCCTCCAGAGGATTTTTTTAAAAGGGAAATAAAGTCTGAAATTGTTATAGTTCTGATTCTCGTCTTTTGAACATGTTGAATACAAAGTTACAACGACCATGTAAGCACGGAACCTGAGGAAGATTCGTCACAGTAAAAATGTCTAAGTCTCAAAATGATTCACTGCACATGCTCATCAGTGCAGTACTGGTATTACAGCGAAAGCAATTGGCAACCAGTTCACAGTAAAATATACACTACCTTTAGGTAATGCTTCCGTTGAAAGATCACACATTATTTTAACACGGATGTAATTTGTATGAGAATTTCGTTTTCAGATTGCCACACACAACCATGTTGTATGATTATAATGACCAAACATGCCAATTGAGTAAAACAATTTTAACAAATTACTATTACTTCAGAAACTGTGTGTTCATAAATCATGAATCTGTGAATAGATTGGGTTAATAATCTTGGCAATCTTGCAAGGCCAAAGATTTAGATACCCTGTTGACTATCCCTCGCATATCTTTCAAATTTGTGGACATGACGTTGGCTTTTGCCCCCTGAAGCACGACTCTTTCCTCCTTTCCCTCGGTTCCTTCCCATTTCTCCTGAAAAAGTGAAAGCGAAAAAGAAATTAAAAGTAAAACAAGAATTAAAACAACAAAACAAAAATAGAAAAAATAAAACAAATTCAATGAAATTTAATGTATACATTAACTAACACAACAGTTTTGTTTAGATTTCATTTCAAGAAGTGACTCCCCCCTTTTCCAACTTGACCACGCCCCTGCCTCGTGATATCGCATGATAATCGCTTATGTCATGATCGTCATATATTAAAATCTGCTTTCAGGGTAAACAAGTCCTATTCTGAGGTATGCTTGAATACGAAATTGAAGGAAACACAATTTCCTTTCAGATAATTTCACTTGAGCAATACTGTTAGCACTTACAATAGGATTTAAAGCGAAAAATGTGCACTGGCTGAACTCGAAATCATTCGTGTTATGGGCGCTGCCATGTTGGTTTCCGCTGCATTGTGGGAAATATTGACCGGATATCGCGCGAGAAACTGCGGGTGTTGAGCCAGAATCTCGTGACTTATCAATCAGCAAGGAGAAAGCAGACGACTGCGATGGCACCGCCTCCCCCTCCGGCCCCGCCACCTCCCCCACTGGGGGATTTGGATGAGTTTTTGTCAAATGGCTTTGATGGACAACCTCAAAATGAAGGGGTGAGAATTTAGGCTGTCGATCAGCGGCACCCGATCGGTCAAAATGAGTGAATTTGAGGAGTCTATCAATCAAGTTGCATGTAGAGTTTTGCACCTGTCTGCCAGCTGTGGCCTTTCACCATTGTTCACTCATCATGCTCATCGAGTCGTCACACTGATCTTGACATTGTCATCTGATTGAATACTGCATTGCAGTTGCATGAATTACCATACAATGATGTATTGTGTACATAAATTACACTTCTTAGTTCTAGAGGTTTCTAGAGTGCAGACGTTGAGGTGTTGCAATACATAAAAAGACAAATTGTGAAGTGACAAGAGCGCCCCTAAAATTCAATTTATGAATTCATGTCGGCCTAGCTTGGAAAACCTAGCTCTAAGGCTCAAAACATGAGAAATTTCCATGAGCCTTAGACCTGGGTTTTCCGAGCTAGAATTCATCAACCTAACGTTAAAGACCGGTCCATACTTTATCATTGTGAATGGGAAGTGAATATGATGTCACAAAACACTCTGTGAAATGTGTGCTACTTTTGTGAATTCTTAGTGTGAATACTTGATTACTTCATGTGTGTCATGATTTTGCGTTGGCTTTGCTTTCCCGCTTAGTATATGAACTTGCCAGGCTTAAAGCAAACTTATTGTGACCATGGATATATATATTTTTTTAAATTTTGAGCAGAATTTCTTTGTTGTATAAATACAACTTACAAGTTTAGGCAAAATAAAAAAAAAAACATGTTTAGCGTCCTGCCTCTTTGACAAAAAGGAAGGAGGAGGCCCTTTTTTTTTTTTTTTTTTCAAAATGGCCGCCCGACACATTTTTCAAGACAACGCGGCCGGGCTATTTTTCAAGATGGTTACCAGCTTTTTTCAAAATGGCCGCCACTTGGACTCATTGACTATTTCCACAGCTTTATACACAGTATAAAAGTCTAAAAATACGATTTCCTTCGTCAGAGATCGTTAAAATTTATCATTTTTTGTCTTTTAAAAAAAAAAAAAAAAAAAAAAAAAGGAGGCGGCCTCTAAAAAGGAAGCGGGCGGGGACGCTAAACATGTTGTTGTTTTTTTTACTTCGCCTTATAATGCACAAAAACCCCCAATGCAATACACATAGTCTTCTGCATTCATTCTGTATCCATAATTTTCTTCTGTTTTGGTGTCATCGTTCCCCCAATAGGCAGTAATAGTAGTCTACATTGTCCTAGACAATCCTGTTGCTTTCTTAATATCGCCAGCTATTTAATTGAGTCAGAAAATAGAAGTGGGATGTAGATCAGTGTTAGAACTTCAATAGAAGTTCTTAAAACATGTAACCTTTCTGTAATGTTCCCATCTAGTGTATGTACACAACAATGGCTGAAGTTTACAATTGTTTTTTTTCTTCACAGAAATTCCCTTTAAGTTTAACGGGGATTGTTGACATCAGGTTGTCTCTAAACATGCCTAGGAATGTGACCTTAAGATCCCTGGTAATGTGGATATCCAGTTTGCAATCTTGACAGGATATGCTGTTACCAGGCTGAGGCTGCGGGCAATTAATTTATGACTCAGCTATGTTTGAAGAAACAGAAAGAAAAAGAAAATTGTAACGTCTTGGGGGATTAGTTTGTAAAACAAGTCTAGTAGTAGTGTCGGAACGTAGCACACTAGCAGTTCTAGGGTGGTTTGCAATATGGAGACTCCTGTCTGGGTCTTTCAACTCCTGGACAAAGTTTGCTAGGATTTGTTTCTAGTTCTCAAGGATCAGGCTGTATGTTTCAGAGATCAAACAGGGTGAGATTGTAGAATTGTGCACCTGCACGGTCTCATTTAGGATGGCTCGTTACATGGACATTGACACGGACGATTTCTTGGTGAGTTGTTTGTAAAGTTTGGCACAAGGTGTTTTTTGTGTAACCTGTAGAGACCTTGATCTTTCACCCACTGCAGATACCAGAACTAGATGTCAAAGGTACTCGTACATGTGAAGTTTTGGAAATTGCATGTTTAGTGTGCAAGTTATGAATTTGAAATTGCTGTACCAGCTGTTTGGTTATATTTTTTATGTGCGATATACATTTTCATATCAAGATATACATTTAGGACAGTAGTCAGTGGTACACGTACCTCCTACATGTACTTGTAGGTGTCTTGTACGTGCTGTTTGAAGGTCCTGTTTGTGTTTTTTAGATTTGAGTAATATCAATATTATGATTTTAGATGTGATGTTCAAAGAAACTTGGTTGGAGGTTTGTCTATGTGGTGAAAGAAATGCTGATGTACATGTTTGTATATGCACCAACATTGTAGTACTAGCCAAGTTGATGGTGGAGAAAAAAATTCATCAAAATGGAAAAATGAATTTTTTGATTCCCCCCCCCCCCAATGCAAATTATATTTGGAAAAATGTTGCAACCTTGTGTACAAAGTCTATAGAGAGTCAAGAATTTTTTTTTCTTAACCAAATTGGAAATGTTTCTCAGTCCCAGATTCATGTCTTATCATCATTTTTGCAATGAAGAACAAAGTGTCGTCAGGTTGCAACATTTTTTCCTTATATTTTATTCGACTGACAAAGGGAGGTCCAACAAATACCAAATGAAATCTTATATCACATGTGGGCTTTCCACAATATGGATACTTCATTTTTGTAAAATATTTTATCTTGTGAGGGTAATCGTTTAGCAGAGTGGGTCACTGAAGTTCATATATCATGTTCACATTTAACGACTTGTATCACTGTAATCTTCATACATACATGTACTACACACTACCATGCCTACCAGCATGCTTCACTGCAAATTGCTGGGAATTGTGGCATCCTCATAAATGAGTTCTTTCCCATCGGATATAAGTATGATGGAAATGTAATCTACTCAATTCGGTCAGTCAAGTTGATTAGGAAACTGTTCTTATTGGATTAAATCTTGCTCCCTACATGCATTTAGAGGTCAGTATGTACATGTATGTATGCGTACAATATACTTGTACAGGTACATGTAATTAAGACAAAATGATGGCATAATGTGGTGCATAAGATCAGGCATGCAACTGGGAAATTACAAAAAAAAAAGAGGAAATTCAAATTTTTCCCAAACTTTGTACAGTGTTTTTCTATTTTCTTTGGCACACATGGGAAGTAAAAAAAAAAGGAAATCAGCTGATCCGAGGAAAAGTTGCATGCCTGTAAGATTCGTATATTAATTCACACATGTATGTTCTTAACATTATTCACAGCACACAATGTACAACAGCAAGTGCTATTGCTTTAATACAATGTAGCTGTACAGGTATACATTTTCATTGTCTGAATGTATTTGGATAACAAACAAATTGGATTAACACACACATTTACATTTACATGTATATAGTTTATGCAATCAGCAAGATTCGGATTTCACTGTGTTATATTTTGCTAGAGAAATCAATGTACACTTGTACAATATGAACGTGCTATCAGGCCAAGTAAAAAAAACCCCAGTATTTGCTGGTCCAGCCTTTTTGACAAAATGAAAGAGGCAGGTGCATTTTTTCCCCAGGCTGCCAGGATGGCGGATGGATTCTTCAATTTTCTCATTTATTTTGCTGATACAAAATTGTGTTCAAGAAGCCGTAACCCTTTATACATAGTTACAATTTTTTGAAATTATATATGTGCAAAATATATTGGAAATGTGTGAATTAAAAAAGAAAAAAGAAAATGAAAAGGAGGCGGCCGGGAAAAAAAAGAATGAGGAACTAGTATTTTTTTTTTTGCTTGGCCTGATACGAAGTTCTTTTTTAATTTCACGTACCTGTATGTGATGTATTTGGAATGCAATAACTGTCATGTGAGGCCTTGTGGCATTTTCATTCACATTCATACAGGTTATGAGGGATTGTAATCATGATATAGTGTGTTTCAACTTGAAACTGTACGCTTAATAGATTAAAATGATTGTCAAATGCACATTGACTGTACTAAAAGAATGTCAAACTTGGTCTTGAGTATGGAGATGAAGTTTGTTTTGCAGTCTGTGACTGTATAGGCCTATGTTTCCTTTGTAATCGAATGATATACAAGGACATTCACAATTTGTGTGAAATATATTGATATCAATTTTTTTGTTGCAGGCTGTCGCCCTCCCGTCTTTCGGTGCAGGTGACACCAATGGCCCCATGGACACAGCGCCCCCGGCACCCCCAGAGAAGGAGCCCCAGGTATGGGAGAAACCCTTGAGCATCCATGACATCCGAAAGAGCAGCAACAACTGGTCACTGGCCTCAGATGCTGGGGTGAGTTCAGTTTCATCTTAAGTCTGGGGTGTTTTTAGACGGCCATAAGCAAAAAGTGGTTCTGTTGTTGTTTCCCTTTGGTTAATTGTCTTGGGGATTTGAGTATTGCATTTTCGTGGGAAATTCTTGCCCATTCAATATTCCCAAAGAAATTCACCAACAAGAAACAAGCGAACCAATTCTTGGTTGTTTATCTGCCAGGATGGAGTTTGGCGACCGTATTCGCCAGTTACATGATGAAAATTTTGTGTCATTTCCCGATGCAAAAACTTCATCATGATTGGTTACAGTACCCGCTGCTATATCTGATTCAAACCAGACATTCTACCCAGCAAGCTTGGTTGTCAAGTGATAAGACATCTGCACTTCAAGCAGGAAGTCATGGGTTCGAGTCCCACCCGAGTAAGCTTGTACATTTTTCCAACGAGCCCTTGGACAACACTGAGCATACAGTGTTTATGATTTAACATCAGTGAAGGGCAAAACCAGATAATGGACTTACATGTATATTGAAAGTCATTAAACTAGAGAATGATATGCTACCCATGTGGTGTCCCCAAACTCTTCCTTTGTAACTGGTAAGGGGGCTACTTGTTAGCCAGAGGGGGTTACTTGTAGCCAGAGGGGGCTACTTGTAGCCAGAGGGGGTTACTTGTGCACGGAACCCATACATCCGCACAAGACGGTGTCCATAGTCCAGAGAGTGAAACCACTTGGTCTTGATCAAGATACCATACATGTACTTCCTCCAGTTCCTGGCACCACCATGGTACATTTGCCCTCCCGTTCCTCCACCTCCCGTTTCCCCCACCACCTTCCGCAACTCCTCACCACGTCTAAGGTGATCAGTTCTCCAAATGTCGTATGAATACAGACTGCCCTTTTTTTTAAAGGTTTTTTTTATTCTGGAACTGGAAGGTAATAGTTTCAATCATCGTGACGGATGGTACTCGCCCACTCGTTCCTTCTCGGTTCCTTCCCTGTCTTGTATCTTTTCCTTTTTGGCCAGAAGAAGTTGCCCAACCACCCACCAGTTAAAAGGTTATCAGATATAACGCGATTGATATTTGCACGAATACTCCGCAGGCAAACAGCCTCAAGATTGTAATACAAAGTAGGGGAAACGCATCAATTACCGGAACCTGTAGTCTGCGTATAATGTGCATGATTGTCAGTATTGTCACCATTTTCTCTTGTAAACTTGAATTAATTCAGACTTATAGTTCCTTAGGGGTAAATGGCAAATCCGCACTGTTCCCACTCATAGACTGCCGGACGTGATTAAATAAGCCTTTGACGCCAGTTCGTAATTCCAGTTTGGCAAGTTTTAAGTGAACTTGACGTCACGAATCAGTCGCGGCAAAACCACATTAGTTGGAGTTGAAGTATGTTGAGCGTTATCCTGAACCCCATTGAATGCAACAGAATATTTATGTGTTGGGTTTGCTTGATCTTGGCAATGAACAAAAGATATTTGGGCTCTAGCTGTTGGATTCTGCAGGCTTAATTCAAACAACAAAAACATTGGATGTTGTTGGGTTCAGCAAGGTTTGGGTTAATAATCTTCAACAAGAGTAGGCAAGAAGGAAAGCTTATGTACATGCATGGTAGCTTTAGCTAATTTTCAATGAAACTTATCCGTTGGAAATGTGCCAGTTAAATTACCGTAGTCCAGACTGTTTGAGTATCCGTTGGTTACAGCAAACAATCAGATGTGCGACGCTCATTTTCCAATTCGAAAATCTCTTGCACGAGTATGTATGTGAGGCACGTGAATACGTTTCCGTGTTTTATTTAAATCAAATTTACCGACTTCCATACCGTGGGATTATCTCAATTAACTGGTTCCCTTTGAAACTGGAACCAAAATGTCTGGGCATGTCAGAATAGCTAAAAATGTTCATTGTTGGCACCGATTCAAGACCCTGTACGTACATGCTGTAAGGATTTGCAGCCTACACGTATTCATGTTTTAAGGTGTACTGTGCGTGAAATGAAAATGTCACACAGACATCAGGTGCCTGCCTAATCTTCATCAGTTAAGGCCAGTTTATACTTCATGTGAATGTGAATTCAATGTGAATTTGACGTCAGGAAGCATTCGCTGCGAAATTCGCCGGAGTTGAAATGTGTTTCAACTTTTGCGAATTCGCAACGCGCAAACTCGCCCTGACGTCATAAATTTGCGTTCGTGTTCACTTTCAGTATTGCTGAGAGAAAATTGTCTTTCAGTTATAAGCGCAAAAGTATTAGTAGGCAATAAAAGGGACATGAACGTATTTAAGACGTACCACAAATGGCTCTACCTTCAAACACGTGAGTCTCCCTCTCCCGCCCAAAAGTTTGTCTGATGCAGTACTTTTTTGAAGATTAATTTTTTTTTTATACACAAAACATTTGGTTGCCTTTTATGTTGTTAGAGGCATGCTAAAGCCCTAGCTAGCTTATATGGACAAAAATCAACTAAACTTACAATGTACCGGTAAGTGACCAGGCTAATAGAAATTTCACAAATTTTGTGTTGTCTTGTAAGGCCGTGTTAACCCTATGTATACATATATTAAATGAGCATTCACATATATAGCTACTGAATTGTATTAGCGTTGATCCGTGTAAGAGTTTCATAACAAGGTTTTGTTCTTTCTGGAGTATTTTTCCAAGACCCAACTCTACACCTTTACAAGTTGTATGGACTGTACATGAAGTTGCATTTTTCTGAGCACACTGAGACAATGTCAAAGTGCCAATAAAAATGTATGTCTGATGTGAGGTTTTAACTACACGAATATCTTAGATGCATGTACAATTTTCTTTCTGCAGCTGTTGCTATATTTGCAAGAGTTCTCCCACAAGATGCTGACCAAGACCAGCGAGTTGGAGAAGAAGGTGGATGGTCTGGTGCACGAGACCAAGTGCACGGACTCCCGCGTGCACAATGTCTTCAATGACTTCCTCATGCTGGCCAATACGCAGTTCATTGAAAACGTAAGTTTTATAGAGACTGTGGGGGCATATAATGTAAGTGCGCCCTCAGTGGTAGAAATACACATCTTGACTGGTTACTGAAGGACAGTTGAGTGTCATTTTCATGGTATGCAAGCTGTACCGGTAGTTCATTTTTTTCTGGTACAGGCATTGCACGGCCCAATTTCTTGGCTCTGCTAACCATATAATTCCGCGCTTGCGATCACTATTTTGTGCTAACGGCGCTAACATAACAGTTCTGTGTTAACCCTGTAACAGTGTAAGCACATATTCCTTAGTTATGGGATGTACGCATATAGCCAAAATTCTTCGCTAGCCTGTGAAATTCGCTTACCGTAAGCATGGATTTTTCTGCTATAGTAAGCATGGATTTCTCTGCTACAGTAAGCAGGGATTTTCGCCATGAAAGTGGGTCCTGGTCTATGCATCATGCAGTTTAATGCTGTATGTTCTGAATTGTGCACGTATGCATTTGTCCAATGCATTCTTACGTGGCTCTCGAGAGTAGGCCACACAATGTGTCTGAACACTGCATCCAAAATAGCGCACTCAGTCAGAGAACAGCTAGCGCATCATTGTCTTTGTGACCCCTGACATAGGTCAATTTAATTTGCACTAATATGCACGGCATTCAACATACATGATGTACAATTTCAGAGGATTTGAGGGCGTTGTCTGCTTATGAGGTCAGGCCCCCTATCTATATGTGTACTTCCTGTGTGGATTATAACACTGCAGAGCTGTTTGATCGGTCAGTGTTTAAGGGTACCCTTTTATTATATTTGGTTGTCATTGCCAACCAACCCTCTTTTGGGCTCCGGACCTAAGAAAACAAAAAACGGTTTTTGCTGCTGTCAACCCTGTCTTGAACCCCATTAACCAAAAACTTAACAAATGAAAAAAAAAATAACAATAAAATTCAGGCCATCAGGCTTTGTGTTGTTTGCAAAGCTATTGAAAATGAATACCAGATTTTTACACAAAGTGTGGGGTATAGCAACCAATGGAATCCCAGAAGATGAGAGGATAGTGCCTATCATCATATTAGGTGTCTATACCTTTATTGTTATTTCAGCGATATCAATTGAAGATTATAAACTCATTGCAATAAACTAAATTAGAGACAATACACACTTGGCATACCGTAATTTGATTTAGCTCTCTATATGGGTAACATTGCAGGGTTTTTTTCTTCAGATTTTAATTTTTTTTGTGACCGACTGACCTTAGTTCAGAAATAAAAAGGGGTGCCCTAACGGACTGTTCCAAATTTAGCCATAAGCTCCACCCTCCATTTATTTGTGTACATCTCTCACAGTGCTTGTGACTGAGTTTAACTGAGCTACTGTTGTCACCTGATCAAAAGTGGTGATCTGATTGGTCAATGTGCACTGTTTGATTGACAGGCATGAATGGTCTATTGGTTCATGCCCGTTTACCTTTCATAATAGGAATTGTGGATGATTCGTTATACTACATTGTTAGTCGGTTCTCAGATTCCATTTGTCATTCATTTTACATTAGAACATTAACCCTTACCCTACTAGACCCTCCAACGCATGCCAATATGTGCCTCAAGAAAATCTCCTATGTTTTTTGCATGGCCCTCCAATATCTGCCATGTCATTTCAAGGGTAACTGGACAGGCACTCCAATACATGCAACAGAGAACAATGAGAGTCCTCTGATAACAAAGTGAGTGCCCCCAGCTGGTCAGTATCAGGCACCCTCCAGGGCCTCCAACTCCTGCCAATTGGAGCCTTCACTGCTAAGACTTGTTATCTGCCAAATAACTGCAGCTGGAGGGCATTGGCATAACCAACTGACATGCAGTAAACTACCCTCAGAGAGTAAGGGTTAAAGGCCCCCAGGGAAGCAGCATTCATGCTCGATTGCCATAATCTGTTCCGTTCCGAACCGGTTGTAGCAAGACTAAATTTACCATGGCAAGTTCAGACATTGATGCGTACTTCCCATAGGAAGGAACCTGACAAAAGTTTGCCGTGTCAGTTGATTATTCGGAGAAGTTGGAAACATTCCAACCTGATTGCAGATTTCATGTTGTAGTAACACATTGAAAATGGCAGCCTACATGTAACTACAAGCTTTCTCGATGAGCTCCGTGCGTGACCAAGAGAGGATGCATTTTGCCTAGCAATGGTGCATTCCTTGGTGGGACATGCACTTCGCTGGTTCACGCACATGCTCCTTCTTATTTATTAATTGTACGTAATACCAGGCAATGCGTGTAGACTGTTCCCGATCCTTTCATGTGGCACTGACTACGAATAATTATGGAGTCGGAAACCCGTCTTTATGGGTGGGATACACGCTCACACAGTGTGTGGATCGCGGTACCGTCGCAGTTTCACAAGCAAGATGGCACCCGATTGAAACCGATTTAACAGCTCCCCACCAGCCTCTCTCTTTCCAACCGGTGAGGGGGTACTTCTGCACAATGCGGATAATGGAGACACTATTGAAAAAGTTTTGTGCTTTTTGCCAACATTTTGTTTTGACAAGTTGCAGATTTACAGGTTTCCCGCAGATTCAAATAGAGCAGTTTGAATTAATTGATCACTCAAAGATGACAACCATCCATGCCCCCTTTCCAATATTGGTACGGAGTACAGTGTACTATTCACTGGTCCCAGAGGGTCAGGCTGGTGCCTTCTTCGCACCTATCATGCTGACTGACTCGCTCACTGACTGACTCACTGACTGGCGCTTTTGAGCTGGGCAGTGCTGTCGTATAGGATACCCTGTATAGTTTGGCAGATGACATTTGGTACACAGTCCGAGTATGTCATGAGAAAATTATTTGGCTATAGGGCCATCGCAGATTTGTCCTTCGAAAAAAATACAGGTCTAACAAGCAATGTCAGCCATTCGAAACATTTTGAAAATTGCTTGTAAATGTTATTCTACCTGTATTTTCAAAGGACAAGTCTGCGATGGCCCTATAACCAAATATCTTTCTTAAGACATACTCTGACTGTGTGCAGAATGCCATGCTTGTATCATCGAAGGCACAATTCCCCCAAATATTTTCCCTAACTGCCCTACTTGTGACGCCATTGAATGGGCTAAATTGAGCTCATTGTGTAGACGAGAGGCATGAAAAGACTTCCAGTAAATAGCCATTTGAAATCAGTTGAATAGAAATGTGTGCACTCTGAGATCCATCTTTACAAGGCTTGCCTTGTCTTGTTCTCAAATTGATATCTTGACAAATTGATGTACGTAGTTTACAAATTGCTTTATTGGTGGCCTTCACACTATTCTCCCTCAACGGGTTCTCAATACATACCCTACATGTACTTCCCAGTTACGTCATCACTCTTCTGTCCTTGACACTTTGCCAGTAACATTGAACTACTGTCGATAAGATTTGAAGGTTGCATGGGGATGTCAGCAATAAATCAATATTTGCGTTGACAACAATATGACAATAAATCTTTTGGTTATAAGAAAAACCAGTTTAAGACATTTGGGGTGTCAGTCAAATCACATTTGGCTGCGGACGGTACGTTAGTAGCCCATCTTGATCCCTCAGGAACAGTCAAGGAGCCTCTGAGTCCTGAACGGACACGAGGCAAACTTGAGCTCTCCCAAGATAAGAAGGCGACCCGTTCCTGTTGAACTTTGGTCGGGGTTCCTTCCTGGTCATTCACAGTTCACTGCTGGTGCCTTATTTCAGGATTCCTTGTGTGTGCTTGAGAGAGTTACGTACATCAAGGTCTCTTGTCATGCATGTATATAAAATAGTTCAGCTTGTTGTCTTACTCTTTGGCAATTTCAAAGCAATCAGACGCCAGTTCCACTTGGTATATTCGCAAGACTTCTACACAAATTTATATGGACGAAGGGTCGAAAGGAATTCAGATCTCTCTCAATCTACTTTTTGGAATATTTTCAGTCTTACTCTTCTAAAAGTTATTGGGGTTTGCCATTGTTTCAGTATTCATACATGGTAATAGTGGATGTACAGGGAAAAAGAATGCTTTAAAAATGAAAGAGATGATTTTTCACCATCAAATTTTCGTTCTACATAAAGTGCAAGATACATGTGTGAATTTTTGAAATGACCACTCAAGTCCATTGCCATTAGAACACGGAAAAGGCCAAAAAATAAAACAATAAAAAAAAATTTCAGGGCCCATCGCAATTCAGGATGAAGAATATTTCACTTTGTCCGGAAGAAATTCTGCATTAACTTTTCATTAGGAACTGCTTGATAACACCAATACTGAAAACTTCACTGCAGAAATATTGCGGGGAATTTTTTCGCAAACCTGTAAATTATACTGAACACATTGTCCACAACTTGACTGGCATTTAACCAGAATTTTAGTTTACTAAATCTTTCCTAAAAAAAGGAAATGGATTTTAGACCAACTTTTTTTCTGGCCCAACAAAATGGCACAAACTTATAGTACAAATTAAAACTGATGAATGGGTGTTCTACATGTACATGTACCGGTATGGCACACTTGTAACACTTCACTTTGCCCCAAGGGTGGTGGATAGTCTGGGCATCAGGATTAACTCTGAACCGGGACAAATTTGACAGTCTTTCCATCTCTCCTCATTTCCCCCCTCTGTTTATTACTCCTAATACCCCACTGATGCAGCATCCTTCCTTGCTAAAACTCCTCTCACACCCCCCCCCCCCCCCCCCCCTCCCCTCCTATCTCCAGATCTCTCATCCATTGATGAAACTTCCCTCCAGACAACTGTCCAACCCGGGGCTTGGATTTTAAACGTGCTGATCTTTTCTTTCCTTCCCTTTTTTGTTGTTGTCTTTGTTACTTAAGCTGGAAGTTTTCATTGTCACGCAAGACCGCAGTAAATGAATTCTTTCCTGGTTGTCGGTTATCATTTGTTGCTGGGCGTGTGGTACATAATGTGCATGTGGGGATTTTCTCAGCAGAACATTATGAATGGGTGTGTGGGGATGTTCGGCATTGTTCAGTGACTAATTTCATGACAATCAATCAAATTGAGTTACAAGGATTGATTAGTGCGGTTGACTTGATTTGAGTCGACAGTTTGTATAAAATACTGTAATAAGGGGTTAAATGTGACCCGCTCTGCAAAAATGAGTCTGATGTCGCATAGCTTGAATTCCAGCTTTTACCCCTTTTTTTGGATTTTTTGTTTTTGTTTTATTTTGGTTGTTTGATAGTTTTAGTTCAGATATCTTACACAGAAATTTAAATATTGTAAGAAAAAGACTAACAAATTTATGAGTTTTGGTGCTTTTCTTGGTTAGTTACAGTGTATTTGTAATTTTTAAACCCTTTTTTCTTCATTGAGACATTTCTTGCTTTGCAAAAACTTGACAGAATTAAAAAAGGCACAACAGTGCAACCAAATGGCCTAGAGAGGCCCATGATATACCAAAGGAAAGCTTATTTCATTGCCATTTTATTAATGTAGTTAACTCAAAATTTCGGTTTTGCCACAACAGACTCATTTTTGTGGAGCGGGTCACAAATATGGTGTTGTGTTTGAGAATTTTATGTCAGCAAGAAAAGAAAAAGAAGTGAATGCTTTTGGTAGAGCTAAAGGACATTTTAGGCAGGCCTTAGTAACTGGTGTGCACCATATTGGAAAGCAAAGATGAATCCTGCTCTCAGTGTTTACCACTAACCAAATGAGAAGGCTTTAGCTATGGCTTTCAGAGAGCCTTTTTTCGTCGAGGGTGCTATGCGCGCAGAGGGTCCTATGCGCTCCAATGGGATGTAAAACAGCATATCCCACATCACAGCAGTCAACAATTGTTTTGTTATATCGTGCCAATAACTCAAAACAATATTGGATGTAATTTACTGTGTGAGAAATAAATGAAACCACTGCGATGTAATCTTTGATAACTGAAGGTTTTGATGTCCTGCCAGACATGAGACTGAGCGTTTGCATTGCAGTTCTCATTGCGTAAAGCTAGCGCCGGCAGGTTCCACATGCCACGCAATGCGCGTAATGAACGCAGTGCGATATCATCCTCAGTGTGTGACATGCATTTGTATTGTCCAGACACATGGCCATCCTAGACCAATGAAATTACAGTATCCAAGCACACGCTATGGGCCTTATGCATGAGTCGGCCATATTGAATTTGTGTGAGGTAAAATCTTAATGTTTGGTACTTGCAAAGAGAAATGAAAGCAAGTTAATAACTAAATTCCAGTCTGCTTCAATGAATTATTTAAAATTTGTAATTAAACATTCCCTAATGTTAAAAGCCAGTTTTAAAAAAAAATGACAGTAAAATAAGGCTGCATTATGCCTGCATAAATAGTCTGGCGCCATCCCATTCAACAGTTAACAATTAATGATGTACATTCAAGGAACTCGACAAAAATGGCCAACTCGTTGCATAAGGCCCATAACAAACTTGGTTATGCACTGCTCTGTAAAGCAATAAGGCGGTTGAAAGAAGCATTTGTTTTCTTTTTTATCTTTGTAATAGCGAGTGTATGATGATTCAGAGGAGACAGACCAGAAACCAGATGCGGCAAGCAAGAAAGAAGACCAGGTACCAGGCTTTGGCTCAATACTCAAAATGCTAATTATAACGGTTTGACCAATGTATTGGTTTGCTGTTGACAATTAGCTCTTTCCATGAAATTACTATATTGCAAACAAATACTCTTTTAAATCATGCCCATGATAACTGTAATTTACTTAAACCCATGTCAGATTGGCATTCTACATGTTCTGGAGTTGAGCCGGACTAATATTCTGAAAATTTGAATTGAGTTGGTCGTTTCAAACAGTAAGGAGCAACCACATGCAAAAGATCAACTGATGTTGAAAATAAGCATCTAGATTTTCCTGTCTGAAACCAAATTCTGGGTTGACTGTACATATCCAAGTACATTCTGGTTAGCATGGTTAGGTGCAACATCTGAATGCTAGTCCGAATAGGTGTATCTACAATTATGAAGTTTGCCTGTGTAGTACCCATTGTAGGGCCCATTTGCTCAAAATCTCTCTTGACCATCACTTTTTTTTCACCAATTAGACCAAGACCAGAGAGCAGCGTGAGGCCGAGGTCATCCCTAGGGTCATCAAGGCCCTTAACCTGGGCATCGATGTCCTGGACTCAGCCTTTGAGCAGCTGGATGCTAACGTAGCGAACTCCGACTCGGAAGAGGAAGATGCTACCTACAGAGCCGTTGTCGAGCCCATTCTGGAACCAAAGGTGAGTAGGGCCGGTTCTTTTTTTACCCCACTAAAGCAATTCTGAAAGTTTGCTTTTTTGTGGCCCATTTTAATGGCTCAGCTTGCTGTATAAAGTTAAGTATAGCCAAATATGGCAGAAATTTGTGGATTAGCAAAGCATTTTGCCTTGTGCACACGTGTGAATCCCGTAACTCTAGAATTTCTTTAAGCGCAGAATGGTTATTGTAAGTGCAGAATTCTTTGGTTAGCAGAGTTATAAAAAATGGGCTGAGACCCCTAAGACACTTCAACATTTGCCGAAAGCAAATGCTCCCCATTGACTTGCATGGACATTCAATATATTTTGAACAGGGTGAACTGCTACACACTCTAAGAAGTAACAAGTTAACAATATCAATCCTCTGAAAAGCAGTTGAGGTGACTTGTGCTTTCACTCAGGATAGGGTCCTTATGAGTTGATTCTGATCAGCTTTTGCAACCTCTATTGCACTCCGTGTGGAGTGTACTGGGTAGGCATTACATTCACTGTGTGGACTTCCGAACAAAAGAGGTCCACATAAACCAGGTAGAGGCGACGTTGTGTGGACTTGGGCAAGTCCACACAGTGTTTCCCCATTTCTGGAAAACAGGTTTAGAGGCATTTTTGGGTTAGGTTTATCTGTGGCAAAATGAAGAGAAACACTAATGGGGATCATAGAAAAAAAATTGAGTCAAAAGAGTTTTCACAGTTTGAGAAAAATGATCTTTTTCACTGGTTTTTCTTAACTACACGAAACCAAGGGAATGTCCACACTTGGTATGTTACGTAAGCATGCGTGTCTTGTCCAGCTTACTTGCAAAAAAGTTATACACAATGAGTGAGGGCTGAAAGAAGTGGAAATTTTCTCATATTGATGATGCATTACATTGATGAATTACTTGTGTTCACATTCGTCACTCAGTTTTCAAATAACCTTGATGTGTCAAAAGAGAAAACTTAAGAAAGGCTAGCTCATGCTTGATTTTACATGTAACTTGTGATTTCCTGGTGACCAGTAAGAGGGCAGTGTAATGATGCTTAAGTGTCTTCAAAGCTGGCAGTCTTTCTGAGTTCACTGTTGAGCGGATTGGCGTCCGTATATACCACATCATGCCTTTTACTTTTAACTGACATCTAAGTACAGGGGTATATGTGCAAGCATTATAACAGCAGATACTCTAATTTCAAAAAGGAAATGTTCAAGCAAGCCCGCCTTATTCCCAGATTAGTGAAAGTCCGCTCCAGTAATCCATCAAAGAAACTCTGGTAGTCAGTAAGCCCTTCCCGTTGATCTGCAGAGGCGAAAACCAAAATCCTTAATCCTGAAAAGGAGATGGGAGAAGACCCATCTGTCTGGCTAGATTTGGGGTTGACCCCTAAGAACTCGAAGGTCGCTTGAGGCTATTTCCGCTATGTTTTTCCTGTTATGGTGGGCGTTGGACCTTCGGGAAGTTTACTTTTACGCTGTCTAGGGTGCCTCAGGGTAACACTGACTAGGTTGACCTGAAATCTGGACGGGGCGAGGCAGGATGGATGATAAACCAGAACGCATACATTTAGGTCAACAAAAAATAATTGAATTTCAAATGTACCACACAGGGAAACTGACTAGGTGCATTATAATAACTTAAAAGACTTTTACAAAATGGGGAACTGCTGATATAGGGCTGGATAGTTGAGTTGGTAGAGCACTGGAACAGCAATCCGGAGGTCGCAGGTTCAAAACGCGCTCCAGTCAATTTTCTTGGTAAACTTTAAAATTAGCAAATAAATGAGAGTAAAAGGTAATGCATCAAGAAAGTATTAAGTGTAACTCTTGTGTATGGCCGTTTTGCCAGGAAATTTTCCTGAATACTCCAAAACCAACCATTGTGCTGCAACAAAATAATGCATTCTGTGTACTTCAACTTTCAAAGGGTAACAAGTCCCATGTAAAGTAATAATGGTTTGGCTCTTCCTTTCCGGTTCCTACAAATTCAAGCAAGCAAATCCAGTATGCGCATCAAAAGTGGAAAAAAAGGCCATAACGAGACAATAAACACACAGTCATACAAATGTATGAGCGAGGACCGTTCTCAACAAAAGATCTCTCTCCAAGGACAAGAATGAATCTGTTGTTCTCTGTTTGTCTGGCTGTCCTCAGACTGTACAGAACATGCGTGTACCGGTACGTGTACTTGTTTGCCGAAGGAACAAGCACGCACATGCATCAAAATCAAGACAAAATGCCTTGTGTGAAAAAGTTGTGGTGAATCTGTTTTGTTTATAAGATGATCCACATCCCCTTCCCTGTTGCTAAGGGAAGGCAAATAAAACACGGTTTATTTATAGTTTGGGATTAAGACAGAAGTCCAAGATTGTTACAGAAGAACCACACGGGGTATTCCCTAATGCCATTTGTGTCTCCAGGAAGTAGGGCTTGCTTCGTCCGTCAACACCCGGGCCAGTTGGCCGTCTTGTCGCATCCTCTGTAATCCGCTCGGAAGCCCGGCCAAGTTAATACCACCTGTTACAGCATACACATATTTATTCTTGTTTTCTCCTTTCTCGTTGGCAGGACTTGTACGCTCATCGCGCCTTGCCATACCTCATTGGCAGCCCGGCCTTCATGCAAGATGATAACGTCGGAGTGGCCGATATCACGGAGGAAGGTAAGTTCATGGTTTTGGTTTTTATTTGAAGAACACTTTAAGATTATTGTGCATGAATTTTAAAAGTCCTTCGGCAAACAAAGACTGTGGGGGATCGTGCAGTTGCACAAGCCCCTCCTAGCTTATGGAACCAGCTTCCGCCTGAAATTCAGTCTGTTCAGTCTCTAACAGTTTTTAAGACGAAGCTTAAAACTTTTCTTTTTACAAAGGCATTCGTATAAGGTTTTACTATTACCTTTTTTAAATGTAGGTCTTGTTTTTGTAATTTTAAGTTTCAGTGTTTTGACAGTGTTTTCTAAAATATATAGTGTTTTTTACATTTAAGACTAATGTTTAATTTGAATTCGTACTTTTAATATTTTAGCTACTGTTCAGATTTTCTAATGCGCATTAGAACATTTTATTGTATATGCACATAATAAATGCAATTTTATTATTATTATTATTATTATTAAATTACAGTAGGACAATGCTAATGCGAGCACCAGGGCCCAATTTCATAGCACTGCTTAACAGTAAGCAGAAAAGTTGTGCTTACTATAGCAGAAAATCATGCTGCTGCTTAAGCACTATTTCATGCTGACGGTTGCGCGCGCATGGAGATTTCTATTGTTACGTCACTGATTTAAGCAAAGGTTTCTTCTGGGGTTAAGCGTGCTTTTGCTGTGCTTACTGCTTAACGGTCCCTATGAAATAGATGGAGGCACGGTAAACACAAAGTCGGCTGTTAAGCAGCGCTATGAAATTGGGCCCAGGGCTCTACAAAAGCTTCAGGATAGTGGGCATTCGTGTTATCGACTTTCAGCCGCTGGCTTGACACTTTAAATTTCTAAGATTGTGGCAGACTTGTTGTATACATGTACATGCACTTTCGCGTTTTTCAGTGCCAAAGTAATGAGAGTGTGTCTCTCATCAAACCAATAGAGGGCTTTCGTTAACTGACGAAGCAATATTCAGGCCATGGAAATGTATTGCCATGTAAAAAGTGGCCGACACACGCAGTCCACACAGCACTGCATTAATGTACATGGACCTGCTGAACCATTCAAACTCTCCACTGGCAGCCATTTGAAAAATCATGCTGTTCTATTGTTAAAAAATACCAGCGTTCAAACCGAAGATACAGGGAATTCTTTTGTTCATCTACATTTGATGGTATGACATTTTTCTCTGCAGAAATGAGTGAGGAAGGATCCGTGAGTGGTTCAGAGAAGACAACAACAGAGTCTGAATCAGAGGTAAGCAACTGGTTAACTTGGACATTCAGAAAGCTGGAACTTGAAAACCGAAGTGTCTTATCAAGGTTTATTTGTCCTTACCTTCACTTTGAGTTTCTTATGCCCATGGATGTTGATTTCTGTCTGATCAGGCTGTGTTACTGCGGGGCTATTTGGGCAGTTGTTACTGACATGTGATGTGAACCACTACAGAATTGCACCTCAGTTTGACTATTTTTTAACTCAAGCTCCAAGTATAGACTTTAGTTCAGGATTTGCCATCAAACTCACCAGAAATGACTTCATTGTGAAAACCTTTTTCAAAGTTGATTAAAAACCTGCTTTTTCTGCACCCGTCTCAGACAGGCAATCCAAATATCTAAAGTGAAGTATGACATTGGAAACTAGATGGGAGTAACCATGTGCACAAGACCTCAAAAGATCACTCATTTGCATGAGTAATCGATTGCATAGAAAACATGGACTAACTAAATATGATCAATTGGGAGCAGTATTTGAAAAAAGCCAGGTTTTTTTTTCAATGCTGGTCGGCCGACCAGTGTTGGAAATTGATACAAAAATACCACTTTTCTTGAAAATGTTAACACACCTGGTGCCATGATTTACAGGATGCTTTAGACTGTCATTCACCAACAGTCCAGTAAGGTACTTCGTGATAATTGGGTAGATTTGTTTCTTTTATGTTTGCAAACTGTTGTATATTCCCTTCAAACATCACCCCAAGATACATGCAATGTTAGACACAACAAATTGTTGACCATCAAGGTGTGGTTGCCTCAGGGTCCCTGTCTGCCCCCTACCCTTCCCCTTGTCTCTACCTGAGCTCAATCAGCACAAATTGTGTTTGTATGTACGTTAGACTATATTGTCTGCAAGAACAGACACTGTTGCTTCCTGTATAGACAAGGCCTTGTACGTACACAACTTATATGTCCAAGTACTCCTGCAAGATGTTTGTTTGGTAATGCAGTTTGTACATGTGATGCTCTTAGGCCAAAAAAAAAAAGTCTCCGGTTTCTGGTATGGAGCTTTGCCCCAAAAGTGGTACAGCGACGCGGCTTTTTTTTTTTTTTTTTTTTTGACTTTTTTTCTCTTCACATGTCAGCTGATGACTGCAAATGGTGCCAGACTAAATTTTGTGCAAAATATATGAGAATCCAGAGAGGCCACATAAAGCTTACACTCGATCGTAACCCCGTCTGAAAACGCGTTGGAATTGTGCAGCAGCAGGATTCCAGTCAAACCAGTGAGTTTGGCGGTTTTGAGACATCATCGTACATTGAAAATAAAACTTTTTCATTTTGCCAACGCGCATGGCTACGGTGACGCGCACGCATACCAGAAACTGGAGACTTTTTTTTGTGGCCTTACTTGAAATCACATGTAAAAGACAAAGTGTGGTATTTACCACAAAAATTGTAAAATAACTTCTCTTGCCATACTGTAATAGTAGCAACTTTCAGAGTTAGTCAGATTCCACACATTACACAGTCAGTTGTGCTGGCCATTAAATGAAGTTCTGAAGGAGATGGGAGGGGCGTGGAGTTATAAAACCACTTAAAACTTAAATATGTGAATGAACATTGGGTTTTATATTTGGAGACAGTGTATCCCACTTTACTGCTCATCGCTATTCATGAACAAGAAAACCTGAAACATTAAAATCAGGTAAATGTACAACAGTATTTTGCATTCTCTCCTTGATCTGTTGATATGCAGACTGCACATGAAGATTCATTCGTTCATTAAAAAAGACTCAACAAATTCGTTCATTACAAAACATATTTAACTCTACTTGTCTTTTTGGTTTACAGTATACTGACGAGACTGAAACTGAATCTGAAACCGAGTCAGATGTTACTACGAAAAAGAAACCATCTCAAGTAGAAAGGGTACGTGAGTCAAGATCAAACTTAATATCAGACATGGGTGAGATATCATGGCTGAAATAGCAGTACTCATTGTCTTTTCCAGCATTATGGAAGTAAGACAGATGCCAGCCGATCAAAGCATAGCCTGCTGCACTCATGACATGTGATGCAGCTCAGGATTAGTTATAGTAGTTATTTGATTTGAGCAAGCACTTTTTGGAGAAGGAGTTGGAGTTAACCCCCCCCCCCTCCCATAGGGCTTTTCACACTAGACAAATCTTAGGGTTGACAAGGCGTTGACGCAGGGTTGAAAACATGTGGCGTTTCACACTGGAAAATGTTCAACCCTGCGCCAACCCTGCGTCAACCCTGCGTCAACCCTGCGCTAACCCTGAGTCAACCCTGCGTCAACCCTGAGATTGATTTTGCCCCGGGTTGAACTCAACCCTGCTCCAGACCAGGGTCAATATTTTAAACCCGGGATGAAACCTTGCCAGGGTTCAAAACAGTTGTAACCAGTGTTGTAGGTCTCGAGACCGGTCTCGGTCTCGAGACCGGTCTCGAGACCACTTTCTGCTGGTCTCGGTCTCGGTCTCGGTCTCGGGAGCTGTGGTCTCGGTCTTGGTCTCGGTCTCGGTCCCTTTTGGTCTCGATATTTTGGCTGGTCTCGGGTCGAGACCGGCAATATTTAGCAATTACAGCTCGATCGATTACTTTGTGTTCACTTCGTTCAGTACTGTTGATAGATAAAACATTTGCTATCCCGTAGATCATGTTGTCAAGCTTGTTAATGATCGTTATATATCGTGGTTGGTTCGGACTGCACGTTGGAAAGTCCCCAAAGTACATGTAAAGCTGCAGCAGTACCAGTCACTGAAGAATCGTAACAAGTTCGGCATTTACTCGACATTTGAGTCGGGCACATAAAGCACAGTATAACCTTGTAACAATTTATGCAATAAGGGCCTGCCATTTTCGGGGATTGTGTAGTTTAGCCCACCCCTGTGGGCGTAATCACTTGCATTTTTTTGTATTCTGAAAATAAATGAGGTGCTCCAAATTAGTGACATTTTTGACCCCACACAATTTTTCTTTTTAATTTGTGGCAGTATTTTGAAGAAAAAGTAAATGTTCCTACCTGATTTTTCAGCATTGAATTCGCACACTCTTACCAGTTACCACTCACTGTTGCCATGAGAGTGTATAATGAGACTCCATTTTCTGGCAGCTCATTTGAAGTACCCCCATTATTCCTCAAAAATTAAAATCCCTGTCAGAATTTTTTTATTTTTAATCCATATCTGGCTACCACCTCGCAACTTGTGGGTCTACATGTAGGCCTACAAGTCCATATTCCAAGACGAAAATTTTAAAAAATAATTCAAAATTTTCTAGCTCCCATTTTTAAAAATCGAGTACACAAGTCTTAATTGGTAGAAGTTAAGTCCTATATTTATTTTAGAAAAAAAAGGCGCAACGTCAAATTAAAATTGCATCTTTAAATATCCGTTAGAAGTCATAGCTGAAACCAAGGGGATACTGTGGATAGGATCCGAGTTCCTATAACAGATGAAACATCTACGTCTAACTTTTTACTTTTGTCAAGATTGTGTGCAGACAACATATCAAACCCCATATTTTTTAAGTGTAACTACTTCTTGCTCAAGTAAGGTGTCATGTATCAATTTGTCAACACTGCCACTGGTCAAAATTTTGTCTGTTATCTTCGTGAATAGAAAGGTTACAACTTACAACTATAATTACATGTATTTGTCTTGATTTTTATTTAGATTATTGTTATTTATTATCAGCGGTCTCGGTCTCGGTCTCGGTCTCGGACCATATCGGTCTTGGTCTCGGTCCGCCTTGAAGGGGCTGGTCTCGGTCTCGGTCTCGGTCTCGAAACTTCAGGTCTCGGTCTTGGTCTCGGTCTCGGACTATCCGGTCTCGACTACAACACTGGTTGTAACCGAGGGTTACCGATGTGGGGTTGAACTTGGGGTCGAAAAATAAACCAATCAACCCTGGGCAGCACTGGGTTCAGTTCAACCCTGGTTGAGAGGCTCTAGTGTGAAAAGGCCTATTCTGCAAACTAGTCTTACTTAGTTATAAATGTAGAAGGGTTTCATGCTTTGCCACTGCCTGAAGAGCACAAGTTGATTATTGAATTTCAAATTTGATAACTTGGAGAAAAAGAACAGATAAAAAAGAAAAAGAAATTAAACGGATACATATGTATTATTGTACTGAGAAAATACCAGAGGAGTATTAACAATGTTACGATCATGGTAAAAATTGAATGGAGTATTCAACAACTTTTTGTGAAATCTTGGGACACAATTTGACACTTAAATTCAAATATGTATCATCAGGAACTTAACTTATCTTAATTTTTGCATTCATTTTGTCTTTTTTTTTTTACTTGTTCAATTTGTAGGGCAATTCTGAGTCAGAAAACGATCTCTTTGAGGGAGAGAAGTCATCAGATGAAGAAGAGGAGGAAAAACCAAAGGTACATTCAAATCTACGTGTGTAATGATGAACAAATGAGAATTTCCTGGTCGCCAGGGACAGTCTGGATTAGGAAGTCATGCTACCTAACTGGAGTCATTGTCACAAACAAATATACAAAGGTCGTAACCTTTAGGAACATCATTGGATCAGTGAGTGAAAGGTCGTGTCCAAATCACTTTGCTGCGGCTGGCAATAACAGACAAGTCTATGGGAAGCGGCTGCCGCTGTTAACCAATGGCTTCCATAGGTACGCAGTGGTCCAATTGTTATGGTGTTCGACTCAGGTGTTGTGGTATGTGGGTTCAAACCCTGACAGGAAACATGGTGCTTGTGTTCTTAGGCAAGACACTTTATAACTATTGCCTCTCTCCACCCAGGAGTATAAATGGGTACCAGTGTAGGTAGAGACCAGATTGCGCTGATCTCCAGCTGCCACAGAAATTGGTCCCATGGCCTGATTAACATGGGTAATAATTGTGAAGCACTTTGAGACCTTTGATATAAAGCGTTATAAAATAAGCACCATGTTATTATTCCAGGTTTTGTCTGAATACTTCCACAGTCCCTCAAATATAAAGTCAGAGAACAGCAGTGTGCCATTGCTCTAATGACCTTTTATGTGGGGTCAGCTACATTGCAGTATTCACACTGGTATGTACATGTTTGGGATGTGCATTCTACACGTTCATGTACTTTTGGACCAGACGGAAGGAAGAATAGTCACAGGGAATAGCAAAAAGTGAAATTTAAGAAGCAGAGAGGGCGTTGCTGTCCTCATATGACAAGGTCGCGCCGCAAGTCTAGACTTTGTGGTACCTGTTGCTGTGTTACTATCAGCATTACTTGGTGCCTGAGCAGAAAGATTGGAACATCAGTAAACAGGAAGTTGGAGATTTAAATATAACCTGAGAGAGGGTGTGAAATTTTTGGAGGAAGGAATAGTTTTTGGAGGAAGGAATTTAATGGTTCACTAGGAGCAGCTGAACCTTTGGAAAATGAATATGGAATATATTTCCTTTGGCATCCGATGTCCTGTCACAGCAGTGTACTTGGGATGTGATTGATTGATTTTATTTCTGGTATTATGAAACCAAGGATTCCTCAAAAGCACCCTAGGCACTGTAGCTTGCAAACCTGGAGAAATCTGTAGAGAGAAGACAATGAAGAAAACACAGTTTTTAGATGTGGGAGGAAAACCCCAGAAGAATAGTCTGGGGGAAACCCACGGAATCAGGTAGGTACTGAAAACCCAATCCACATGTGGACTTGGGCAGGAATCGAGCCAGGGCCACAAGGCGAGGAAAGAACCACTGCGTCAAACTGACTCTGTTTTGTGTCCAAGCATATTTAGGATTATACCAAGTATACACGTAGGGCTAACTACAATATGAACAAAACAGATGAAAATGCAACATATGGAAAGGTGGCTTACCTGACATGTGCATATGAAGGGTATGTGTTGCAATATGTACAGTACTTTTAAAAAAACAGACATTTTCAAAATGAGGAGTTGCTACCAGTAAGACATCTACCCGGTAAATCTAAGGCGTGGTTTATGCCTTCATCTTGAATTGATAATCATTTTGTTAAAATAATTGATGTAGGCTTGTGGTAGGTAAATTTAAATGTTTGTGTATATTTTAATATTCATCTGTTTAAATTTTGTTAAACTGTTGTCAGCTTTGACAGGATTAATCATCAAATTGCTTTTGTTATGGCCATCCCTCTTCCTCTTCCCGGGTATCTTGATAGTGGGAACATAACTTCACAGTGTTTTTGAGAAGTCACAGGGTTTTACATGTAACATGTAACATGATCCAAATGTTCGTGTTCATGTTGCAGCCATGTGGAAATGGGTGTGTTTTGACTCACATCCTTCTAACTTGAGCCTATTATGTTCATTTTCTTCGCTTCCATCCTTTCCATTGACAACATATGGATATACATGTAATTCAAGTGTGTGCAAGTCAGGAAAGTGTTTCTTGTTTAAGAAAATACAAGTACAGGTCAAAAACCCTGAACCAATCTCGGCCAGGCACAGTTTCCCGTGGGCTGAGCGTTCAGATAAAACTATTTTTGCGAACAAGTTTGGTGCACAGCTCTGTCTTCAATTCAATAAACTTTCTTCAAAATTTATTAAAAATGTTCTAAATTCTATGTTGAGTATTGACAACAGAAAGGTGCTACTATGTTTTCATTAATTAAAGAAGGGAAAAAAATGAAAACAAAATCACCCTCTAACTAAAACAATAATTTTGTCCTTCTGGAGTAATTGGTTCAGAATCATGCATTCTGTCTGCTTGTATTCAATTTTCTATTTCAATTTCACCAGTTATCTATCTGACCTTTAACCTCTTGTGTTTTCAGGGTGGAGCATTCACCAATGAGCTGGCAGCACGGATTGGCGCAGCACCCTCGTCAAGGGTTGATGATGGTGAGTGTAGTCCTGTAGTCAAAAAAATGACTACAAAAATAATTTTCATAAATTACCAGTGTCTCTCGTTTACCAGAATGAAGCAACTTACTGCACATTCTTTTTAAATGTGCACAAAATTTGCCCGCAAACAGACAAATTTGGGACATTAGAATGATAGTGTCAGGGTTGCACAATGCGGAATCCATTGAAAGAAATCCAAACCATATGTTAGATTGTGACAGATGTTCGTGCAGGATATGCTCAGCATTCTGAGTAGCACATGTGTACACGTGAATGTACATGTAGATGCATACATAGACGTGGCTCATCACAAACTACATGTGCATGTACATGTGCATGTGAGTGTAAATAATTGTACATGTACACATGTACACATGTACACATGTACACATGTACACATGTACACATGTACACATGTACACATGTACGTGTACACATGTACGTGTACACATGTACGTGTACACATGTACGTGTACACATGTACGTGTACACATGTACGTGTACACATGTACATGTACACATGTACATGTACATGCAGGTTATCACAAACTAATCTCATTGTTGGCATTTTAACAAGCACGTAGTCCTAGTGTTTCAATAAATTTCCTCCGGAAAATATAATTTATATTTCAGTAGCCGAGAGAAACACATTGCCTTCATGTGTATTTTGCCTCAAAACATTCCACTCTTTTCAAGTTTCCGGGCCACCTGGGTATAATTGAAATCTAGGCTGCAGTGACAGGAAAGGGGGGAAGTCAATGTGTGCCAACCCAGCTTCAGTGGAAATTTGTGCTCCACCTTTGACTAATTGGTGCTTCGTTGTACTGCCCCAGTTTAAGACCCTTGTACACGTAGATACTTATTCACACGTACCCGCAGGCCCTGCTTGCAGAGAAAGGTTGAAAGTTTCTAGTAAACTTGCCAAGTTTTAGTAAATTTTAGTAAACATGCCCATTTTCAATGGATCATTGAACTTAATTTCCAAGGCAGTGAACTACAAAATGACATGTAATTGCTTGACAGGTGGAATTTGTGGCATTTCTAATATTGTTTTTTTCTTCAAGCAATGTTTGTTAAGATGGTGAAAGGCAAAACCTAATATTGAGGTTTACACGTTTTGGGACATTACTTGTTCCTAAAGTCCCAGTGGGAGCATCCCCTTTTAAAGGCATGTAGGATCATTTGCTATTCGTGTATTTTGTTGGTTTTCAATCATAACTCTGTTTAAAATCCAAAAACGAATTTGTTGAAAAAAAAAAAAAAAAAACTGTTGAAGTTTCAGCTCAGTGGATATTTCATTTTTCGAGAAAACCATGCACAACGTTTTGATCACGAACACGATTTCGTCGACAGCACTCTTAATTTCCAAAAATCGGTCAAATGACTGATCGTTGGAAATCCCCTACATGTATACGTTTTTTGATTTCTTCCTAATGACAGCAAGCCAGACAGAATAATTTCATGGGGTGTTTAGTACCAGGACGATCTTATTCCAAATAAGTTTTTTGATAATAATTTGGTAGGTTACTTTGGGGATAAATGCAAACGATCCTTTAGGCCTTTAAAGGGAATATACATCATTTGCTTTTGCTGTAATTTTCAGAAATGGATGGAATTGGGGGGTTGGAAATATATAGCAAATATACCGGTAGTTACACTGACTTTTTTGAGGTTTTGGGTTCGAAAATGCTATAAAAACCAAGAAAAACCATCATTTTCCTGTAGTCTGGTTCCCTGACTCCATATCAGAAGAAACAGAGCAGTTTACATACATTGGGGAATTGTAAGGTCAGGGAACCAGTCTAGCTGGCTTGTAACCGTTCATAGGTGTGTAATCGATTGCAAACAAGTGCGATGGTCAATTGGGGCCAGTATTTGAAAAAAAGCCAGTTTTTCCAACGCTGATCAGCCGATCAGCGTTGGAAATTGATACAAAAATACCACTTTTCTTGAAAATGACAGTATACCAGGTGCCATGATTTTACAGGATGCTTTACACTGTCATTCACTAACAGTCCAGCAAGGTATTTCAAAATGATTCGGTAGTTTTATTTTTTGATGTTTGCAAATGTTGTATTTTCCCTTTAAAGAAATAGTTACAGGGCATAACTTTCCTCAAGCTTGCAGAGGCTTGACTTACATAGCTAGAACTACATGAAGTCGTCAACCTACAAATGCATCTACCCCGTGAACTGTCATGTACATGTATATAGTGTGTACACTCTCACATATGTGATGCAATCAAGCTAAGTGAGTTGTTTGTCGACCCTGGTCAAATTTTTTTTTATTACAGATTTGAAAAGAGCACAATCTCAGCATTACTGCTGTGAAAACCGCATGCTTGTACCATCTGTAGTTCAAAAATTATGGCAGTCGGAACACCAAGAGATGTGATGAAGTGATGTGATGAAGTGGCCCTATTTTGGCTGTTTCTCCAAATGAAAATTCCGACAAACGACTCATGTAGCTTGATCGCATCACATACTTCACCCTTGTCAAAGGAATGGAATTTACAGAATCAAGTGACCAATATATTTTAAGCTGCAGAGAAAAATCTTGTTGGATAGAGCCTTAGTGACTTTACTAACACAAACCCGACTTATCTCCCCCCCCCCCCCCGAAACATGTGGATATGACTTCAAACGGTGATTATTAGCACACTTCCTTTCTGAGAATGTTGAAGGTGGACTGTTCCATTGCGTCCCCAGGTGTGACCCTGTGTGCCAAATGACAGGAAACTGGCTATGTGTGGTGTTAAAATAAAGATGGCAATAACTCTTGTCCCTTAACTTGATGAAGGGTTAAAGATGAAAATTCGCTTGCTACCTTTCAAACTGGTTAACTGCAAAACTGATGAAAATCAGTCAGGGTTAGAAAAACTATAAGCTCTTTTGAAGAAGTCGCCCACCCTCTTTCAAAAATCTTCAACATCTTACTCCCAGAATAGCTTCTTGCACCAACTTCCTCAAGATTCAGTTTCAGGTCGTTTTTACATTAGCTGCTGCACGAAGGGTTGTAGCCATTGAAATCAGTACTATGAGCACTGGTGCTTTCTTGTTCTGAGGAAATTTACTGGAGGACCTGTTTTGGAATCTGCTGTTTGTCACATTTGTAAGAGGAATTGTGAATGTTCAACGGGAAACGATGATTGCTGGGGATTTATCCTGATGTTCAGAGATACGCTTGAAAAAGGAATCTGCCAGAATAAACTTGGAGATATAGAGTTTGTGCGATTGATTGATGTGACTTTCTGAAAGTACATTCGTGGATGGATCAGCTTTAGAAGATCCGGCGTGGATTTCTATAAATCAGTGTAATTTACAATTGAGAAGAGTTGTCGAAAGAGTTGTTGAAACGGAGGAAAAGGAAGGAGGCTTTATTGTCTTTAAAATAAGCTGATGATGACTTGGTGATGTTCCAGTATTTCCTGGAGTACTATTGTTATTTTTAGAAATTGCTACTTGCCCCAAATACCACGAACCAGTTCAAGTCAGGAACAGTTTTCGTCACTGCAACTTTGTCAAGTCGGCCAGAAGGAAACTCAAAGGCCATTTTGCTTAAGGGCCCACCCTTGGCTTTGAATCAATCTGCCATCAGTAATCTCTTGAAAAGGTTTTGATGGAACCAAGTCCACTTTGAAAACTTTCATGGGTTCCCTTAAAGGAGCACTCGCAGTCACAGACCGTTCTTCAACTCTTGGACTGGGCAAGAGTTCCACGACCAACTTTGCATGGAAGAAATTCCTGTCGGCAATCGCACATTCATGGTGACTGCATGCGATGGCCATTTCTGCTTAACCGTATCAGAAACTGATGAAGAGAGCATGCCGAAAAAATCCTGCGGGCCCCACTGCGACCGCGAATCCTGCCGGCTGTGCAAGGGGGCCTCCCGCCGTACGCGCAGCGGCGTTCCCTTACGTAGCATCCACCGACGGCTTGAGTTCAACACAGGTAGCCTAACCACTCATTTCTTTACCCTCATCGATGCAGAGACCAAGCGGGATCGGACGATCTCAGAGGTCAGCGGAACGTCGACCTCTAGTAAGGGCAAGAAGAGGAAGAAGGGAACAGACAAAGACAAGGCCGGAAAGAGGAGGTCTGCATCCAAGGCGAGCGGTGAGTGAGGATCTTGTACATGTCGGCCCAACCCTTAGGCTTGCTGCTAATTTTAGATGCAGGATAGCAGCTTAGTTAGTAACAAACTTTGACAATGTCTATTGCTCCTACATATTTTGACTGATTTCATCCCAAACTTTGCCAAAAGTATCAGTAGCCCAGCCCCAACATGTCGCATGACCAAACTGGGGTCAAAGGTCAGCGTGGGGTCACTGGAGTAAAAAACCCTGATTTTTTTTGCTCAAAATAATATTCCTTCTAGAAATTACATGGCACAATCACGTGACTCAGGCATGAACACAGATTTGTTGGCCCGCAGCTTCCGAGATATTTCTGATCGAGCTTATTTAAAGAAGATCCAGCTTTTGTTGTTTTGTTCTGTATTGTTACTCAGTCCAGATGGAGGTTACCTTTAATAAAAATCTGAGTTGAGTTTACACTGGGAAATTTAGGGTTAGAAAAGACTTTCAGGAGCCTGAAGGCTGATAATAGACTGAATCAAAGTCTTAAACTTGAAGCTGAGAACCCACTTGTAATAAACACATGCAGGTTAAAATGAAACGAACCATCAAATTAAAGTACACTGCTGAAAGTGCACATTTAGTTATTCAGATTCAATGGCCACAGTTAAGACTTGAAGGGTTTAAATAATTTTTGCCTAGTCTGGAACATAGCATTTCAGGTGAGGTACTCTATCGTAAGAACGTCTGTTCACTGGTATAAATCACAAGTCATTTCATAAGTCCAGTCACTAGTAATAGGGGACGAACAATTATAAAAAAAATCTTTGTCACACTTCATTTGAACAGCTTGTGAGTTGACTTGTGACCTTAGGTCTTGTGATAGACTTGTGATAGGCTTATGATAGGCTTACGATGGACTTGTGATGGACTTGTGATAGACTTGTGATGGACTTGTGATAGACTTGTGATGGACTTGTGATAGACTTGTGATGGACTTGTGATAGACTTGTGATAGACTTGAGATAGACTTGTGATAGACTTGTGATAGACTTGTGATAGACTTGTGATGAACTTGTGATGGACTTGTGATAGACTTGTGATGGACTTGTGATAGACTTGTGATAGACTTGTGATAGACTTGAGATAGACTTGTGATGGACTTGTGATGGACTTGCGATGACTTGTGACCCGTGACAAATACCTTGACAATGACACGGTTCTGAAACAACTGATCATGTTCCCCATGTCACCTGACTTGCTGTAGTTGGATGGGTCAAATTCTCCCAAGTATATTTATGAATATTCGTAATTTGCTACCCCCAGCAGCCTCTCATGATGAAAATATGTTTGCCGAGCCGACCGCAGTCGCAGACGAGGATGAAGATTCACCGTTCAGCAAGAAGGGAGGCCTGTTCAGCAGCTCAGGAGGAGGACTGTTTGGAGATGATGACGAAGACAAAGAAGAGGTGTGTTACAAGGGGGAACTTGTAAAGCGCTTTGAGATTTTTTATATGACGGAAAGCACGATATAGGCATTACTTTCTTTTGTGGAGTGCCGTGGCCTCATGATCTGGAGCTTTGAATTCGTGGTCTGTGGGTAATTTTGTAGGTTGTGGGTTCGAGTCCAGCCTGGGGTTGTGATGCGTGTGCCCTTGTACAAGGCATGTTGTCACTCATTACTTCTCCCCACCCAGGAGTAAATGGGTATCTGTGAGGGTAGAGATGGTTGTTGTGATTAATTTTACTGGCACTAGTGTAAAGATAATAGTTTGTGCCAGTGATGGTATTTAAATCCGGATTTTTTAAAATTCAGTTTAAATTCCACTATTTGGTTTCAGTTTTGGAAACCAGATATTCGAAACCAACCTTAAAAATATTTAGCCTTCCTTTTGGTGAAACACAGGCTACAGAAAACAACTGGAACATCCCCCAATTCGCTCCATGGTCTCTGATTGTAACTGCATTCACTTGCTAGTGGTCTTCTTGGTATATGAATAGCCTTACCAGAGAGTTCCCGTCCATGTTTGTCAACATTACAGCTCTGGAGCGTTTCTGTAAAGGCCCAGTGGTCACTGAATCCTGCAAACTACACCAAGTCAATTAGGAAGGCAATGCATGTAGCGTCTCACACTTCACTTTTTGTTGGTGTGACTGTGAGCTGGATGGGAACTTCCGGTGAAATCAGATAACCGTTATTCTGTTTGAAAAAAAAATTAGGATAACCTGATTTTCAAATCTCTACTCTGGTTTCTCCCTCAGCTAGTTTGTGCGTGTTAGTGTGTTCTTCAAGCAATTTGCAAGCTAACAAGGATTTACAAGTAGAGTCTCCTGCACATAGAATTCGCACAAATGGTCACAAAGTCTACAATCTACAATATCATTCACAGAGTCTATATTCTTAGGTTTTGACTATGTAGGATTTTTTTTTTTTTTGAATTATTTATTTGATTTATATTGTAATTTATTTATTTATTTTATTAAGTAAATAGAAGATAGTTTTTGGGACTTGAGTTACAGAGCTCGTATCAGGAGCTTGCAACACCATCATGATGTCTCTATCAACTGGCGATGTTGAGGCCCTCATGTGACCTGTCACGTGACCAAGCTTGGTCACATGACGGGAGACAGGAGTTGATAAAGACACCGTGATGGTGTCGCAAGCTCCTGATACGAACTCTGTAACTCAAGTCCCAAAAAGGTATCTTCTATTTAGTAGATATAATAATGGAACGGGAAACAAACTTTCATGCTCGATATTTATTTATTGTTTGTTTGTTTGTTTCAGGGGGGATTATTTGACGAAGCCCCCAAGCCACGGTCAGGCAGCCACAGATCTAAAGATGATCACATATATGAAGATATTAACCGTAAGTTTACCCGAGCAGTCATGCCAGTAACTAAAATCATTTCCCATTGTACTGTACTTGAAGATTACGTTGTCAACTGTACAAATATTAATTGGATGCAAGACTTATGTCTGATATGTTTTTCCCATTGCTTTTGGTCCAAAGATTGTCAGGGTTTTTACAATTGAAATTGAACACCAATTAGGGCTGTGCATCGCAACCGGGTACCCGAGTTTCCGACTGCTGATGTCAGGAACCGGTTCCAGATTATGGGATCGGGTACCCGTAACCAACTTGACAAATTACTTGGTAACTTCTCAGACAATGAAAAAGAAAAGGTTTGAATGCCATTTGTGGGGAATTTTCAAAGTGAAAATCAGGCTCCATGGAAAAACAAAATCATGGTTCAGCAGTTTTATGATGCTCGCCAAAGTTGCATTTTCACCATAAAGCTATAGTGCTCACCATACACACATGAATTGCTGCACTGTCGTACCGTCCACATTGCGTGGACCTTTATGAACAAATCTGAACCAAAAATTCTGACATCTGAATTTTTGGGTTGAGTTTCTTTAACGGATACCTTAACGGGTACACTCGGTTGTCCAGGTACCCGGGTACGTGTGTTTTTGTTAATTGGATATCCAGTTCCCGTTTAATCGGACGCCCAGTTCCCGTACACCCCTAACACCAATCAACACGTTACATCGGGTACCTTAACGGGTATCTAGGTACCCGGGTACCTGTGTTTTTGTTAATTGGATACCCAGTTCCCGTTAATCGGATGCCCAGTTCCCGTACACCCCTAACACCAATCAACACGTAACATCTGGCTCCTCAAGTGACCGCAGGGTTAACTTAATTGAAATTTGTGACCCAAAAAGGGTATTAAGTCGCGCCGTGCATAATCATATCATGGCCTGCTCTACATGTACTTTGAGAGGGTAAACATTTTGTCAAAAATGTGATTTTCATTTTTTGTCACGAATGACATCTTTAATACCTAAAGTTTCCGGGTTCATTCACAGAAATGTTGATTTGGACGAATAAATTGGGGAAAAAATAACAATTTCCTATTTTTTTTTGTGTGGAGCGGGTGACATTTTACCTTTGTCTTTTGTGTCTGTTAATAGCTGAAGAGGAGGAGAAACCAACGACGAAGAGCGGCAAGAAGATCCCCGCTGGTGCCGTGCCACTGTTTGCTGAACCGTCCGCCGAGGATAACTTATTTGGCAGCTCGCCAAAGTCCAACGAGGCAGGGGTAAGCGCAGAGACGATTTTATCCACTTCCTTTTACAGCCAGCTTTCATTTTCCATTTCCGATTTCGTGGTTAATTACAAGTAACATGGTTTTAAAGATCCTTTGATGTCATGAATTGACGCAACGGATCTAATTATTTTTGAGGAAATGACGCACACGTTAATTAAGTTTGAACATAGTTTAACCTCACAACTCCACATTTTGTCTGTAGCGACAGTTTCAATATTCATACAGTTATCATAAGTGAATTGAATGCTTTACCTGAAACCCGTGACTTCTAAATGTGTGTACATTCCCAGTACCTCATACATGTACCTGTACACTTTGCACGCAGCAAAACCCCCCACAAAAACCTCTTTATGCACATGTAACTCATTGATATCCCTAATACATGTATACATGTAGGTGTATACTTTATTATAGTACTACTCTATAAGTAGCTTTCTCTAGCATGTATCCTTAATGCACATGTATAGATTGAACCTCGCTACAAAACCCTCTTCATATGTATGTACATGTTCCTCATAAATCTGATGCATAGAAGGACACTTTATGTTCATTATACACATTTACATGTACCTGCATGTACATGTACACTACATGTCCCTACCAGAAAGTCTTGATAAGTATCTCATGCATGTACGTGCCTGACTTGAGTTCCAGATACGGGGATGTTCCTCAAGAGAAAGCCCTTATCAAAATATGTCATTGAACCTCATTCATGTAACCGCTTCCCTTACTACATGTACCTCACTTGATATAAACCATCATATGTATGTACCTCACTCATAAAAGTCAAATGCCCAATTCATGTTTGTACCTCACCTCACTAGAAAACCCTCTTCATATACATAACCTAATTCATATACCTGCTACCTTTATGTACATGTACCTCACTAGAAAGCCCTTTCCATGAGGGCAACCTCTGCTGTCAAGGAGAGGCACATCAGGAAACCCCCTTCATATATTATCATACATAACCTCAATCATGTGCCTGTTACTTTTAGGTACATGTACCTCACCAGAAAGCCCTTTTCATGAGGGCAACCTCGGCTGCCAAGGAGAGGCGCATTAGAAAACCCTCTTCATATATCATTTACATAACCTCATTCATATACCTGCAAACTAAATGTACATATGTACCTCACTAGAAAACCCTTTTCATGAGGGCAACCTCTGCTTCCAAGGAGAGGCGCATTATAAAACCCCCTTCATATATCATGTACATAACCTCATTCATATGCCTGCTACCTATGTACCTCACTAGAAAGCCCTTTTCATGAGGGCAACCTCTGCTGCCAAGGAGAGGCGTAGCAGTATGGTGAGTCCCCTCACAATCATGCATGCAGCATCTGGCATGGTTTAATGAGGCCCAATGAACTGCATAAGCCAGCCTGTTTTCATCAATTAATACTAACACATTTCTTTTGTTGCATGTTGAAAATGCTGCAAGTTAGATCAATGGCCACGATGGCTCAGTGATAGATAACATGCACAAGTTGCCATTTCACATGTTTTAGAAAGTTTTGTATTCTCATGTGACTCATCGGTTTGAGCCACGCCGCCTTTGACGTCAAATGAGGGACAGTCTAAACAAACAGCCTACAGAAATTGTAAATCTTCGTTTCATTTGAAAGAGACCTAAAATCTTCTATATTGCCTATATTTGCGGATTTTCCTTGATACAAAGTAGCGTCTCATATTTTTTTCCAATTTTATTTCACAATGGCAACTTTGTGCATACCTGAATGGCTAAACTCTGATATGGGCTATATAAAAAACTTCAGCAGTGGAGGTACATATAACTGACTTTTCAATCAGTTAATGAAATTTTTTTGTTGAAAGGAAATGCTGAATTTGGAATAAGCAAGATCATACACCCATGGGTCAACTTACTAACCCTAACCTTACCAACTCCATCAAAATCCATCCCCCATTTGAGGAGATTTTGGCAGAAAAGCCATGTGTACCAAGTCCATCAAAATCCTCCAGCACCTGTGATGGATTTTAACCCTAAAAGGGCCGCCGCCCCCTCAAGTTTTTCCGCGATAGCTTTGAAACTTTTTTTTTCGCAACCCGAGCTGTTATGACTTTTTAGCCTCGCGCCTTGCGCATCTTTTGATACCAAAAACATAAAAATCGGACCACGGGTTGCCGCGTAGCGAAAATTTGTTCCGGCGCTATGCGCCGTGAAAACTGAATTTTCCCATATATGTACATGTACGTCATGTACACAGAGCAGTATTGCCATTTGTACATATGAATAATTAATTAGCCATAATTCCAAAACCCTTTTACCTATTGTCATGAAATTTCTTGGGTATGTTTATGAAGAGTTGCTCTATGCATGTACTGAGTTTCAAAATTTTTCGTCACTCGATGGCCGAGATCTGGGGGGCGGGGGTGGCTGAGAGATGGTCAAAATAACCCGGCCCTTTTAGGGTTAATGGATTTGCCTCTGAAGTATAATATGTGAAGCAGAAGGAGTGATGGATTTCGATGGACAACTTCTTCTACTTAGAAAAACTAAGTTAGAGAGTTAGGGTTAACATTAAAAAGAACCATGAAATGTCCGTGATGTTGTTTAATCATGCAAGTCGTGCAACTTTGGCATGTTTAATCCTGCTCCCCAGCCTATATTATTGCACACATAACCTTGACATTTGTGACACGGAATGACAAATCTTGCTGTGTAACGTGAGTCACCGAGTCAATCCCATCATTTGCAGTCCATCCCTAATGAACGGAAGTGCTTCCACTGGCTTTCGTTAAAAAAATTGTAGTACTTATTCATCAGCAGTTGATCCAGACTGCGCGGAAACTGAGAATTCTGTTCTAAATGATGCTTGGAAAACGAGGATCTTCACATGGTATCATGTACATTCTGTTTGTCAGCATGTTTGCAAAATTAACCCTAACCCTGCTGACTCCAACTGGATCCAACTATGTCACATACCCAATGGAGCCTGTTGGATTGAGCAGCTAACCCCTTGTGTACATGTACATTCCTCATGCAAAATGTTGGATTCAGCAGGCAACTGAACCGCATTATAACGCATTGTTGGACTCCGTCGGATTCAGCAGACAACTGAAAATGAGGCACAGTGGATTGAGCAGGAAAATCCGTTTGGACTCTGTTGAATTAAGCAGGGTAGTCCTGAGGAAGTATTATATAACTGGCATACAGATCCTAGCCATTTGATTGGTGGAACTCACATCACATGACATTCGTTATTGCTCCCATTCACGCCGCGGCTCAAAAAGTACTATCCGCCCATGGGGAATGGGAAATACTATTCAACAGTTAGGATCATGACGCGGTATTTGTGTGCAAATGCATGCTGGTGTGCGCGTTCAGCGTTGCGCGTAGCGCGTATTGTTCCAAAGAGCCAGCGCTACAGCGTTGGGTTCAAACATTTTCGTGAAGGGGTGGTTTGGACTAGAGAAATAGATTTTCCTCCAGTTTCGTATTGAAAAAGAGTTCAAATGTATCAAATGACAAGGATTTATATGTCAGTTATATAAAACAAATATTGAGTGGCTTTAAATTGTGAAATGGGAGGAATATTATCGCTCGGTAAAATCTGGACTTTTCCAGTTCACTCGGCTTCGCCTCGTGAAATGGAAAAGTCCAGATTTTACCTTGCGATAATATTCCTCCCATTCCACGCTGAGCCACTCAATATTTGTATACTATGACAATCTTTCTGGTTATAAATGCTTCCAAATATATGACATGTTTTGTAAATTTTACTTTTTGTTTTGCATGAAGCAAATTTTGTTCGAAGATGGTAGTGTACATAAATAAACACATTTTTGGGAGCTAATCATCCTTACTCACAGCTGAGAAGCTGAATTGCAAAGAAGGCAGCTACAACGTGGTCAAGCCGAAGGCATGTAAAGGCGCCTTAGGCTGCAGCCATACGACCCATGTCTGACCACGGAGCACAGCCAGATCGAATGTGTTGATTTTTGCATGTAGTTTACTAAGACATGTAGGGTTCAGGCATTAGTTTGTCTTAAAACCATCAATGTGCATCGTTCATATCAGTAAAGGAAAGGCAAAAATTGACGTCAGAGACTAATGTTTCGTTTGATTTTTCCTTCCACAAAGGAATCGTCCAGAAAGAAGAAACAGGAAGCCGCCAAGAAGGCACCCAAGGCAACCGAAGCAGCGGGAGGCGGCGGGGGATTGTTTGACGACGACGATTATAGTGGTCTGTTCGCTGAACCTGCAAGTAAACCGGCTAAGAAAGGTATCGTGAAGTCAAAATCTTCCTTTTTTAAATTCTTTGCAATAAGCATCAGATTCTATACACAAATAACTGATGGTTGAAAGATTGGCATCATCAGAATAAAAACTGCGTGTTTTGTCATGATTGCTGACGTAGGATTCATCTCAGAAAATGTATTTGGGAAATTTGAAACAGAAATGTAGCTTTAAAAAAGAGGACAAACTTGAAACATTTTATTTTTGATGATACATAATTTTATTGGATAGCAAGTCAGGATAACACTTTTGTAAGAATTGTTCACATCGAGAAACATTAATTGAAGTTTGAGGTTTCACTTTTAGCTCAAGTAATTTAAGCCCTGTACAGTCTGTGGTCCATGCCAAAAGCCTATGCCAAAATAGCTTCTGTACTTGTAAGCAAAAGGCCCTAGGTTCATGACCCACCCAAGTTAGATTGGGAGTGTTTCTCCGAAACCCTCAGAAAGCATCGAATATAGTGTTCAAAAACATTGTTCAGTGGCGAGAATTATTGAAAGTGGCATGTTCTCAGACTTCAAGAAGTAGACACCCAGAAGTTCAGTTTTAGTTTATGGGACAACATGCTCCTGCACAAAACCAGCCACTTCGAACAATTTTAGAAAACTGGGATTTGGGGCTTATTGGAAAGGACATTGAATAAACTTTCCAATGATACATAGAATATGAGAATTGAAAAAATATGACAGAGTTTTAGGTACCGTATTTTCAGTTCCACATGTTCATCAATATTCTATAGACTATATCATAGGCTGTATCTCAAAACACAGCCGTGCGTCTTCCGCCTGCTTTTGTGCTAGAGGGTCACATAATGTATTTCATGTATTGATTTGTAGAAGCTGCCAAGAAGTCAGTAGACCTGTTTGATGATGAAGATGATGGTGAACTGTTTGGAGGAGGCACCACTGAGAAACCTGCAGCTGCCGAGGCTCCGAGACAGAGAGCAGATTCCAAGAAGAAGGTCAGTTCAACATTTCACAATCTAACACTGATTGGTTAAACTCATTTCCTTCCACTAATGGGGAAGAATATAAACTAAATACGCAGTAATTCAGGGTTGAATGCCAAGGTACCCTGCAAAAATCCTGGTAAAATTTGTAAGCCTTGGGTAAACCTCAACTTTCCGCCTGTTTAATTTTGCATTTTCCCCTTTTCATTCCGTCATACACAGTGATTCTAGAGGAGGTTTCACACTGACTAAAATGCATTAGCAGAAAGAATTCTTGGTACTTCCACTTTTCTATTGTACTTCGCAGAATTAAGATATTTAAAATAATGGATATATGAAAAAATGGATAGAAAAAATACTTGGTATCTACCTTGCAGTGTTGTAGTACATGCACTCGTACTCATTCTCATACTCATACTAGTACTCAAGTACATGTACATTTTTTGGTAGTTGAATTCGTACTCATGAAAATGTATTTGTACTACTCGCACTAGTTAGAAAAAAATTATAAGCACTCATAGTCATAGCAAAGTACTCGTACTCATGGAAATGTACTCAAAAGTGAAGACTTTAAAAACAATGTACATTTGTACAAACTCATGTTTTCAGGATTTACGTTACATCAGAATACAAATATGTTGTTCAATTCTGTTTGAACCCTGTATGACTGGGATAATGCTGTGCAAACCCGACCCGAAACCGACCCGACCCCCAACTGACTTTGATTCGGATCGTGTCGGTTTTTCCATCATTTCCCGAACCGGAAATAAGCCCCAAAAAAACAACCCCAAAGCAGTTCAAAAATTCAAGAGGTGTAATGTTATTATAGAATTACTGTGCCCAGTACGACCAACGTCAACCCGCCGCGCAATTGTGCATGTGGTTTGCGGTCTATCACGCACAATGTTTATAACATGTAGGTCACCTTATGAGTCTTCATCGTACCGTACAATATGATTCAGTTATTGAAAGATGATGATTTTCACGCGATGCAGGTAAGTTCAGGCACAAAAAGCGGACACAGTTGCCCAAACCAGATATTTTGGGTTTTTTAGGTCGGTTCCGGTTCGGGTCGATTTTTCCTTGAATTTTTGTCTGGTCTGGTCGGGTCAGACTTTGGGAGTTCAGATTGGTATCGTTTCAGATTTGGTTTATATCTATAATGTCTGGGTGGGTTTGACCTGATCAACCCGACTCGATGCACAACATTACTCTGCACCTATACAGCAGATTGTTTATCCATCTAACTTTGCCAGATCCTTCAAACTCCACGAGGAGGTTTGGTGATTTTGCAGGATTGAGGAAGCAAGAGCCCCTACATAATAACTGCACCGAGAGCTTGATTCCTTCAAAGTGAACAGACAAAGAAAGTACCATTTGGTGGTGATGCGCACAGTGAATTTGGATGATTTAAGAAGGTTATTTGAAAATGCCGGAGTTTGTAGGGTTAACGAAAAAAACAACACCACTCGGTATTGTTGCACCCCACAGCGTCCAGCTGGTGCTGTGTCCATGTTTGGCACCCTGGACCCGCTAGCCGCCAAGCGAGCATCCGGGCACCATGATGATGAAGAGGAGGAAGGACATTACGATAAACCAACCCCTCCACCGGTAGCCAAGAAAGAACCCAAGCCTGCACCGCAGAAGACAGGAGGGATGTTTGATGAGGAAGACGGAGACCTGTTTGCTGAGAATGCCAAGAGGTATGGAACCAACCCCAGCCCTGATTTCACTGCTTTATAAAACCACAAATTTTGCACTTAAGTTTTTCCACATCCTGTACCCTAAGATAGATATTTACAATTAGTTATATGATACTGGGCAGCTTTTTTTTGTTCCTTTTCATTTCAATTCAATGTGTGCTTTCGGATGTCTCAAATGAGGGATTCAAGTTTGTTTAAGACCACTTAGAGTCTGGGGGCTGATAATTACCCGAGCCGGAGGCGAGGGTAATTATCAGCACCCAGACTCTAAGTGGTCTTAAACAGAGTGATAAATACCGACGGAGCACATATTTATTCCCATTCATAAATACCTTTTCGGTAAAAAATAATCATATAATTCGTTCAAAACATCCCGATTTTGTTCAACAAATTCACTTTATGCTTTTTGAAACATCCCTCTTGCAAAATAATGGAGTGTTCAGCTGACGAGTAAGATGTAAACAACCCTTTTATGGAGATTGACGCGCGCGTAGCATGTTCTGCGCGATGTCGCGCAGAACGCACCTGGCGCGTTGCGTATTGAATTTAGAACTATAAAATTCTGACTCCCTGGTAGTGTTGCGCATGCCTGTGAGGATTGTGAACGTTCAACCAATGAAACGATAAGAGGCACTGGATTTTTAGGAGTCCACATTTTATTGGGTCACTGGAAAAGTGTTTAAGACCAGCAAGCCATGTCTTTATCATCCGTTTAAGACCGGCCACGTGACGGGCTCTCGACCAATAGGAATGCGTAAACTGTCTGAGGTATTTATGAATATTTATTTCATACTCTGCTCTGTAGTAATCGCTGTGTTGTTATGATTTCACCCCATCCCTTTCCATGCAGTCAACCTGCCCCCAGCAAGTCTAAACCTCCCCTGTTTGGTGATTCAGAGGGTGAGGAAGACGCACTGTTTGCTGACAAGGAGAACATCAAAGTCCCCCCAGCTGCAAAGACTGCGCCTGCGAGCAAGGTGATTCTTTTTAATACAATATCGAGCAGTTGTTTTACTGAGTAACCAAAGTTGTAATCGAGTCAAACACAGCTCAATCACAATCAACCTATCGCGGTAGAGTCCCGTCAACGCAGCTTGTGAAATGTTATCCAATTCATGACTATACAAATGGACGCAGAACGCGCAAAATCTGAGACAAACAAAACTTAACGTACAAAATTCCATAGGCTGGTCTAAGGGGCGTGGCTAACTCGCAAATGGCGATAGGTCAATTAGATTACAAGTAAGAGGAAACGAACCCTGACAAACAAATAAACTTTGTGCACAAGTACCCCCTCAGTGGTAAGAAAGGGAGAGTTGGGGGAGACATTTGGAAGGGACATTCAAGCACAGTGATGACGACGACGCCTGATGATCACTGAAAGACGCTGTGACTTTGTGCACATTCAGAAAAAAATGAGTTGTTCTTACTTCGTGAGATACATGTGCAAATCAGTAGGCGCATGCAGTGTATCCGTCCACTGGGTTCTCAAAATTGTTAAAAAAAAAACCTCCTTTTTGGCACAGTTTATTTGAATAGCTTTTTACTTGACTTGAGACTAGAGACTTGTGATTTTTCTTGTAATTTGCTTGTGATACACTTGTGATTATGAGTGTACAACTCTCATGGTTCCCATGTTTTGATCTCTTAGGCAACCTCTGTATCTAGATATCAGTTCTTTCTTCATGCGGTTGTCCTTTTGGAGTTGTTTGAATATTTGAAATTAGAATATTTGAATATTTACATGTTGTTCAACCAATCGCAGCCTGACATCTCTTAGCCAACCTCTGTATCGAGATATCAATTCTTTCTTTATGCGTTGTCCTTTTGAAGTTGTTTGAATATTTCAATATTGGAAATTTGAATATTTGAATATTTACATGTTGTTCAACCAATCGCAGCCTGACATGAAGAAGAAGGCGTCCGGTGGTCTGTTTGACGACATCGAGGGTGACGGGGATGATGACCTGTTTGGAGCGACCTCTAAACCAAAAGAAACGTAAGCTAATTGTTTGAGGTCCATTTTTGTTTCCTGTCCCTGTTACATCTGACATCAATGATGTTATACATTTGATGCACTCCTTAATGCAGTCATCCTCCAAGAGTGATTATGAATAGCAAACAACCTAAAACAGTACTCAACAAATAAAAAAAATGTTTGAAGTCTACTGATACTTGAATGGCAAACTACAAAGTGCCAAGGTATCAGGGACATGCTTTGGATCCTGAGTGTTTAAATTGACCCTTTTGTAAATGTGTTTTCTTTGCTAGGACTAAGAAGAAGCCAGTTGGAGGTGTGGCACTGTTTGGAGATGCAGACATGTTCAGCACGTCACCCAAGGCAGAAGAGCCAGAACCAGCTCCTGTTAAGGTCTGATTTCTAATCACTTTATTTTGGTTTTTTTTTTTGGGGGGGGGGTTTGCTGATGAAAATCTGTGATGAAAATGGAACAAGAGTAGGCTTGTCAAGTCAAAAGTCTCAGTTTTAAGTCTTTGGCGATATTGTCAAGCCGGACCTGAAAATCTAAGTTTATGGCGTTATTTATACTTGGTGATTCGGTCATGTTGGTCAGTCAGTGACTCAGTCAGTCAGAGTACAGTAGACTGAAGGTCCAACAAAAATGAAAATTCAAAGGCAATGAAAATATGTACAGCAGTCTTTCCATTTTGAAGCTCTCTTTCGGATTTTCTGTTGTTCGTGAATGGGCTGTTCTCAACTCGGCATGCTCACATGTAGAGAGAGTCATTCTTGCCCGATAACATGTAACATTACATGCTATTGACTTGAACTGGAAGTAATCCCATTGGAACATAACACAATGTTCAGAATCGTGTAACACTCATGTTTTGTTATGGATTTCTCCAGAAGCGAGACAAGACTCCCAAATCCAGAACAACCCTGAGTCTGTTTGACGATGAGGAGCAGGACGATCAGCTCTTTGGTGGTGCAGCAGAGGCCAATAGCGATGGACCAGTAAGAACACAACTCATTACAATAATGCACATTTTAAGTTAAATGTCACTTTCTGTTTTAGTAGTTTTTGTAGACTTTGTCCAAAGTGACAGCGCATTTTTCAGACTACTTATCCCACTACTGATTCAGCAAACTTGGAAAAAGAGTTTTTTGGCCTTTGTTTTGAAATCAATGGTGCTTGGTCATCCGTAACTGAAGAGATGCAAATAAGGTATCCATGGAATGCTAATGAATCATCCTTTAAGATTACGCCACTTTAAAAGTGTTTAAGCTCATAACTTTCACAAACTACCCGTTATTGTTAGATTCCTTCTTTTTTTTACTACGTCCTGTATAGGACCTTTTATTGCTAAATGTACGTACGTTTTGTCAACTACAGGTTGTGCCCAGAGTCCAAAAACCAAAGAATTATCCTGATTTAAGAATCTGATATGATTACAATATTTCTGAAGTTTCTTCATTTCGTTGTTTTCATCAGGTGACAAGGCACCGAACTAAGAGCAAGAGTGTGTTTGATGACGAGGATGTTCTCTTCAACATCAAGGAAGAAGCGCCCCCTGTTGACCTGTTCGGGTCAACCAGCCCCGTCTCGGCTACCAAGGTAAGAAAGAAACCAAATTTTTTTTTTCCCAGAAACTTTCTCCTTTTCTGTCTGTCTTCCTTTCTGAAAGAAATCACACCATTTTTTTTCAACTTTTAGTCTAAAATTGACAATATTTTGTCAGATTTTTTGTGCCGACATTAAGTTTTGGGAAGAGCCAAAGTGTCAATGGTGGAAGATTTCCAGGATTTCTCAGTCAAAGAGAGAATGATTGATAATTCCCATGAGCTTCAAGATTTGTTAACTTCATCAGCTAGGCAGTGCTATTGTAGTTTGAAAAGTGGAATAAAATTTTACCAAACTCACACCAATAATTCAGATTCCTTTTATTTAGTAATGGATGCAGGGAAATGTAATTACAAGGGGACTTGTCATAAACTAGCCCTACCACTACTGATTATGACAGAATTTATTATTTTCAAATAATTGATCAAGTAATTAGTATCAATTTAATTATGGCTGGGTGTTTGTAGATTTTCGTGCACATGTTATTAACCACACAATGTGACACTGCCACTGGCAATTTGTGCAGACTTGCAGAAGTTTCATTTGTCATGACTTTTTCTGTGAGACAAATTTTAGTAGTCTTGAGGAAACCATGTTGGTGTTCTTCATCGAAAACAAGTCAAATGCACTTATTTCACAAAATGTTAAGGTTTTCAAAAGTGTCACATGACTTGGTTAGATTATGACAAGCTCCCTTAACTTAATTTGCATCTTAAAGTGGAAAGATTGTTGAGTTTTACTTGTCAAAGAGCTGTCCGAGGTTCATCATAGCTTTATGAATAGGGATATTAAACTTCTCTTGTGCCCACTAAAACATCAGCCCGATTCAAACCTCGATAAGCCGCGCTCTGCCTCCGGGGCCTCCAAGAGCCTCTTCAGCGACGAGGACGAGGACGATCTCTTCGCCAAGGCCACGCCCAAGCCGGCCTCCAAGGCCCCGCCCGCCAAGAAGGCAGAGCCCGCAACCAAGCCCAGGGCCAGTTCCAAGGTGGATCTGTTTGGCGATGACGATGATGATGATGAAGATTTATTCGGGGGAGGCAGGACCAAACCCCCGCCCCTTGAGGTCAAGGCCAAACCGGCCACGCCCGAGGTCAAAGCAAAACCGGCCACGCCTGAGGTCAAGGCCAAACCGGCCACGCCCGAGGTCAAGGCAAAACCAGCCACGCCGGAAGTCAAAGCAAAGCCGGCGAAGAACAAGGAGGCTGTGGATACTGGTGATGTCCCTGCCCACAGTGACCCCTTGTTAGGGGATCAAGTAAGTCTCTCTCATTCAGCAGTAAGAATTTATTTTCCTAGAAGCATGGCTTGAGGTTATTGGCCTATATCTGTTAATGTTTTAATTTCTCTTGTTTATCATATCATTCTGGTTACCCTGTCTGCTTTTCTGTCCGTCTGTCTTTTGTTTCCTACCTTTCCAATGTGCGAGCTTTCCTTTGACAGAAGGTAAGATAATGAGGAAAAACACTTTCTTTTTTAAGTGGGAAACAAAATTTATTTCAAATTAATATGTTTGGCAATCTGTGTTAGTGGTTGCCAATCCATCTTGGTCACCCACTAGTCCCTGCATTGCCCCAAACCACCTTGCTTAGTACCATCACCACCGCCAACAACTACCCTATAACTTTATATGCATTCATCAGGATATGAATACAATATAGTACAATGTAATGCAACTTGCTAATTGGTTAACGTTTTTGATGGAATTTCATACATAAAGGGCCTAACTACCAGAGTTGTTTGATTTAAATCATTTGATGTACAATCGGAAAACTAACGTTTAACCGAAATAGCAGTTCAAAAGATGGCAAATTGTCTTCCATAGTGGGTTTTTCACCCTGTTGAATATGACAATCAAAACCTTTTTTGATAACAGATACAAAGACAAACATAAAAATTAAAACAAAAAAAGATTAAAATAAAAATCTATTCTTAGATAAATGTATCTGATTTCAATGTAAAAAATCATAAGTTTTCCAATCAAATGTATTGGAATCCTGAAGAATTGGGGAATAAATAACGGACTGCGCCATTAAACCTGGCCCACTACGTACTTGGGGAAACAATACATGCACCTCGTCAATGCCACACTGTATGTAGCAATGATGTGCGTCAAACGCGCGTTCAGACCTTTGTGCACGTATGTCCGACATCAATCAAGGCTGTGATTGGTCAACATCATTGGAGGGGGGGGGGGCCTAAATGGATCGGTCTGTTATCTGGAAATGATTAAACATTGTTATTTATACTCGCATCATCATCAGTTGTTAATAGCATGCCATTCATTCTGTTTCAGTCACCTCCCCCCGCTGCCACTAAACCCAAGAAGCCGGCCGGCGCGGTCTCCATGTTCGGGGGCTCTGACCCCTCAGCAATCACCAGACAGCTCTCCTCCGAGTACAGCAAGGAGGAAAAGAAGGAGGAAGAAGAGCCCAAGACGCAGGATAAGGTAGGCCAGGAAGAACCGGAGGATCAAGGCTCGGAAGAAACAAGTATCTGGTTATAAATACAGTGATTTGCGACTCCCTCTGGCCTCAAATTACATTAAATTTTGGATTTTGCCTAAGGTAAACGATAAAGTAGGCCTGGAAATATCAGAAGACCAAGGTTACAAACAAACTGTTAGCTGTGTACAAAACGATTAAAATAAATACTTTTTGACTCTGATCCTGACGCAAAATGGCAGTGAAATATTGTCCATTCTTGATACTCAAAACGTACCTTGTGTGGAACATGCTTATTTGGCTACTAACTGTTCAAGCATCGTTTTCCAGTAATTTGTACATTTGCGTGTACATCACTGTGGAAGACATGGTTTTGAATTGCATGGAACAATCTGTATGTACAACAAATATACCCATAGTTTCACTCATTCAGTCGTGTACCCAGAATGTCCCTGGCTATGTCACATAACCCCCCAAAAAATCTGTGTATGGAATGTGGGTTCAGGATTTTTCAGTTTTTTAAATATTTGCTTTAAACCAAAAAGATCTGAAATTGCGTCAAAAAGCATTCATTGAAAACCCTGTCATCTTTAATAATGAGCCCGTAACACTCTTTGATGTGAAAAGAAGCACAAAAACATTTCATGGTCATTCTGGGAAGAATCTTAAAATAGGAAAAAAAGAAAGTAGCGAATTGTTGATGTGGTAATCTAGATGCATGACTGTAGCTATGTGTAGTAACACGAGTTGAAAGTAGTCATTGTTACCATTTTAAAATTTCCCTGTACAGGGTGAGCATGGTGAGTAGAAAAAAAAAAACCCAAATGTCAGGACCATTGTTTTAGTGAAGTTCTGCATGTAACACTTTCAAAATCTAAGATATGAAAGCCCAATTCATAAGCTTTCTTTTAGTACAAGACTTATTCAAATTACTCATGTACTTTTCAAGTTACGGAGTTTTAAACACAACCGCCGTTTTAAGGTTCTGTCCACGGATCACAAAAAAGTTCAGTTTTCTTTCAGCAAAACGAAAACAAATCACATAAGAATGTGTGTGAATTGTTTTCGTTTTGCTGAAAGAACACATACCTTTTTTTGTGATCCGTGGACAGAACTTTAAAACGGTGTTTTCCTGGATATCTAGCTACTTGTTCATTCGTGATTTTACCCAAGATAAGATAAATGCATGTGTGTATGATTGCCTCCCACTTCCAAAAACAAACAGCGCAACCGTACGCCAAGTGCGAGTTCCATTTCGGAGAACATCAGCCCCAAGCCGTTTTCGGCAGCGTCTTCCAATAAGCCAGCCTCTGTCATCCGCTCAGTCAAACCCCCCTTGGCTAAGGCTGGGGGAAAGAGAATTAGCATGTTACAGGTTGGACCATTTTCATTTCCAATATTATCCTTTTGTTTCTGCTTTCATTTTTCTGAGCTAGCAGCAGTTCCTATTCTTTGCTCTCTCTCATTTCATGAGATTCCTCTTTCTTAGAACGGGCTTAATTACAATTTGTCTTACATGTGCCATTCTTGGTGTAACATTGCTAATGCTAGGTTCACACATTCCTGAATTATTGCCACAAACACCCCGATCTATCCCGAATAAACATTCTTGATGGCAGCGGAAGAAATTAACACTGATTCCCTGTTTGTAAAAATAATCAAGAACTAGGTACGAATTGGAAGCTGAATCAGACCGAACCAAGCCGAATGATTGTGAGTTAGTACAGAATAATACCGAATTGTTGTCAAGAATAACATACGAATAACTCAAGAATTATCCAGAATGACCCAGACTTATGCGGATTTGGTGTATTCGTAAGTTATTCCTATAATATTTGTACATTCATAATGATTCGGCATGATTCTGGACTGTTAACACCAAAAATAATTCTACGACACTTGTAAGAATGCTGTAAGAATATCCACAATGCCGTAAGAATATCCAGAATGCCGTAAGAATATCCAGAATTAGTTATGAATATAGCAAGAATGAATCAAGAATTGAGATTGGTTCCCGAATCACCCCGACAATTTTGAACATGTCCAAAATTGTTGGGGCGCTTCCTGATCTTTAACGATCTTTCACCGAACTAACAGAATCATTCCTAGGCAGCCAAGAACCATTCCCAGATTTACTCAAAGAGTTGCTACTTGCGGTGATTCGGCTTAAAAATCGGGAATGTGTGAACCTAGCATAAATTTGTTGCTCTTTTTATTGAAGTACTGTTTTGCTAATGCATTCCTTTCTAGTTTCCGTTCTTTGTTGAGTCATGAAATTGAAGGTTCCTCTCTCTCTTGAGTCACAAAATTCAAGTAAACTCAGTGTTGCCAAGTTCAAGATTTTGTTATTCGTGGGAGTCTTCCTGGTTTACTAATGGGTACAGAAGTTGAATAAGGATTGTTTTTCTTTTGATAGATGACCCCAGGCCATTTCAACTTATTCCAGTTTACCACTGGTTTACTTCATTACTAGCAGATCTCATGCTAGTTGACCTATTGCTAACCCCAAGCCATTTCAACTTATTCCAGTTTACCACTGGTTTACTTCATTACTAGCAGATCTCATGCTAGTTGACCTATTGCTAACCCCAAGCCATTTCAACTTATTCCAGTTTACCACTGGTTTACTTCATTACTAGCAGATCTCATGCTAGTTGACCTATTGCTAACCCCAAGCCATATCAACTTATTCCAGTTTACCACTGGTTTACTTCATTACTAGCAGATCTCATGCTAGTTGACCTATTGCTAACCCCAAGCCATTTCAACTTATTCCAGTTTACCACTGGTTTACTTCATTACTAGCAGATCTCATGCTAGTTGACCTATTGCTAACCCCAAGCCATTTCAACTTATTCCAGTTTACCACTGGCTGACTTTATTACTAGCAGATCTCATGCTAGTTGACCTATTGCTAACCCCAAGCCATTTCAACTTATTCCAGTTTACCACTGGTTTACTTCATTACTAGCAGATCTCGTGCTAGTTGACCTGTTGCTAGTTGAAGTTCATTCTAGTTGACCTTTAGTTATATAACCTGCTTACTAGAAGACATTGTGCTAATTGTGAGGTGTTCTGGCAGAATGGGACAGAACTGGGCAGAGGTCGAAAGGAGGGTTTGCAGGTATTAAAAATCAACATTTCAAAAATAGTAAAAAGTTTCGAGTTTTTGTAGTAGTGAAAATGAAGAATTCCATGTTTTTTTCCCTTAAAACACTTATATTCCATGACCTTTATACTATTGCTTTGAAATATGTATATTAAAAAAATTCCAATCAGCCCCATACGTTTTTTTTTTTGCATTTTCTCCACCACAGCCTGTGCCCGTTTCCGTCTCATTTTGCCAAAACGCCTCACAATAAAACTCATGCTTGTATAGACCGTTCGTGTATGTATTACACTTTACATTGCTTTGGTAGTTTTTCTTCTCCCGTTTAGCACATCTTTGCTTGTTTCGTTGTAACTCCAAACCATGTGTATGCACCTTTGCAATGCTTATCTACCATATCACCATGCACAGTTAGCTGATGGTTGTAGCAACATGAAATTCATTGTTTTTGTATCATCTGTTTTGATAAAGTTGTTGTAAAATTGCATCCCATGTTTTGTAAAGGACCATTCCAGTTACAAGAAATATTGGGGCATTGATGTTTGTTACAATTGTTTGGTTAACCCGCAATGGGTTGCTAGCGCACAAAGCGCTCGCCTCTCATGTATGTGGCTCGGGTTTGATTCCTGGCTCGAACCATGTGGGAGTAGGGTTGTTCAGTGATTCTCTCCTGTGCCACGTGGGGTTTTTTGGGGGCTCTCCGGTTTTCCTCCCTCTGCAAAAATAATCAGTACTTCGATCTCTGGCTGTGCTCCGTGGTCAGACATGGGTCATATGACGGTAGCCTAAGGCACCTTTACATGCCTTTGGCTTGACCATGTTGTAGCCGCGCCCTTCGCAGTTCAGCTTCTCAGCTGCGAGTAAGGATGATTAACTCCACAAAATAAAATTCATAAAAAAGGACCCATTTTTTTTTTTTTTGTGGCTTGAAACTGGAATGATCCTTCATATCTGCTGACATATTTGATCCATTAAACCTGCTATCATATTACATTCTGAGGATTTCAAGGGCAGAAGTCATGATGCAAACTTTTTAATTTCCAAAATATACCATCGGTCATTTTGATTCCGTGCAAAAGAGGGGTCTACAGAGTTCACCTTTAATGTTAGCATGGCGATTACAAGTATAGACTGCAAACATTGCAAAATGCTCCAGGCAAATAATACACATTTTGTACATGTACTTGCGAGATGAAAAGTGCACATAGTAATGTTTGCTATGACTTATGCCTCTGAAATTTTTATTTAAAACTTTGCACCGTACTGTTGCTTGTTAAATTTTGAAAACAGTCAAAAAAGGTTGCTGAAATCTGGTTGATTATGTTCAGGGTAACCTCCATTCTTATACTTCAACCATCTTGTAGTTATTGGTTTCTCACTGCACATCTCTGCACTGCTAGATAACTTTGACTGTTTATCGTCCAAACTTTTTACCCTTGCCTTTTTTTTGCAGGGAAGCTAAGCTAAACTAATTCTTTAGGTGGCTAGTTGGTTCAATTTCACGTAGACTGTAATGCAATAGACCAAAGATTTCAGCCCCACCCCATGATGGTGTTACCAATCACAACCTTGAGTAAAGTCCAACATGCACGCATGCTCACATGATGCGCGCATGCTCACATGATGCGCGCATGCTCACATGATGCGCGCATGCTCACATGATGCGCGCGGCTTGAATACACAGTGTGGCATTGAAGAGACATAGTATCGTTGCCCAAAGTGTGCAGTGGGCAGTGTGCAGTAGGTGGGGCTTACTGAATCAGTCTATTAATGCTCCCTTAAGTTTTTTTTTGTATATTGTAAAGCTCTTAGCAATGTATAGTACAGGTAGTTCAGTTAAGAATCAATGTATGTACTTGATTAGATCACATTTTCTTGTCTTAGTTAACCTGTCTAATCATTGCAACTTGTGGTTCATGGGATTATCTGTCACTTTCTCATATTTTCGCCTGAATAGGTAACTCTTCCCACTCACAAGCACTCCACAGGCAAATTCTTACTCTTGTGTCATCTTACTCTCTGTACTGCATGCCTAATCTCCGTGTAAAAGTTTAGGTGAAAACTTTTTCACTTTTCTGTTTCATCCCGTAACAGTTTTCTAACTTCCATGACACATTAATGTACCATTGATCATCGTGCATGCTTTTTAAAAACATTGTAGAACGTAATGTGCGATAAAGTTGAATGTGTTGTGCTTAACCCAAAGTCATCTCTTTGTTGGATTCCCGTACGTTTAGGTTTTTTTCTTGTTGTGTACATTTTTTGTCTACACCCAGTTACTGCCGTCCACCATTCAAGTGCAAGGCCTGATGCCGATGGGGAGGGCCCCCTCTTCGCACCCCGCCCTTAAGCCCAAATTATCCAGCACAGCCACCCAGACACCCCCACCTAGGCCCCGTGTGCCTCCTGTCAGATCTCTGTCGCCTCATGCTCGGCCCCTGTCACCGCCACCCAAGCATTTATATCCAAAAGCTACATATAGACCCCATTCCCCTCCCACCAGGCCTTTGTCACCTGCAACCAGACCCTTGTCCCCGTCAACTAGACCCCTGTCACCCCCCAGCAGGCCTCTTTCTCCCACTGCTAGACCACTCTCGCCACCCACTCGCTCATTGTCACCCCCAACACGGCCTCTGTCACCCCCTCCTAGGCTCGTATCCCCAGTAGACAAACCCCCATCTCTTCCTCTAAGATCCCTATCTCCACAATCCAGACCTCTGTCACCTCTTCACTCTGTCTCTCCACTCCACCGACCTGGGTCAATACTGCGACCAATATCCCCACCTCCTCCTCAAACCAGTCATGGGAAGTTGGAAATAATCCTACCCAGGGCAGTAAAAAAATGTCTCAAAATCATCGACCACAGAGGTGCAAAGAAAGCAAAACATGCTCAGGGAAAACAAAAAGGAGTCTCTAATGAGAGCAGTGATATAGAAAAGGCCTCCAAAGCACCTAGTGATTGTTGTGAACAGGTACTCAAACAGCACAGAATCAACAGGAACAACAACAGCCCAACAAGCCCAGACAAGATGCGTAGCAGACATCCATCCGATCCCAGCAGCATTAAGAAGAAGCAGCACTCAAGATTGAAGTTCAGTCCCAGTGACGCCCTATTCACAGTCAGCTCAAAGGCAATGTCATTGACACCGAGACTGTTTCACAGAGAAGGGGACAAACCCAAGTGCCTTCCCCTGACCCCAGAAGAAGCACGACCTCCACCACAACGACCCTCAGCACCCCCACCAAGGGCTCCTCCACCTCCCCTTATTCCTGATTCGTGTGATTCAGCATCTGACTCTGCCTCGGCACATGACAGCAGTAGTCAGCTTAGCCAAGACGATTATGACTTACGCACCTCAGTACTACCTGATCTACCAATTCACACCTGGTCACCCAGAAGGGCCCCTCCTAATCCTCTTCAGAGGTTTGAAGCTGTCAATGGCCAGTGCTTTGACCCTCCGCACAAACCTGACAAGCCTCCCTTGAGCCCCCTTCTGGTATTTTCTACCAATCTGTCTGTCAAAACGTCAAGGATCAGCCCATGTTCTTCCCCCTCACCTCCTCGGTCTCCCGTTCGGTTTCCCTATAATGCCTCTCCAAGACTTCCAGGACGAAGGCATATCCATCCTCCTCCTGAAGACTCTCCTCCCGAGTTGCCAAGAAGACATAATCATCACCCTTTACCCAATCCTCCCTTGTATGATTACCAGGAGAGACCAGTTCACCCAAGCTCATCCGTTTCTGAACTATCCAATGGAACGAATGGACTCCAAATGCCATCATTGCCACTGTGTAGAAGGATGCTGCCACCAATACCAGCCGGTGAGCCATACCACTGTAGAGAAACTTCAGCAGACTTTGCCTTTTCCCTGTATGAGCAAAGAACCAATCAAAACCCGTTACCAGGTATGAATGGCATAAGGGACCAATCGCCAAAGCGACAAATCGATTCAGCATTCAGAAACAAATCAAGACATATCAGGTTCACACCGGGTCAAGGAGACATGAATCATGCTGACTGCCTGAGAGCCTCTCCCAAACCTGGCTTTGCTTCCGCGCACAAATCTTCCTCACCATTTCTGGCTACAAAGCCCCTGCCACCAATCCCACTCTCTGATGTCTCCCATCGTCCAAATCGAAAAAATATCCATCATTCTACCAAACCTCTCCCGCCGATCCCTTCTTCCACTCAGAGTCATAACACTGGGCATCCTGTCCGTGACTCATCATCCCCAACGCCTCGCCTTAATAGGGTAAAGCCATTACCTGCCATCCCACAGAGTGACTCGAGCATTGCAAAGGCATCATCATCAAAATCCAGAATGGCCTCAGACTGTGCCCCATTGAAGTATCAAGAAACCTCGCACCAGCGGCACAAACCATTACCTGACATACCTCACTGTGTATCGCTCAGGTCCAAGAACTTAAACGAGGACTCTGATGTAAAACCTGTGGCATCTGTACCGAGGCTTCCTCCTAAAACCCAATTGTTTGCATCAAAGTCACAACAGGTGACTTCCGGATTTCACAAGAAGGACAACATCCGGCATCCATTGGATGAATTGGACAGCTGTCCTGTTGAATCCAAATACACCCTGGATAATCATGACCCTCAACGAGGGCCCAGGCTCAGAAAACATTCCAGAAACAGCTCCAGGTTTGTCCGACCACCTTCTGGGGATTCGGAACTTTTGCGGAAGATGGAGAAACGGAAAGCAGCTATCGAATTGTCCATCTCAAAGGCATCCATGGAGAAGAAGAACCGCCTTAAATTAAAAGCACTAAGTGAAAACAGCCAGACTGGTTCTCAGATGGAAAGTAAAATTGATCTAAGCAGAAAACAAAGGCAGAAAGATGATCCAGAACTGCCCCCTAAAAGGCACATTCAAAATACTGCATTTTTTCAGTACCCAGACACAAATTGTGACTCCCAGAAGCCTTTCAAACCAGTGGTTGATGAAAATGATCATTTCTTGCCTATACAGCATTCTCCTGATTCAGACGCCATGAAGGACACAGATTCAGAACCAGATACCTCCTTATGTTTGGACTCTTCAATCCCTCGGGCTCCACCTCCTCCCCCTCCACCAGAGCCTCCACCTCTTCCACCTAGAGAGACCACCCGACCTCCGACACTTCCTCCAAGGAAATCCCAAGACGTTTTTGCCAAAAATAGAATGCAAAGTACAGACACAGATTCTATTCAGACCAGTCGCACTACAAGTGGTAGCAGGATTCGGACAAAAACCCCTCCATCACCGCTACCGAGACCGGACATTATTTCCCAGAGAAAGAGAAGTGACCAGAGAATCACGTCACCATTGCTCAGAAACTTTTCCTCTGGCATTCACTGTCAAAGATTTGGCTCTACCGATTCAAGTCCATGTCAAAGTCCTTCCCGAGTGGAGCCTTCATCAGGTCAATCTGAACTGATGGCAGTGTTGGAGAAGAAGAGGGCAGAGATTGAATCTGATGGCTCTCGGCATTCCTCCATCTCCTCCATTCACTCCAACAGCAGCAGATCAAGATTTTCTCCACCAGTAAGATCCCCAAACAGTTACAAATTTGGTATTATCCAGTCAGTGCCAGCAGGTGAGTCGGAGCTTATGTCCAAGCTAGCAAGGAAAAGAGAAGCTATCGAGAGAGCACCTTCCTCTGATCCCTGCCCTTCTTTAGCTCGAGAGAATCAAACCTCTGGGCCAAGGCAAACTCCAAGTCATGGGCAGGAGGCTTCTAAAGAACAATCCGAGTTGATGCAAAAGCTAGCGAGGAAAAGGACACAAGCTGAATCTAAACCTGTACTGACAGCTGACTCTAACTGTGCGTCACAGGGAAGGCACATCAAAAAAGAAAGGTCAAGGAACCCCGGCTATTCACAGGAACCTTCCAGTGAACAATCCGAGTTGATGCAAAAGCTGGCCAGGAAAAAGGTGGAAGCGGAATCAAGTGGATCAGTAAACAGACATTTAGAAGCAGGAATGCCAAGGGAAAACTGTTTGCCTTTGGTGAAAAATCCTGAGCGTAGAAGAAACCCAAGCAGTTCTCATCAACCCTCCAGTGAGCAATCTGAACTGATGGCAAAACTGGAACGGAAAAGAAAACAAGCAGAATCTATTCCCTCACCATCGAGATCTAACGGGAAGGAAAGTGATACTTTCAAGGATCACCAGAAAGAGAGGGAGCCATTTCCACCAATCAAAATTCCAGAGCAGACGAGAAATCCACGCTACACCCAGCAAAATGTGAACGATCAGTCAGAGTTGATGAAGAAACTGGAAAGAAAACGTGCCGAAGCAGACACGGGGATTGTGTCATCAAGGCAAGAACACAACAGCTCTCCAACAACAAAGCTGCCGCCTTTTGTACCTCCTAAGGGTTCAAGAAATAGAAAGAACCATCCCCTTTGTCTTTCCCCCACAGAAATGCCGTCAGATATTTTCCCGAGGCAAGGGGATGTCGCGTCTACAAAAAACAGTGTTCAAAATGATTCCCTTAATGGACCAAGACATCTCACCAAAGGTAGCCTACAGGATACATTATCAGGAACCGATGACTTGTTCAAGTTTGAGGATGGGAAATCAGAAATTGACCAGGACTTCCAGCAGAACAAACCCATTCAAAAAAGTTCAAGTATACCTTTCCCAGAAATGTCTTCATTGTCTACCCTGCCCTGGAGGCCCTCCAAAAAAGTACAACGTGTGAACTTCTCGCCACAAAACTCCTTCGACAAACAACGGAAGAGAGACTCAGGTAGTGGAGGTAAGGAGAGTGAAATCCCCAAGGTGCCCTTGAGACCTAAAAATGTTCGCAGGGAGATGTCGAGGGGATCCCAGGAATTCCAGAAACTCAAACGCTGTTCTTCAGGAAAACAAACTAATTGCAAGCGGATGAGTGAGTCTCTAGATCAGGTACAGACTAATGATGACTCTCGCCTTGGGAACGCAGAAAATGAAGCTCCTAAAGTGCCAAGGGGATTCAAAAAAGTAAAGAAAGTGCCATCCAAGGGAGCTCAGGATGTCCAGAAGTACAGGCACTCCCCTTCAGTGCCAGGCTCCAAAATTGTTAATCCAGGAACCCTGAGAAATAGCAAGCTGATGAACCGATCGCAGGATTCTTGTCCTGGTGAAAGCACTGAATATGATGTCCCGAAGGTACCCAGGAAAACAAGGAACTCGCGGAAGGCACCCTCCAGGGGATCTTACGATTTCCAGAAACTCAAAGCCTCCCCCTCTGCTCCAGCATCCAAAGTGGCCAGTCCCAGGACCCTCACCAGCAGCAAGCTGATGAACCGATCCGCCGACAAAATAGTTTACAAGGCTGACCAGAGTAAGCCTGGTCCGGCAGTCCTTAGGTCAAAGGTGAGGCGGAAACCAAGCGAGAAGCGTGAGAAGCCCCCTGGTGGTGTCCACCTTAGGAGGAGACCCTCAGGAAAAAAGTTGGCCTCAAAGAGGGTTTCTCTCAAAGTCAACCGGAATTCCAAAACCCTGTCACCCTCTCTGCCCCAGGACAGCCACTCCAGGGCCCCCTGTGCACCTAAGACTCTCCCCAAACCGAGCACCGCCAAGAGAATCCAGGCAGCGTGGTTGCTGGGCTCAGCGGTTAGTGGTGGCAACAACACTTCCTCCTCACCGCCGAGGGTGCACAAAAGTCCTAATGAAAGCACGGTCCGCAAACTTCAGGTGTGGTTGATGCACGTTCAGCAAAATGTTGGCATGGGAATGGTGAATGCTGCTCTTGGATCCCTGGATTATAAACCCAAAGAATTCACTTTATCAGTGTTGACAAGCTATGTCTCAAAATGGGGCTGGGTGTTAAATTACCTAACTTTTGAAGAATTTTCTGAACACGTCCTCGTGGAGGTGAAATTTGAGTTTTAAAATGTGCGTTGATCTGCATGACCTGTGTGTTGCATTGCAAAGGGTTGAGGACAGTAGGAGAGTAACTTTTACTTTGTGCAAGTGCTTGCAATTTTGTTTTGTGCATGTGAAAAAAAATATTATAACACAGTTGTATTTAAAGAAAAATTTTGATCAGTTTCCAAATGTCATTTTACAAATCAAGTTTTTGAATTTGTAATTTGGAGTTAAAATAATAAAATGCAAGATATTACACAGGAAAAAGTGTGGGGTAGGTTGCAGGTTGGACAGGATTGCTGTTTCAGTATAAAGGGTGAACATGATGGCGGATGAAAGATTCTTAAATGCCCTTCTTTAGTTTCACATGTTTTGTAGTACCACACTTCGTTCAGCAAGTTGTGACAAGCATAACGCAGAATTTGCTTTTTGCTGCTATGGCATAGTGCAGTGCTAGATAGCACAAACAGACAAAAGATATGGGCAGTTGATGACTTGACCAGCGAGTGTACATCTTCAAAGTTAGTTTGTACTTGTATTTTTGTATATTCCGTAATAACATTGCATCAATTATACTGGTAGGAACTGTATGTTGGCTTAACGGCCAACAGGTATTAAGTAAATTGGGGATGTCAACGGATTTTTCTTAAAATTAGAAAACTACAAAGGAAAGTTTTGGTTAAAATCTTTGATCAAAGTGCAACATAAAAGCTAGCTTTTGATTTTAAAGGTGAAAGTTTTATCAAAACTGTCCTCTATATATGCTCAGGGTATTAATACGATTATATATACGTGCATTCATGGCACTAGAATAATGAATAATGTATGCTTCTTGTTACATGTTTGCTTTCATTCTTGCATGTTCTTGAATAACTTGGATTTTTCTTCTTCATTCTCACCTGAATCCTGCTTCCTGCACGCACCCTCAGCATTTTGCCCATAATAACAGCATAACACTTTTTACACCTTGCACATATTTTTGCATATCTCAAATGTATTCTAACTAACGATGTCATCTTTTCTCAAATTCCAGTCAAACATAGTGATAGACCCCACAGCAATGAGGCCAGGGGCATCCCCACCCTCCAGGGAGGTTGAGCCAGAGGGAGTGTCGTTCGACGAGCCGCCGAAACTCCAGACCCTCAGCAGCCTCAACAAGGTAAGGCATTCACTCTGGACTTGCAAGACAACAAAAAGCACATATCTGAAGTGGGGTGCTGTGGTCCAATGGTTACGGTGTTTGACTCGTGTGCCGTGGTACATGGGTTCGAATCCTGACCGTGGGAACATCGTGCTTGTGCTCTTGAGCAAGGCACTTTACCATTATTGCTTCATCCTTCGGATGGGACGTAAAGCCGTAGGTCCCGTGTGTTGTGAAGTGCACGTTAAAGAACCCAGTAACACTTATTGCTAAGAGAAGGGGTTTGCCCCGGTGTTTCTGGCAGTGGCTGCAATATGCGCCGCAGCACCTTGTAAACCCTTATAGGCTGCTTCATAATGGGTCTCATATTTCTCATAAATTTTATGTACATTTCTTTATTAATAGACATAATTTCCAGCGCCTTGAGTACCTAATTGTTGGTAGATATGTGTGCTATATAAGACTCCGATATTATTATTATTAATATTGATCAAAATGATTCTATTTGTTACCGACGCTCAGCATTTTTGGAAGGTACATATACTTTCCAGAAACAACCAAAATCCAAAAGTGGCTACAGGGGTGATATTTGTCAGGATTTCTTCCTGAATGCTGGATACTTTGTCTGTTGTTTTTCTAATTTCAGGATTTTTTAGGAACCTCTTTTAAAATCTTGGATGCCTGAGGTTATTGTGTTTTTACGTATAAAACTTTGAATAGAAAAAAAGAAATCGTGGACCCTACATGCTCTAGGGCCTTCAGCGATCCTCAGACACTTTCCCAATTATTTTGCTGATTTTTCTTTTTCTCAGCCCTGTTTTTGTTTGTATGTAAAAATGTGGAACATCAGCCTCTGTGGTATTTAATAATTGCTAGATCTGTCAAGAGTAGCAGTCTGGATGTAGATTTGTATAGATTCCCTTGAAACAGTGATTTTGTGACAATCAGTACATGTAATTGTTTGTGTTGTGATCAGCCCTATGGATATGCTCAGTAAAACGTTGTACTGTTTTAGGAATTTTAAACAAAAGCGCCCTGTAGAGAACAGACAGTGAGAAGAATTTACAGTATTAGAGGTGGGAAAAAAACCCCAGCATATTCCAGAAAAAAAAACACGAAATCAAGCTGGGACTGAAAACCCAATCCACATATTGGCCCAGGCGGGATATGAACCCGGGCCACAGCGGTGGAAGGCGAGGAAAGTACCGCTACGCCAACCTGACTCCCCAATAGACTACGCCAACCTAGTCTGTCTAAACAGTATTTGTCTTGTTTCAACGTCTGTTTGCAGATCATTTTTATAGCCATGTTAGATACCAACATTGTTAAAAGTTGTCCCTTTCTTCAAAATGTTCCCTTACTGAGGAAAATCCCCCCAAAATGTCCTCAATCACCTATTCTCGTCCATCCTGTTCAAAAAATTTCCAGGGACGTGCCAAGGTTTCCACCAAGCGTCGTGCCCCCTCGCGCCGTCTCCGCACAGAGGGGGCGACCACGGCAATCCCTGAAGCCCACGGCAGCAGTCCTGCTGGCCTGCTCAGTACCTCCCCTGAACCGCTACCCAAGGAGCGGTCACCACCTTCTGGCCTTCCAGACTTCACTTCCAACCCTCCAGTCTCGTCCAGTAAACCCAAAGGTATGAAATCAGTTTTTGGCCTTTTTTTTTTTTTTTTTGGTTAACCCAACAATAAGCAATCGAATGAAAGATTTCTCAAAATCTGCATACTTTTAGTCCAGGTTTTTAAATTATTTTCATTATAAGTTTAACAAATAATAAAAAAGGAAGAGGGCCTAATATATCAGTCCTAGCAGGACCTTTGACAACCACAAAAAAAGTAGTTTTTAAAATTTAATATTAAACACTAAAAAGAATAGAAAATTAAAATAGTTTTAAAACTCCAACAGTCCATGAATGAGCACTTCTTTTTAGACAAGTTCATTGAAACAATTGTGATGCGATCAAGCTACATGAGTCGTTTGTCGACCCTGGTCAACTTTGTTTAATTACAGATTTGAAAAGAGCACAATCTTGGCATTACTGCTATGAAAACCGCATGTTGGTACCATCTTTAGTTAAAAAATTATGGAAGTTGGAACACCAAGAGATGTGATGAAGTGATGTGATGAAGTGGCCCTATTTAGGCCTGTATCTTCAAACAAAAATTCCCAACAAACGACTCATTTAGCTTGATCGCATCACAATTAACATTGACAAAATCCGTCGGTGCAAGATTTGGCAACTTGCAAAATGGTGATTTCGACCCAAATGTACAAAAAGAATTTGAGTCGGAAGTTGCCCACAGTACTTCCTGCCAAGTTCCGCTGCATGGATTGAATCCGCTATCTTGAAACCTCAATCAAAATTCAAAGCGTGAGTTGGCAACAGTGGTTCATACGTTCATGTCTCAGTTTACCCAGTTATCAAGGCTTGAAATACGTAATATAAGTCAAACATGCGCATGAGACCAAATGTCATAAAGGGTGAGTCAGAATGATCTAGCCCCAAATTAATGAAAATATTAACAATAAGTAGCAATTATCAAAACAAGTGCAATATGCTGGTATTTTGGACATATTTGGTGAAAGTTGCACGTATATCCATTGTACCATTTAGAAGAAAAGCGCTAGCAAAGAACACACGCTACAAAAACACTCTGACCACGGTTCCATGGTTCAACAAATTTATAGAAATCGCGTACTGATATGGCTGCATTGCTTGAAATGCAGTCACATCAGTAAACCAGCCTATAACATATATCAAATGCACTTGTTTTGATAATTGCTACATATTTTTAATATTTTCTTTAATTAGGATCCAGATCACTCAGACTCACCCTGTACAGGTATGGGGCGTAAACTCATCTTTTACATGTGTGACACGATGCTGAACATCTTAAAACATTACTTCAAACAGCGTAACTTTTCCAGATATTGGCAGATACCTGACTGGATACAAATATTTTGTGATATAAAACATCTTCAATGTCTGGTTTCCACAGAGATAGACATTCCCTCGTCAGATGTGACTGACTTTAGTAGTCCGCTGGACTTCACGCCCAGCGGGATAACGCTTCCTCCGACACCGTTGGATGACGACAAGCCCAAGCCCAAGCCCAAATCCAAGACCTCGGACATGTTTGGGAATGACGACCTCTTTGGTGACGTTCCCAAGGTAACCGTCTCAGCAAAAGCTGATGATGACGACCTCTTTGCCTCAGTACCCAAGAAAAGTGAAAAGACCAAATCGCCGCTGGACATTGACGAGGATTTGTTTGGCTCCAAGCCCCAGGCGATGGAGAAGAAGGCCCCCTCGGATCCAATCGGGGAGGATCTTTTAGGAGAAGGCCCAGGGAGCAAGAAGCAAGGGAAGAAGTCGGGAAAGACGAAAGTGCCGGCCCTGGACGATGATGATCTGTTCGGAACCGATACAACCAAAAAGAAAGGTGTGAGACACTTTAGACAAGACATAGAGATGGCTGTGGTCAGAGCTATAGTCAAGTCCTCACAAGTCCTGACAAGTCCTCACAAACCAATCACAGTGGCAAGCTATTCAAAGAAGTGTGACCAAGGCATTCCTTATTTGTTGTTGTTCATCTCCCGTTACTTGTGACCTTACATGTAATAGACTCTTGATTTGACCAGTGATGGACTTACAATTTGACTTCAGGCTTGACTTCAGCGCTTTCAAAATGTCATGAGCTGGATCAATGCCGGGTACTTGGGAGTTGACTTTGTTCGCACTTTGGCAAACTTCTGGCAGGTAAAGCTCCTTCTACCAGATTAAAATTGAACCAAGGCCAAATTGCCTGGAGCTACTGGTCAGAAAATATTGCTTAGCAAATGTATGTACTAAGCAAAAATCTAAAGACAACCAGTCAGTAGTAATGCACATCAAATTACATTATATTTTGGCTGTTACCCTTTTTCGCTAACTGAATCTTTACTGTGTTCAGTACAATTATGCACAGAACAGCCCAGTGACATTATACAAATAATGAATGCTTGTGAGTGCAATGGTAAGAATAATTTCATGAGGTGACAGATAGAATGTTCCATTCCATAAGGCGAAGCCAGGTGGCATGGAACATCATTCCATCTGTCACTAAATGAAGTTATTCTTTCCATTGCACGAATGTGAAACATTTATTATTTGTTTTATACAACGCCTGAATAAATCCGCGTCATCTGATTGGTAACTCGTAAACTGGTACTATGAATGTACAACATTAGAGCCATCACTGCTGTATTATATAGCACTCCCAGCAGTGTGACTCTGAAATGGAAATTATATTTACCATGGATTGGAACTTCTATTTTTGCCATGCAGCCGCACCTTGCGTTGAGAAGAATAAATCAATGACATGTGATTAACGACCCACCAATCAGATGACAGGGATTTATTACCGCATTGTAAAGTTAACCCTAGCCAATGACCAGATGAAATCAACAATTTGATTTGGGTCCGGAATAACATAAATGCGTTTGATCCATGTCAGGTACTTTTCTTTCTTTCAGAAACCAAAGCGTCATCTGCTCCCCTCCTTGATGACGATGACAGTCTGTTTGCAACGGCGTCCCCTGCCAAGACGAAAAAGAAGAAAGACACCAAGAAAGCCCAGGTTAGTATTCTGCCGTTATATATTTTTTAGTGGCATCAGTAAATATTTTGTGATGACGATTTAGTACCCTCATTGAATGTAAAAGAGCTTTATATTGTTGAGACGTTGTTGCTGTGTCAGTAAATATGTATGCTTGGTCCAATATGGGAACTGTGGATTCTCCACTGCATGTGGCGCTCTGGAGCTTACTAATGAGAACCAATGTTGGACTTCTCAAGATTGGTATAGCTCAACCACTGTTAATTCACATTGGGCTAGACGGTGCCCTTTGTCAGGCAATCGACAAGGAACGTGTCATAGGATTCCTGAAAAGAAGTCTATTTTTGAGGATTCAGTCAGATTCTTTGCAAAACAAATGGCACTTACAAGGTTAAGGAGTACAGTCAGTGAAAGTTTAAATGTTGAAAAACATTGTATCGCCAGAATATGTTACAAACATGCTGTAAACCAAAACATTTGCTAAATTTGCCTAAATTTGCTGCCAATGATAATTATGTGATGGAACTACAAATGGATACTGACATTGAAGTAAGCATATTTCAACAAGTGTATAATTGATTACAATTGTATTTTGCTTTTTTGCTTTACGTTCACTCAGGTGGACAACGATGAAGATGATCTCTTCGCCACCAAAAAGCCAGCCGCCAAAAAGACCAAATCCAAGAAGCCGGATTCGGACCTGTTCAGCGACAGCACCAACATCTTTGACGACATTCCCAGCTCCAAGCCCAAGGAGAAGAAGAAAAAGAAGGAGTCGGCGCTCTTCACTGATGCAGCAGAAGGTAAACTAAGATCAAGTGCAGCAAGATTGTTAACACAGAAGCGAGTAGAGTGCAGCGTCGAGACGCCATTTTGTGTCGGTCCCAGAGGGCCAGCCTGTCGTCCTCTTTATACCTATCACACTCAGAGGTGAAACTTTTCTGATTTTAATCGGAATTCCGACTTTTTTTAGTCCAATTTCTCTGACAATCTTTTTTGATTTTGATGTGCCAAGCATACTTCTGATGAATTTTACATCAGACATCATGTGTGACCTCACACATACTGAAATTTGTATCCTTGGGGAGACATTTCTTTGCTCTCGTGTACTAAAGTTTGAGTTTGAAAGTACAGTTTTAAAATGCTCTTATTTTAATCAGAATTATTTTCCTTGGCTGAAATTCGGACTTAATATCCCTTTTCTAAAACTCTGCCATTTGCGACGGATCAACATACCTTGGAAATTCCCAGTTTTTGAGTAAAATCCATATATCTATTTCATGAAAACCGTGTGGAGACGTATTCATCTATAGAAATTGCCCTGTGGAGACGTATACAATATTTTGTTCCCTATTGTGTGCATGTCTCCAGAGGGCACAGTGTATCAGATCACACTTCTGGTTGTGTGACCGTCACTTCCGTGACACACAGACATCAGACAGACAGACACCAGACAGACAGACACCCTAAGATCTTTTAATATAGGATTACCTCAGCGATTGTCAGCCATTGCAAACATGTTGGAAAAAAATTTGGGATCGAGAAATGTTTCCTATTATATAGATCATATTCAGAAATGTTCACATCTACTCATTAACAGTCGCATCAGGCTGAATTCCATCTTAAAGACGCACTGTACTTTATGTGCTGATGTATAATTCAACTTGCGGTTTTGCAAATTCTGATATTGAACAGTCTGCTAATTGAAAATGTGTACCTGACATCATTTGTAGCATTTTCCTTGCGTAAGGCATGGGCACGGACTGTTATAATTCACTACATATTAACCACACATGTTGCAACTTGGTACCAACAATCACAGTAAACAATCCTACACATGAAACACATACAATTACTGACACGTTAACATCTGCATAGGATAAAAGTTCCAAGGTCTAGAATAACAAAAAACCAACAGTTTAACTCTGTAACTATTTCTGTCATAGAAGTCACAATTACTTTACTTCTCGTCTCTCTGTCAGGCGATATCTTCGCTTCTCCAACAAGCTCCAAGCCCAAGAAGGCTAAAGCGAAGAAGAAGACAACGGAAAAGAAGCCCGTGACCGGAGACTCCATTTTCGACGAGTCAGCTCCCAGCATATTTGACGACCCCCTGAATGCCATGGGGAAGTAAGAAATGTAGAAACTTTATCATTTTATGAAAATGGAAAATGAAATAAACAATTAGGCATCTAAATTTAACCCCTGACCTCCACTTGGATAATCAGCAGCATAACTTGAAGGAGAGGGCAAGTTTCTCCTAACAGGAGACGCTTAGCGGAAAATACCGCTTGCTAAATTTTCTTGGTAAGCAAAAATTAGCCGGGCACCCGCAACAAACAGTATACATCACATGGCATTTTAGCTGGTAACCCATTTTGGTTAAGCGGGTATTTTCTGTGCTAAGCATTTTTGCGTGCCTAGCAGCTAGGTGAAATTTGCCCCTGAAGGCTTCACACCCCTCATTTTGAATTTACATTTTACAAAAGTTTGAAAACTCGAAACTCAGCCAATCATTGTTATATTTTTGGAGAACCCGAATTGTTCCTAAATTTCCTTTGTTAACCATATTAACCCCACTGGCATTTGTGTATGATTTTTTTATGTTCAAAAATTCTGTTTCTTAGTGTATTGGCCTTAATTGTAAAGGTCTGGTATCTGCCACTGAAAGATAATTCGTAAACAAAACATAGAATCTTGTAAATGTATTTTTTACTTTTTCCCCCAAACATTTGGCAGTCATTGTATTTTTCAACACACGGTCATCATATGACCAACAAGCAAAGGACGAAACCAATCTTGGTTTGAATTAATTCAGTCATTGTAAAAGTGTTGTTATTTTGGCTTTGCATATCGTGGTTTTGATTTAGCGAAAACACTGCTGATCTTGTTATCCATTGTGCCATTGTTATGTGCCACAAAACACATGACGATGTGATTTAGCAAACAAATGTGACAATGGGCTTGTTTTTGGCTTTTCAAATTTCTGTCTTCTGTTCGTATATGGGCAAACTGTTATAACTTTTTATTATTGGAGCGAGATATGCAAAACATTATGGACACAGGTCAGTAGTCCGAATACAGACCCGTTCACGTAATGGTGTCACGGAAAGTTGATTGGGTTTTGCTTGGGCAATGATATGCGCAGTTTAGTTTCTAGATTACTGGGCCAGCATGATTTTTGTTACACATTTTGAGCGAGAAATGTAACTTGCACATGGCATTCGACATGATTCGTTGGCGTCTGTCACATAAGTATGTTCAAGGATTTCAAACGGTTGGCTAACTAGGGTTATTTTTGTAATCGCTTGTTACATATCGAGTGAGACAAGTACAAAACATCTGGCAGTGTCTTGCTGGGTGATGGACCCTCTCCAATGTCTGACATTCCAACCTCTCATGACATACATGTTCAGTGATAGTTGACTGGCTGATGTCTGCGTGGCAACTTCATGCACAGTTGGTTTTCTGGGGCAGATTATGTCATGAATGAGCAAGAAGTGTGTCCATTGCATCATCAAGCCGCATAGACCCTTTGCAAGCGTGCCCTCACGGAGGGCAGATTCAGTGACAATGAAACCACAAACTGTCTCCTCAAGTGGTTCGCAGACAGAGGAACAAAGTCATGTTCTTTAAGGTGTCTAATGAATTGACTATAGGCTATTCACAGCAATACTGCGATCACCATAACCCCATAAATGAGACCCAAATACTGGACTAGTATATTAGGTAGTCCAGTATTTGGGTCCCATGGGGCTATGATTACCTCAGCTACATGTATGTACACATATAGGTTGTCCCACAAAAAATCTAACAATCGAAAACCAATTAATAAAGGTATAGTGCGTGTGAGTTTTGGAATATTTTCAAATTACCTCTTAAAGTCAGATAACCAATCTACCATACAAAGTTTATTTCATTCAAATCGATACATTGGAACAAACGCTATGCTTCATCGAACTCAAAGGTTGAAAATCGTCTTGGGCCACTTTCCTTGAAAGTGAGTAAGCGCAGTTAGCGAAACACACAAAGGATTTATTTCCGTTGTTCAAGAGTAACGTGTGACTAATTCTACCGGCTTCGATCTGTAAACTTGATAAATGAAAAAGTGGCCCAAGTGGTTTTTTCAAGTCCCTGTATCAAGTGCTGTACCTTTTGAATGAAACATCTTAATGAAACCATCTAAAAAGCATTTGGAAGACCAATTATTCTACTCAGCAATACAGTAGACACGATTTTGAATACTACCCCCACTTTTCTGAAAACATGCTTGATTCGATTGTTTTGTTTTTTGTGGGACAACCTGTATGGGTTTCTGCAATGAACAGCAGGTTGATGTAGTTGAGTCCAACGCAAGTCCAGTCACAAGTCCAGTCACAAGTAACAGTGGCTTAACAACAACACAGGAATGCCTTTTGTCAAAGCTCAGTTGAATAGCTTGTGAGTTGAATTGGGACTGGATGATATGACTTTCGTGATGGACTTGCAGGTTGCAGGCCAGTAAATCGGTCCGAAATCGCCTACGCCGGCCAAATCACAATTTGCACGCCCTCAAATTCTTCGCTATTTTATTTGAGCATATTGTGGGCCGTGAACTTGAGGGTTTATAAAAAATATGGGTGGAAGCCGTGCACAGGACTGTGAGCTTGTAGTTCTGTGCAGTTTGGATGAAATTGGAGCCCTAAAAGCGCTCTATTTTGCAATGGAGTGTAGGCGTCGTTTTGGCGATGGGCTTCAGGACCATTTTAAGGGGTGATCATCTTCGGATGGAAATTTCTCCTAAAAGTCATCAGTTAACCCCCCGAAAATTGAAAAGAAAATGAAAAATGATGAAATTAGCTTGAATTTGATGTGTGTCTGGAATACCTTGGAGAGTTGCGAGTATTTTTCCTCAATTTTTGAAGTGGGGGCATTTATCATTGGGGTCTATGGCAGTTGATTTACTTGTCTGCAACCTGCAGCTAGGGACTTGTGATGGACTCGACCACATCTGTCATGAACAGCGCCACCGTGCGTCCTGTGGTGCCCATTTCAAAATCTGTCCCTGGCCACCATGGCCATACATAATATTGAAAATCATGTAATGCACATTAATTTTCACTGATTAATTGCACAACAGCCTGTATGCATCGGGAAGTTACGTGATCTGGCAGTCTTCCAAAATTAAACAAACCTAATGGATGCACTCGGATCATTTTTGTGAACCGTCATCTACGTGTTCTCTTGCATTTATATTTCCATCTCATGCAAGCAAGTACATTTTTTTCGTGGCTATTTGCAACATGTATTTCTGGCTTACGCTTACTATACAATGTACTAGTTCTGTATTGTCATTAATGTTTATTGTGTTTGCTGCAAAAGAAATTGCAACTCCTCCATTCTGGTATGTTATATTTGCCAGCAGACCGCATTTTAAAAAGATAAATCAGTTGTATACTACATGTATATGATTATCTGAAATTTTCAACCAAACAGTAACATTTCAATTTTGTTTCGTAAAAACATCTCGGCGATTTCAGTTTCATGTGAAGAAATGGTTGCCACAAAATTTGAAGGAAAAAACCCACATCATAATGTATTTTGGGTACAATTTTGTAGTGTGCTTTTCTGAAATACTTGTGGCTTTTGGGGGACATTATTTCATTGATTTCAACCCATTCTAGGATCAACATGCATTCCTTTTTGTACAGATTTACAAGGTAAACTTTTGATACATTTCGAGTTATTCAAACAGATACGTTGTTGGTCCCCCAAAAGTGAAATTGCTGTATTGGTAGAGCACTGTTGGTGTTCAAGAGGTCGCCGGTTCGAATCCTGCTGCAGTCAATTTGAATGTCTTTGTTAAACATATATAGTTTTTTTTTCATTTACCAGAATGAACACTGAGACATAAATGATTAAACTTAATATGTTGGAAATCCAGAAAGGCTGAAGAAAAGAAAATTAATTGAAAACTGAGAGATTCTCTTTTAATTATCTTTTTTGCTTCTTCGAAATCATGATTTTATAATGGTTATTTTCCGGATATGATAGATTTATTAGCCCGTTCAGTTTTCGTAAAATATACGGATGGACATGTTGAGTATATGGAAAACCGTTTCTCTATATGTCAACATTTTTTTGTACAAATAATTATGAAAAATGTACATAATGGTAGATATGCTATATAATTATTAAAGCAAAATTCTGCATATAATGAACTATCAATGGATTGGTCGTAGTGTGTTATTGAATTCGCATTTTTTGTTTTGTTTCTCAGCCGCAACAGTGACGACAGTTAGTTTATTTGATAACTGAATTGTGTGGTTTTAATGTCATTTTTAATAGCCAAACCATTCAAATGATTATGTACCCAATAAAGCATCTTCGAATGCCGAACAAAGCTGGCGCTTTATTGATGCGTGTAGTACCCCCTATGGTCACGCGAATTAGAAAACAAAAGCAAGCCTGTTTGTAGTAAAAACATTCATTCCAATTTTCTCTTCAACTCCATAAACTGAACTGAAATCTCGCAATTTCCCGCTGCGCTCGCGTGACCTTCACTGGGATATGGATTGCTTGCTGCCATGACGGTGCAATTATGCGGCAATTTCCTGCCGCGCAATGAGAATAAGCAGAATTGAGATTTGACCGTGCCTGACAGCTCTGCAAGAAGATGGACAATGAAAATATTACGGACCTAATTTTTTTTGTCTGTGACAACAAGGTATGTTGATTACTACCGGATGAAATGCCGGAGGACCGTGTTCGTGATTGTACGCCGCGCGTTTCCTTGCCGTACCTAGCTAGAATATGTGCTAATCTCATGGAGCCGAGCAGAAATGTTTGCTTAGCAGTTTCAGGTGCTAAGCATGAAAACAGCTGAGAACCAGTCGTAAGCAATAGACATTGCATGACGTTTTAGCTGGTAACCTGGGGTTTTTTTGGCTAGCAACTTTCTGTGCTATAGGCAGCTCTGTAAAATAAGCCATTTGCGAGTTAAATTTGAATAAAATCTAGAACGCTGACTTAATCCAATGCTTTGCACGTTTTAACTTTGCATTCTCCCGACCAAAGAGAATGTTACTATATCACGTGTTCGGGGCAAGCCTTATGCTAGCAACCCCCAGCTCCGGCATGGCCTGGTGTCTTTGTGCCATGCTCACCCATTGTGAACAATGTGCTGATCTCTTACGTAACTATGAAAGAGCTTGCCCGGAATCACGTGATTAGCAACAGTATATTTGGTATGGAGAATTCAAATTTAAAAAGTGCCAAGCATTCTGAGTAAGTCAGTGTACCAGATGTTTTTCAAATTTAAATCTCAAAGGGAATAGGTCACTCGCAAATAGCTTATTTGGCCTCAGGTTGTAACAAGCCAAAATGCCATAGGCCTTGCTACCACAATAATGCTCATGGCTGGTTGTCAGCGGTTTTTTTCTTAACACGGTTACCAAAGTGGTAAGCAACAGTTTCTGCTTGACAGCTGCAATTAAATTAGTCCCTCTGTCTAATACATGTACGTACCTCTATACGGTTTGGTTGACGATGAGGATGCTTTCAGCTTCTTGAGAGGGTTCTTACGTATTAAACCATTGCTATGACGTCACACTATTGTTAAAAGTGTGGATTCGGAACGACGAATCTTTAGTGAAGTGTGGATTCGGAATTACGAATCCACAATTTGAACACGTCGGACAATTGTTCTCCATAATTAGCCTTAAATAGGACCGTCTGCTTTCCGAAAATTACCAATGCATCTTCACTGTCAGATTCTCCGCCGTCACTGCAAAATCTACTTTTAGTCAGAAAGAAATCGTTGTCTGAACTATCCATTTTGACGTATGGAGCCTATACACACAAAATGACTTGGTTGTACAGGTGTGGCAATACACATGCTAAACACGCCAGGAAAAAAATGTTGCAACCTGCCGCCACTTCCGCGCTTGTGTACAATTTCCTAACAAAATTGGAAACATTTCTCAGTCCCAGATTCATGTCTTATCGTCATTTTTGCAACGAATGACCTTCATTGAGATGATATATGAAGAAAAAAGTGGCGTCAGGTTGCAACATTCTTTCCAATGCTTCTGTTGACGCAATGGTTTAAGTCGAAGAATATACACTCGCAAGTGTGGATTCTTAATTTACGAATTCTTCGCGCCTCGTGAATTCTTAAATTACGAATCCACACTTTCTCGTGTGTTCTCCTTAACAAAGTTTAAAGCGACATACACAAAAGAGATACGTAAAAGTGCTGTCTCAGATCTCGTTATTGTTCCTATTATGAAGACTCTTTGCAAAGAGTGAATGGGGCGCGGTTTAACACGGATACAGTACATGAATTATTTTCGAAAGGGGCGAACCTGCCTATGTTCTTTGCCAAGCTTTTAGAGAGTAAATCGAGCTTTCATTGAATGTGTGTCGATACCTGTGAGAGTTATGAGTATTTTACTTGGTTTTGTTTTTTAAATGAGAGTATTTATCATTGGTGCCTATGGAACTTTGATTTGGTCTGCATCTGCACTTCTATCGACCTGTCCCCGTGAAGATGGAGTCATTTTCTCGATTTTTTGTCGGTGTCGGAGCCACGGAGTTTC